TTCTTCGACTTTTGCGGGGCTCTGGGGAACAACTAGAGAATGTGTGGGGATATTGGGCAGCGATGAGCTGTGATGATAGGTTCCGTCATTTGGTGATAGGTGTGTCGAGTACGAAGGTGTCAGAAATCCACTGCTAGTACCGTGTACTATAAATTCTGGCGATTGTGCAAATTTTCTTTGCCCTGAACCAAAGCTGGGCCCCGCTGAATGTGTTACATGATCACCGGATGAAGTGATGTCTTGGTCTTGCTCTTGATCGGATGAACTACCAAATTTGATATTGGCTAAACTGGTGAAAAGTTTGGGGAGTCGAACACCGTTCCTCCGCCTAAGGTAGCTTGCATCCTTACTCCCAGGAAGAGAATGTATATTATCTGTTGCTATATTACCCTGAGAGGCAGATCGTCTTGTCGGAACAACAGATATCCTTTCCGGTCCAGGGTTGAATGATGGGCTGCGATAGACACCATTCTCATCCGGAGTTTCCGAATCTGCATTAGATCGGTTTGCGCTTGGTAGCTTTGATAAATCAAACATCGAGTTTGAATTTAGTAGTCCTAGAGAAGCTCTAACATTGCCCTGGGATATACTTGACGATTGTCGTCGATGACGGGGCCTATCCATCCAAAAGGGAATATGCATGCGGCTTTTTTGTGTCGGCGCAGGCGTAGGCGAAGGTGCAGGCGCAAGCGCACGCGTTGGTGTAGGCCCAGTGGGAGTAGCAGGTTCAGGCGGTTGCGGGTCATCTTGGGTCCCCGTATTTAACTGACCGCTGAATGGTGTGTAAGCCGGGACTGGGGGCGAATATGGAGGTAGGTCATTATCTGCTGAGACGGATATCTTCGACCCATCCCGATTGATATGAAAGAGCCTCCTGCCTAACAAAATGTCAACGCTTCGAACGCTTCGAGTACTTCGAGCATCGTCTTGTAGCGTAGCAATCGTAGAGCTTGTCATCGTCGACACGATGCTCGAAGCCCTGCTTGGTCGCTGACTCAGTGTCGTTGGCATTTCAGCAGCCTGTGTAGGTGTTGTTTTTTCTTGTTCGGATACATGTGGTCTTGGAGTAGCATTCACTTTGTTGTTAGGAAGCCCAAATATCCTTCCGAGGAATGGTGTTCCCAATGCTGCATCATGCTGGTCATTTCTACGAGGAGTCATTGGGGTATCTGGGCGGGTGGTAGAATCCTCCATGGTGTAGACAACCAGCAATCAATTAAGGTAGGTAACGCTATTTACCACCATTAGTTTATCGTCTCTGGCATCTTCAGCTAAGACTTTCACAGCTTCGTGTACCTAGCACCGCTCTATCGTTATCAACAAGGGTTCCTAGGAATTACCAGCGAGTAAAATCCGGACCCAGGACAAATGCCCGCATGAACAAAAGAGATCGTTTATTGTTTGAAAATATCGTTCTTGATGCGATTGCGGGTTCCTGGATGGCATAACACTCTCACACACCTGGTCACCCTCCGCAACTAGTTTTCCTGAGAAGGGCTATGAACCCGTAATAGTTGTCATTTTTTAGACAGCTGTCACTGCAGGGATTCGAGCGAAAACATGAGGAGCAGTCGAGCTCACGAAACGATTGAGAATAGCTTTAGCAAAGGAAATAAATCTCAGTGATCTTCCTCCACTTGGACACATACACATAGTAGACTTCGGTGATCCAACAGAGGCAACCAGGAATTGTGATGTTGAGAGTTAACATTTGAAAGCTTCACAACTGTTGTTGCCTATGACACTTCTTTGTCGAAGGCTTGAGGAATCAGCCTGGTGGGGGCTGAGCCAAAGGCTGTCCTCCAAATATTTAGTTTCATGTGAAGCTAGCAACCAGACGCAACCAGACGCAACAAATCGAACGGGACATCATGTCTGCAGAGCAATTGACGGTCCGGTCAAGGTCAGCTGCATTCTTCTCCCCACCCCCCATGGTTAGTTAGCAAAATCCCCAAACCGAAAATGGCTATTATGTAGTTAGGTAAATACAGTGGTTTAAAAAGCCGTTCGGTTATTCTCCGAAGTGTTCAGTGCCTGTGGAGGAACGAGCGGGACTCGCTGCCAATTGTTCTCAGGCTGATGATCTTCATTGTTCTTCTTCACTTTCCTCATCCGCTGTTATCAGCAGGTAACTAGAGATATTTGAAAATCGGAAGTCGAAAATGTAGTCTTCAAAAGAAACATTTGAAGGCCGATAGGGTTAATTAAGGGTTAGAGACCTCTTCAGCTCGAGGCAGACTGGTTTGGTGGCATGTTCAATGTTGTGGTAAGTTATTTGAGTTGCTTGGCCAGAGCTTCTGCCAAAATCCCCTGCCAATGAAACTATCCTTCGTTTCTGCTTAAAAGTTTCTGCGTAATACTGACTTGTTAATAATCATTATTATTCCTTTTCAGTGTTCTGACCTCCAAGGAAAAGCATCCGTGACTCGACTTGCAGAAAATAATACGAATAATATGTCCAACATCGCATGCACAGCAGTTTTGACGCTTGAATGAGAGAGACCTCCATTGATGGTCGCCCATGGAGCAAGCCGTTACATTACATCCCTTTCTACATGACCATCTGCCCAATCTATGCATCTTTGGAGACTGCAAAGAAAGCATACGGTGTTATATTTATAAAATAAGTAATTCTCTTATTAACAAGGAGTTTTTTCTGTCACCTTACTGCACAATTGAGAAAAGACGGCTCAATGGATCCTATGCTCAGGGGCAAGTTAGGCATTTTTAGTGTCTCCATGACTCTGCCAGGGGTCAAGAGTTAGTTACAGGCTGTTTTCAACACTGCATTTGGCTGTTGTATCTATACAGAATGCAAGAATACGTGGACAGCTTGCCTTTCGACAACCAAGGGCGTTCCCTGTACAGAACCGTTTATCACTTATGTACATATTGGGATCGGAATTGATCGATTGATAGCAGAAGCGAAACCCCTTCTCTCGGGATAATAATCATCATGCGTGAGAAATTTCGAACAAGGGTGAAAGTCTGCGCCCGTGGTCTCGAGGCGATGGGGGGGGGGTGCATTTTCCGAACTGATTGACCATGGTGGGGGAAATGGTTTTGTGTGCAAAGCAAAGCAGAGATAAAATATGAAATACATGAAACTTATGCTTTGAAGGGAAGTGATTGAAGTGAATATATGTTGAGTAATTACAAGGTAAACGTTGTGCAGAGCTAATAGTGAACTCTGATTCAACAAGCAGCTGCTAGATAAAATGTTAAAATCTTAATAGTGATTAAAAGCTAACCTTTATTGAAGAAAGATCTTTAATTTAATAAAAAAAATAAGAAAATAAGAAAATAAGAAAAATAAATTTTTATATTATAAATTTATAAGATATATTTAGTTCTTTAATTATTAAAAAATATTTTTAAAAAATTTATTTAATATTATAATAAATTAAAATTTAAACTTATATATAAATAATTTTATTAAAAAGTTTATCTTATTTTTTATAGTTATTAAATATAAGCTATTATATATAAATAAAATAAAATAAAATTTTAATCTAATTTATTATTTAATTTTAAAATTTTTAAATATAAATATAAAAATTATATAATATATATAAAATTTTAAATAAATATTATTAAAAAAATTAAAATTTTACTTTTTAATTATTTTATTTTATTTAACTTTATATTTTTATATATATTATATATATTAATATTTTATAAATATAATTATATAATTATATAATTATTAATTTATTTAAAATTTTTAATATTAATTTTAAATTTAATAAATTTATTTTAATTTTAAATTTTTAATAATTAAAATTTTTAATTATAAAATATTAAATTAAAAAAAAAAAAATCTTTATAAAAGCTTAAAATTATTATTGGTTATAATTTAAAAACAAACTATATTAATTAAATTATTAAAATTTACAAGTATGAAATAATGAACTCTGCTATTATGAAGTAATATCAGAATGTATTTGCTGCAAATGAGAAAGAGAAGAAGAGAGGCTGAGGCTACTAATATCACCTGCTGAGCCAGCCTCTTGAACAGCCTGTTATTCAACACCCCGCCACAACCTCTGTCAGCAGAGCCTAGGCGTTGCATACAAGCATCACAGAGGTTGCTGGCATGCAAGAATAAAATGTTCTGAACGTAGTTTGATTTAATTTAATTTAATTATTTGCTGCTGGGCGTAAAAGTATTCAGGTTAGAATCTAGTCATTTGAAATATTTTTGAATTCGTTGCTCGCTCGATTTTGGGAAATTAACTTAATAGCTGGTTGGTTACGCCGCAGTAGTTACAAGTGCAAAATGTGGGGAGGGGCGGCTTCAAAAGCAAATCCACGGGTAATATTTAATTATCCAAGTCGTTCCCAAACACTCACCTTCCAGGCTCATCCCCCACCCTATTACCCACAACGCCTTGTTGGAAACCAAAGAATAAGAATCTGTTCTGCCCGCGCCCTTTCATCAACTTTCGGCTATTTCGGTACTTGTTCCCCGCCTGCTCCCTCCCGCCGATAGTTAACTAGTTAGCAGGTAGGTTGACTACTTACCTGCCCCGCTATTTCAGACCAAGCTACCAGAAGTCAGTTAACGCTGGACCGTTAGGAACGCCTCAAGCGCCCGGTAAAAATTGCTTGGACCACTTGATGATCATATCGCTTGATCACGAATATCGCTGCTGCATATCTGCTTGTGTCTGCAGGAGGTATTGCGTGGGCTCTTGTAAGTTGGCAATCCTCCTCCACATTCGCAGTCTGGATTCGGAGGTTGAGGTTTGACGTCGAAATCGGCCCATATAGCTGCACCTCATCCAGACAGTGATAGAAATCAAACCCACAGGGGCCCGGTAATAGAGAGCTTCAAAGGGTACATATCCAAACCTCCATGTGTCTTCGGAGTCTCCAGCATATGAATCAGCATAATACCACACTGGAACCACTTCCCTTGGCTCGGAAATGAAGGATATCACCGGGGCTCTCAAACCGTGAAACTTTGATAGTTAACTCATCTTCGCCAGTGAAAGCTGTCTTCCTTGGAATGGCCCACTTTTGCTGACGATTCACAGCTTTCCTCCCACTCCCACTTAGGGTCTTCGATTACTGCCACCAACAAGGGAAAGCAGACTGTTGTCCCGCGCATCTCATCTCCAACTTCACCCTCAGAACTGTAACCAGGCATTCCTCACGACGGCGCTCTATTCTAGCTTCTAGTCAATATGTCTATAAAGTAGGTATCACCCTTCTTCCCTGGTGCGAAAAATATTCCTGCTATCTCTTTTGCGTTCTGTTTCAAAGGGATTTGCATTTCCCCCTCTACTTGGGCCGTAACCCCGCCATCTATGTTGTTTACACATTCCTGGACCGTCCTGATAGGTCGCGTCCCAAACCTTAAACAAGATATTCCTGAGAGAAGATACTATGTGCTCTCAATATAAAAAGAATACAATGCTAAGAAGACTCCGGCCAAGCAGTTGGGTTATGCTTCATGAGACTGAAAGATTTATCCTGCTCCCTAATGAACGGATCATGTATACCTCTCCACCTCGAACATCCCTTTTGCTCCAAAGCAGCAACCCCGGATCAGGCAATGATCAACTGTCAATACAGAGCCACACCGGCTGTGTTTACCTTACTAACCAACGAGTATGTCTACCCTCGTGTTGATCCTATAGTATGATAATTGTCTCACATCAGCTCCAAGATCGTATATCTTCCTGCGCACCCGACTTCAGAATTTCAGTCGTTCTCCGCTCCTATGCTAAATCTTCAGGACACTTACGTTTCAGCTCCATTCTTTGGGCCCAACGTCTGGACCGCACAGGTTAAACCCGTTGCCGGGGGAGGCATACCCGCTTCAAACGTCTCTATCCAGCTAAAGATGACCTTCAAAGACGGTGGAGCGTTTGATTTTCACTCCGCTTTCGAGAGAATCAAGGAGCGTCTTCAACAGGCAATGGAACATGCGCAGGAGACTCGCAGTGGCACGAATGCTTTTGCCCCCGTGAACTTCTCCGAAGTTCATCTGGAGGAGCTGCCTGCATACGAAGGGCCTGGTAGGCCTACAGAGCCGGATGATGCCATAGGATTACCAGCCTTCTCACCAGTTGACCCGCGTGGCCAAAATGAATATGTTTCGAACCAACAAACTAACACCGGCATAAGGAGAGACAGCTCGACGGAGACCCGCGATACGAACCCAACGGAACCGCCTCCTGGTTACGAGGAGGTTCAGCAACAGAGTGTTGCAAATGCTCTTGAAGCACGTATACGCAGCTACCAATGATTTGGATATGGAACTAAACTCATTTCTTCACGTTTTCCTAAATGACGCCGGCAAAAGCCGTCAATGCGTCTTACTTTTAGTTAGTCTAGAAAAACGCGGCCCATCTAACCAAACTGATGCGTGTTTGTCTTCCTGGTATCTAACATGATGCAATGTACATATAGATAAATTAATGATTGTATGAACTTATTAACTACCATTATTTCGACAGCGCGGCAAGGGCGATAAGATCGTCACTGGGTTTTGTTTGAAATTGTTACTTAACCGGCATGGATCCAACGCAGAAACAATCTAGCAATGGCCTCGAACATCAGAAAAACTAGTATAAAAATCAAAAACCAAGGCTGATTTGGTACAAGATAAGTACCTGAATATTACTGTAGTAAAGGTTAAAAATGAACTGTGGCGTCTTCTGGATCACAATGTAGTCTGCCCGTATGGGCAATATACTTGACACTCTAATGAGCAGCTTGGAAATGAATCCTTCAATCCTCACGTATCCTCAAACTAGCTTTCTCTATCTGTACAATATTATTCTATCTCCATGACGAATGTTGCCAGTGATTAATTGATTGATTGATTGATTGATTACTTCATACACCGACCCAGCCGCCTCGAAGGCCGCTATGCAGGAATAAGCTAGTCCTAATCTGTCCAACGCCCGCAAAACTTAAAGAAATCACTAATTACAAGATTTTGATTAAATCACTGCACAGGTGGTGGCAGCCACCTGTGTGGTGCCTAAGAAGAATTGGGTGAATAGATATAAGGAAATAACATAAGAAAAGACATTGGTTGTCAGTGAATAGATATAAGAAAATAACATAAGAAAAGACATTGATTGTCAGTTGGATTTTGCTTTGCAGCTGTTATATTCTTCTTATCTTGCTCACATACATTGCTGCAGTGCAAGCTATTGAGTGCCTGGAAACAATTAAGAACTCATTGCTTGACAGTTTGGTCCTGTAAACTCTCAAATTGCCCAAGAAGTGTGATTTTGAGCATAAAATTGGCAGTTTGAGCTGCTATATCTGGATCTAAGAGTATTTTCTGAAGGTCTGTAGTTCTTTCCTCTACTCAAAGGTCTCTTCAAAGACTTATATACTTGATACAGTTAAGCAGTACATGTGCCACTGTCTGATTTCCTCTGCTGCATTTGCATGTTTCATTCTCAACTCCTGGAGTCTTTCTTTTGCACAGGAAATGATGTAATCTAATGTTATCTGTGCCTAGCTGGATTAAAATACTTGACAGAGATCAGATCAGCTTTGAATGAAGTCTAGAGATGTTCTTGCTAAGTTTTCTGATTATTTGAAAGAGATCTCATTCTCATTTCTCATGTTGTCAGGTTTTCATTCAAGTCATCTTTATTTGAGTTCTTAGTCTAGTCTTGAGCAGCTTCAATGATGTCTGAGTGATTGCTATTCACATCAATTGATTAGTGTTCATCTGAACATTCTGATCTTGTGCATTTCTTGCTAGTCTCCAGTCTGTGACTTTCTTGACCATCATGTCTTCTTGCTCATTTCCTGGCATATCTTCATATGCTGATATTCATCTTATTTCAATCTGAATATCACTTCTCTAAAGTTGATTTCAGATTTTCACAATTTGATCAAGAATTTATTGATTATTGATTTGAGAGTCATGGATTATCTGAATTGCTGTTTGACTGTCTGAGAAGATAATAGCATCTTTGTTTAGAATTTGAGTCATGAATATAGCTGTTTGAATTTCTTTGAGTTCAGTTAGATAGACTATTGCTCTGATTGCATTTCTCAAATATATCTTCTCTATGAAGTTAAGATTCTCAAGCACTGCTAAGATATCTATTTTGTTGTTTATGACACTTTCATCTGTATATACTATCAACTTGTTTTGTGCTCTCAGTTCTTTCAGTCATCTCTTATCATGACTTTTTCTTGCTACTTCTCTATTCTCTATATATGTCTCTGATGATTTCTACCAGAGTGAAACTATATAGAGCTTTTTAATTTTCAGATTATCAATTTCTTCTCTGTCAAGAGTCTTTTAGCATTGATGTTCATATTATTTCAGAGATGTTCATTTTGTTGACAGAGATTTCTAGTCATCTCTGTAGCTCTGTTAGATTTTCTTTTTTTAAATTCTGTTTAAAATGCTTCATTGTGAAGTTGTTTTGAGTCTTAGATATGTTTCAGCTGTAATTCTTTTCAAATGCAGTTGCAGTGGTGAAAAATAAGTCTTAATATTCAGTGCTGGTTTAGAAACTGTTTTAAATGCATCTGTGATGATTTTGATTGTCTTTCTTTGCACAGTCTCAAGCTTGCTGAGCAGTACTGATCTGTAGTTGAGTGTATTTTCAGCTGATGCATATCATGTTGATGCTGCAAATATCATCTATGACAAAACAACAGTCTTGTAGATATTTCTCAGACTCTTATATTTTATATCTCAGATAGATTCTGCCAGGCTGATGAGAGCTCTCAAAGTCTTGATTGTTCTGACTTTCACTTTCTCAATATAATTCTTCCATCTGAGCTGATTGTTAAGTATGAGTTCTAGTATCTGATAGCATCAGCTTGATGTGATTGTATATCCTCTTATGATTATTGTATAGCTGTCATTGAATTCTCTGAATCTGTAGAACAGATGTATTAGATTGTATTTTACTGAATTAAATTTTGAGCCATGTGTTATCTCTCATTTATTGCACTTTTCATGAATTCTTTCAAGTATTCTGCAGTTTTCTTTAGCTGAGCTGCTTGAGATCACAATATTCATATCATCTATTCAGCTTATTTCTGTTATATTACTTTTTGAATTCTGACAGTTTTCTACCAGATCTGTATTGAAGAATAGATAGAGTATTGATGATATTAATGATCTGTGTGAAATTTCTGATTGTATATTTCTTTTCCCTGAGCTATTTTCTAAGAGCTTAATAGAGATCCTTTAATCTACCAGAAAGCTTTCTATTCATCTCATCACAGCAATTGGAATTCTTCATTTTTGAAGATTATGAAGAAGTCTTGAGTGTGAGATATAGTCAAAAGCATCTGAAACATTCAAAGATAATATGAATACTGTTTTAAATATTATCTATTTCTTTTATGCTGTTTCTATCTTCTCCAGCAGCCAGTGCAAAGCATGTTCAGTTGAGACTTCTTTTCTGTCACTCAGATGCATTTCTGAAAAAAAGTCATACTTCTCTACTTAGTAGAACATTCTTTTGACAATGATCTTCTTCAGCAGTTTCCTCACTGTATTTAGCAGAGCCACTGATTGATAGAATTTGATCTGAATATAGTTCTCTTTCTCTGATTTTCTAAGCACTACTGCTATAGATCTTTGAAAGTAATCTGAGCAGTATTTTTGTTTCATGCAAATATTGAATAGAATTGTGAGATACTAAGTCAGCTCTTCTATTAGAATCTTTAAAATCAGATTTGATATTTCATCTGAGTCTGATGCTTTCTTTGCAGTTATTTTTTGAATTATCTTCTGTATCTTACTGAGTGTGATTTCTGATCATTCAATTGGTTCTGAGTATACTGTTCCAGCTATGTCATTGAGATTGACAATGTCTGAGAGTGAAAAGAAGATTTTGCTGAGTAGATCATACTTTTTCTTCAGTTCAGATTCTAGAGAATCTTTTTCATATCTTAGAGATGAAGTGTGAGCAGCTCTAAACTCTCTGTTCTTAGCTTATTTGATCAGCTTCTAGAGGTCTTCTGTGGATTCTGTTGCTTGTTGTATTCTTTCTCTATGATTTCTTCTCAAGAGCTTTTGAATAAGTCTTTTTTTGTAATTTCTGGCTCTTCTATAGTCTTCTCATGCTTTCTCTGACTGGGTTTCTTGATGAATATATTGCAGTTATCTTACTTCCATCTGAGCTTTCTTGATCTCAGATGTCTAATTTGATATTGATTATGAATTGATGTATAACTCTGAACAATGAGTTTCAATGATTGTTGTGATTGTCTTGACTATAGCTTTTAGATATTAATTGATGTTCTTCTTGCTTAGTGACTTACTTCTGACAGATTCTTTCTGACATTCTTCTTGAATTTCTTTTCTTTCAATCTGTGTCAAACTCTCTTCTTTCTTGACTCACTTTGAGCTTTTGACATATTCAGAATGATTATTATTGATAGATGATCTGAGTTATAGTTCAATTCTGATCTAGCTAGTCCATAGCATATCACTTTTTCTTGAACTCAGTATGTTCTCAGAACCAGGTTCAGTGTAATTGGTTCTTCTACTTTCTAACATGTTCTTATTTCAACAGATATAAGCAGTTCTAGTTGATAGTTTGCTATTAATTCAAGTATAACTTCAGCTCTTTCTGATGTCTTTCTGACTCTGAATTCATCTCACAATGGGTAATGAAGATTGAAGTCTCTCAGTACTACATGCTCAGCTTCAGATTCCTCTAGAGCCTTTCAGAGATCTGATATTGCATAATTTCTTTCAAGTGTTCTTGTAATTGAGTTGTACACATTATGTATGCATAGCACTCTTTTCTTATTCACTTGCAGTTTTAAGATCACAATATTTGTTGTATGATGTGTGTACGTCTAGCCTTCTTCTATTCTCTTGTTTATGAGAAAGCATATCTGAGTTTTCTCATTCTTCTGGTAAATCAGATCAAATTGGTCCTTGACTGAGTAGTATATAATCTTTTGAAACTTGTTTCACTATAGTTTCTGAATAGCTATAATATCATATGTTAATGCTGCTTGATCAGCAAGCAGTGATGCCATGACTTAATCTCAAGACTTGTTAACATTGTATTGAAGTATTGATAGAGTTGTATTATTCATTGAAGGTCATATGCACATCTGAGGTCTGTGTTAATGATTGACTTCTTTGACTTGCACATCACTAATATTTGTTCAGATTGAAGTTTCTCACTGAAGTAGTCAATTGCTGATTATTGCTTAGTTTCTGTAGCATTTGTCTAGCTGCATCTTCTTTACTCTCTTTCTGAGTTCCAGCTCTCATGCTCTTCTTTGAGAATCAGCCTCTCTTGTGATCTAAGTCTGTCCTCACTCTTAGCTGGAGAATAGATCTGATTGAGACTTTCTTTGAAGTATCTATTTTTCTATCAATTTACAATTCATTTATGATATCTTATTAATATCTTGCTGCTGCTTTCTGATGTATATTTGATTTTGTTCTCTTTCTCTCCTTAAGTTTGACCAGTTCAGTCTTTTTTTTCTCACATTGAACACTTTATGTTGAGTATTTTTCATCACAATTTGTGTATTTTGTCTCTGTTTCTTTTTTTATTCTTTTATCACAGCTCACAGTTCTGTGACTTTCTGTGCAGTATTCATAGATTTGACTTGTCTTGCAATGAGTTTCAATATATTTATACTTTTGACATTTGAAGCATTGTCTCAGCTTGCAGATTTTATCATAGTATTTACAGATAAACATCTGAGCTTCTAGTGCAATTTTCTTGATGATTGCACTATCTGCATGCTCATTATTGTCAAACTGCACTATCAATATGAATACTCTTTTCTCTTCAAGTTTTCTTTTAAATCATTCTATGTACTTGACATTTACAGTTTTCAATGTTGAATTATTTCACTGTATCTTGTCTTTTATTTCTTTGATATTTGTAACATCTATTGCTGTTAAGACTTCATGAATTAGAATTTCAAAGATAATAATCTGAAGAGCTGCTGTGTCTTCAAGAGCTTTCATTCACTTCTTCTTGTATATTTACATTTTCCTTGTTGTGTTCTGATCATTTGTGTACAGTGTGATATCTCCACTTGAGTGTTGCTTTACAGCTAGAGTTTTTACACTTTTCAGATTCTGAACTTGACTTTTTTCCAGCATTTTATTGATCTTTTCTTTGATTGTTTCTTCTGAGACTGTTCATATTTCACTTCCTGAGACAGTATTTTCTATTTTAATCAGAATCTCATATAGTCTGCTTGAGGGTCTGAGTTGTATTGATGTTCTCAGAAAATATGATTTCTGCACAGTGTGATGTCTCTACTTGAGTATTGCTTTACAGCTAGAGTTTTTACACTTTTCAGATTCTGAACTTGACTTCTTTCTAGTATTTTATTGATCTTTTCTTTGATTGTTTCTTCTGAGACTGTTCATATTTTACTTTCTGAGGCAGTATTTCTTATTTTAATCAGAATCTCATATAGTCTACTTAAGGGTCTGAGTTGCATTGATGTTCTCAGAAGATATGATTTCTGCAGAACTTGAGTGTAAAATAGACTGTTGATCTTAGTAGACTTTACAGCTGAAGCTGCTAATATGTTCTTGATTTGAACTATATTCTTTCTCATCTTCTTTTGAGCTTTCATAGTGGCTCAGAGGTCTGCAGTTAGTTCAGTCTGAGTTGACTGTTTTTCAGTCTTCTTTACATAGACACTGACACTGCCTATGAAAGCTTCAATCATCTGCCAGATTGGGTTTTGTGTTTTACCTAGCAGATTTATATGATATTCTTTAAAAGCTTGGATGTCTGCTTCAATTTAGGTGGCATGGTCACTTAGTTTGGGTGGCTGGATACCCACCTGTGGGGTATTTTGACCACTCGCCATATCTTCTTGATACTGGGCGGTACCTAGAGAGCTGACGAGTAGATTGAGCCACAGTATGAGTAAAATAGAGCAGTGGTTGTGGAGATGAATGTTGCCAGTGTTTCTTTGAGCTGCTTATCTAACCCGTCAGAGCAACCAGCCAATCATGTGTCACTTAATTGCAGCCCACTGACCAAACCCACCGACATTTCCCTCCACGCAGCAAACATTGAAGCAAACTTGAACATCGTACGGCTTCAACGAACTGCAATCACAGCCTCTAATTACCCCCGCCGTCCGACCGCCTACCACCTTCTAGCCAAAAATGGGTATCGTCGACATGTTCAACGAGCTAATCAGCTCGCTGCCTTTCACGGAGGCGCTGGCAGAAGCACCTCCCGCGGAGGAGACCGAGGCTGCTGCGGACGCAGAGGGCACGGAGGAAGAACCTGAGGAGGCTGAGGAAGAGGAGGGGGAGGAGGAGGAGGGGGAGGAGGAGGAGGAACCTCAGGATATGAAGCCTAAGTTTGAGGAAGGTGAGTGTATTTTACTTCTGTATCTCGATGATTGATACATCCTTTTCGGTGTTTGGGATGTGACTTATAAGAAAAGGATTTTCCTCTGTCAGGATGGCTGAATGGACAATTCAGTCTGATTATTGGGGAAATGAGGATGATTTCTTAGTTGCTCGGAAATGGGTTGGATAGAGAAGAATAGTTTCCCCGAATATACCAGTCATAGGCAGCCTGATGGATGTGCTCGACGTTGACGATTACCGTGTGTCATGTTGAACTTATTTACAAAATACTAACAACTATGATTGCCTTTTCAATTGATAGAATGCGCCAATTCCTCCAAATGCGCTCCCGCAAAACACCATTTCGACGAGTGCGTTGAGCGAGTCACCCGAAACAGCGAAGACCCCGATTTCAAAGGCCCCCACGAAGACTGCGTTGAGGAGTGTAAGTTCTGTTTTGCCATTTTAATGCTATGCGGCCTGTTGTGCATATCCCTCTTTACATATTATTAATGCCCTTTATGCACATACATCGCGCATCATAACTCAATTACGCAAAGATATAGCCGCAGCATGTTTCCTTTTAATTGTCAAACCTTTTTGGCATCGAGGGCAATTTAGCCGACCCCATCACCAAACCCTATAGGAGAACCGCTACTAATTTGTCTTCTCAAATTGACATCTAGTCTTCCATCTCCAACACTGCTCAACCCAATGCGCTGCGCCTAAACTCTTCCGGGTCCTCAAATAAGCATCTCCGTCTCCGTATTCCGAAATGTTCGTATTCCACTTGGATACCGGGAAATCCTCTCTTCTTTCGAATAAATGCCATATCAGTTATCTCGATGGATGGATAATTGATGCAAATACAAGAATGAGAAAGGAATTTTCTATCCGAGATGGGATATGATGTTTTAGCATATGGAAAGGAACGAAACCCCAGACGAAAGAGGAAACCAATGCATTGACAAGCCTGGCCGAGCCACTCTACAACCCCTCCTCCTTCTCAGCTTTCTCGCAAACTCCATGAATCGATCGATTAAAAAATATAAAATTAAAAATAAAAACATGTATCATTACATACTATTCCCTTACAAATCACTCTACATGCCTGTACAGATAAATTTAGATTAACAGTGTCTTTCTATAAACTCCGTTTCTTGTTTGAATGTGTCACTCATCTCCTATTCCAGGGGTTTTTTAGCGATTTCCCAGTTTATTAAGCTAACAGTTGCTTGGATCCTCTATCCTGTTCCTTAAAACATCTAAGAGGGCTATGGGGTAAAGCTATCTTGACAAGGGATAAGTATTTTCAAAATACACGCCTAATTAAGGAGGTGTGAAACGTTCAATTAACATGCAAAACATACGAACAAAAGGCAAAACGCATCACTTAGACGTACAAAGGTGTACAGTGTATGGCCGAACACGACGACTAAAGAGGAAGCGATGATAGAAAACCGCAAAACCACACAGCTTATCTCAATTCTTCAATGGAATCGGAGAATTAGAGTGAAATACCCAATGAAAGATCACCACCCCCATATAACAATCACATATCCACTTGCCTACTACCTAGGTTAGGTGCATACCTATGTTCCTTTCCCCGTGACATAATATACCTCACCGTTATTTCTTCTGTTAGGCCTCCCGTCCGCCTCCGCCGCCGTCTCCGCCTCAAATCTCCTATTCCGAACTTCGCACCCGAATAGCCCTAAGAAGAGCGGCACAGGCGCCACCACAGCCGCCACCACAGCCTGAAAAATCAACGCTCGCGTCATATTCCTGGGTGGATTCGCATTCTCCCCATCCTTCAACGCATTCTCAATAATAATAAACGACGCTCCCAGCAGCTGCCCGCCCATCCAGCAGATCGAACTGCTGACCTCCGGCGACATCGGATACGTGATTTCCACTAGGTACTCGAGGATGACAGGCAGAACTGCGAAACTGGATGCGCCTAGTAGCGCGCCGACGACATTGGGTCCCGCGACGCTGCTGGCGCGTGGGGCGAAGACGAAGCCGATGTAGCAGACTGCGATGATGGGGACGAGGATCTTTGTTAGGAGTAGGTAGTTCTTGTAGCGGTCCGTGATGGGGGAGGTGATGGCGGCAGCTATGAGGCCGACGACGATCAGCAGGGCGCCCGTGATGCCTGCCTCGGTTTCGCTGAAGCCGTGCGGTTGGAGGATTTGGTTTAGGAGGGAGGAAATGCTGTTGAAGAGGCCAACGTAGACGATGAATGGGATGAAGATGAGCCAGAATTCCAGCGAGCGGAGGAGTTTCATGGGGGATTTGGTGAGGGGGATGCGCTTGATGGTTGAGGAGGGGGTGGGTGGGGTTGGGGGTGCGGAGGGGATGAAGAAAGATGGGAGGCAGACGACGGTGGACTGTGGAGGGCGAGATAGTTAGTTTGAGGTGTCTGGAATATTTGCACAGGTTTGGATTTGCTATTTTTCTTTTATTCTCTTTTGGTTTGGGGGGAGGTGGTAGGGGGAAGATGGTAAGGATGTTCTCTTACAATGATAGATACATAGAGCACCATATTCGGAATCTCTGAGCTCGTTGTCGCCAATAGTGGGCTTATCAGTTGTCCCAGGGCGCCGCCAAAGGGATTCGCAAGAGTTGCGATGGCCGTGGCACTGGTTCGACCGCTGCCTGTGAACCATCGATCACTGTATCGCGTGGGCGCACTTAGGCAGAACGGTTGCGCAAGGCCGATTAATATTTGTCCTAGCATTGCGACGCCGAATATGCCATTGCCCGCTCTTGTGCCCGCATAGCGAATCCAGTTGCCGAGAAGGAGGAGGATGGCGGCTGCTGTGAATGATTGCTTGGGCCCACCTTTGTTGAGGGTCAAGATGACGACACTATAGAGTGTGTGTCAGTGACGGGTTAAAATCTGGCAAAATCTTCTTCTTCTTCTTCTTCTTCTTCTTCTTCTTCTTCTTTTTCATTTTATGTTTGGTTTTATTTTGGATGTATGCTGTTGAGAGTTCTGGAGCGGGGAGCATACGGTGTTGAGACACAGAAGGCAAACTGGAAGGCGATGCTCATCCAGTTGATCGTGCCCTCCGAGACGCGGAAGTGCTCTGAGGCAGTCTTCGAAACAGCAGAGAAAGTTAACCACTATGATAGATATTTCATATTCAAGTTAGCGAACACTCTCATTCATTTCATCGCTTCTCCTCGATTCTCGGATCTACATACATCCCAGCTAACAATCGTATTCAGCAACACCAACTGGGCCAGTCCTAAGAAACGGCGTTTATAGACCCTATACACTTGTCTGCCACTGCCAGCAGCACCCTCAAGGACCAGAGGATCGTGCGAACGAGAACCAGTGCTCAATGCAACAAGCTCGCTGCTGGGTGTGGAGGGTTTCGCCGTCATCGCAACCTCGATATTGTCATGCACAGGTTCTAGCCTGTCGTCCATGGCGAACCCTCAGCAATCATTATTTGATTTCTGGGGATATTCGCACGTCCGAGGCGTTTATCTATTCTTATCCCCCTGTTGAGTAGTAGACCTGATGGCTCCGTGTCAAAGGGTTGGTTTAGCTATACTATCCGGTTGTAATTTGCATCCCCAAGGGATGGGTGTGGTCCAACGTTGGATGTTGAAGCGTCCAAGTTTCCCCGCTTAATAACTACAAAGGGAGATCAGGTCAGGCTTGTTGCTGTGGAGTTTGTTTTATTTTAGCTGATGGCTAAGGCGAGGACTAAAGCCCGGGCCAAAGTATTAAAACAAAGGTAGGGTGAAAAGAGTAATTAGCAGAAGCTGAGATGAAGATTATTTAATCCGTTTCATTCATGATTCATGATTCATTTCATTATTCATTGCGAAAGCTCAGAGACTTTTTCTACGTGGCCGATTTTGGTATTTCTAGAAACTCTTTTATTAAGATGTTTGTATTGGGGGAACAACAGCTTGAATTCGATGCCCCCATGTAAAAATCATCTGCGGAAGTTAATCTAGATCCAATGCTTGTCCCTTGGACCGCTTTTTATTAACACCTCCAACTCCCCTTAAAAAAATGTGTGGCTTTTTCAAGCTAATTAATGCGCAGAAAATATTATAGGTCTATCAATCAAACCTTCAAATTCCGACCCCCTTATTTAAATGAAGCAACCCAGTTGACTTTCAGAATAGGAGCAATACTATCCCGTACAGTAGTTACCTTCACGCTGCTTTCAGTCGAACGTAGAACATTTTGCCTTACCACACACTGGCACACAGAAATAAAATGATAGGCTTCAATAGCTCGTGGAGCGCTTCGCCTCTTCAGTCTTCGTATTTACTCAAAGCCTGAGGCTGGGTTGTTTTTAACCGGAAGAGCTGAATGGAGTTCGAGAACCGCCACAGCAGGGGTCGAGACATCCAAGGGTGTCGGAGTTTATTCATGACTATTCTGCGTGAAGGTCTAGGTGGTTAGAACCTTGATTTCGAAGTCACCGTCCTGATTTGCTACAGTTCATGCATCATTGGTTAGAGCTGGATTGTCTTGACTTTGTGGAGAATGGAATTCCGTGGATGGCAAGGTTAAGTTAGTGAAGGTCTTCCTCCCCATGATTTTTTTTCTGTTTGGGGATCTAGATGTTGTTGTTGGCCTCGATTTATCTGGGGGGCCAGCGAACACCGGGTATACAACCGAAGATAGAAGGGTACCGGGACGAAGACTCCCTTGAGTTGGAGGTAAGTTAGTTAGCAGGTAGCCCAAACTGTATCTCAACTCTCAAGCGGTGCCCCTTGGGCCGCAGACGAAGAACCAATTCATGTTCACACTGTGTTAAGTCTCAGCCCGAAGTAAGCTGCTGGTTGGTGGTGGCTTACCCAGCTGGCCTCTCGAGCACCAGTCAAGCGAGAAATGCCACCTGCCTTGAGCCTCAGCCCCTCTTAGCCATATCACGAACCTCGACCCTCAGTTCAAAGTGAGTTGGCAAATGTTGATCTGTTGTGAGCTGATATCCATCCATACAAGAGGAGTCTATACAGAGGAAGTACATGTTGCATGTAATACAATAATACATGATACCCTGTTGGATGAACGGCTAAGCAAGGAAACAACCCGCGTTTGAGCCGCTTTTTGGGGTGTAATTTTGCGTATTAATCGTACCGCCCTTGAAATGGGGTCACGGGTACTGAGTCTTAGCAGCCAACTCCCTATTCTCTCCTTGTACCAGGTACTTGACCCCTCCCTGGGGATGCTCAGCGCATGGGTCATGTGTTGAAAATCATCGCCGAACGAGGATCTCAAAAACAATCCATGAATGCTTTAAAACCTTCCTCTTTCCTTGTCTCTGGACCATGTGAATGCAGGGTTGCGACCTTCTTTCGCGATCTTCGTCAATCGTCATCGACTCCTTTATCCCTCGAAGGATCTTTTCTATCTCCTGGGATCCCATAACCGCCTCCGTTCAACGTTATCACGATATCCAACACAATACCTTGGGAACTATAGCTATCTTTTTGCACAGAACACATTCTCGTTAGCCAGGAGGATATGATGCTCCTGCTCGACTGACCGGCAGTGCGGCTAATCCGCTTGTGATATTTTCTTTCTCCGACAATTGCCTTCTCGTAGCAGTTATCCCCTCCTGCCGCAGCCATGATGGGAGTCAATGGCAACAGCATGCGCTCCAGTTCCTCCTCCTATGGAGATCCCAAGTACCTCTCCTCCATTTCGGCTGCAGCATTTGTGCCTCCTCCGTCCAGAATCCTCGTGGACGGGTACCGAGGGGAACTCGACTCCATTCAGGATGCGAGCCCTCGATACAATCCTGTGAGTGTTTACACTGCAATTCAATTTTGGTTTCGACGTCACGAGCTAGTGTCTAACTTGTATTGAACCCCTTGGGGTTTGATCTGTATCCTTTTCAAGCTCAATCCCACCCACCCAAGAAGCTCTGTCCTTCTAAATGCGAATGACCCGGTGGTTATGCATCTTCTTACAGAGACTGCGATAGGAGATAGCATGCAGTTCGAGGTGCTGTCGTTCGAGGAAGCGGAGGATCTGAAGAAGGAGCTCTCGTTGCTCACAAACCGGATTGGTTCCTCCAAGCGTAAATTGGCTCTGGAAATGAAACTTCAGGAAGCAGCTGCGTCATTGGATAGACTGTCGGATGGCAGATCCAGCCGGGACAATGGTGACATGGATGGGGATGGCTTTCCAAAGTCAAGGCGGAAACGAATGAGCTTTTTTGGACGGAATAGTTGGGGAGAACACCATCGGGCTGACAGTGAACTGGCGATAAGCACACGGAAATGTGAAGAATTGGCCCAGGAACTTTGGAAATTAGAGCGCAGGGCCAGCGAGCTCAGGAGGAGACTCTTGGAACACACTGCAGGTGTGCTGCAGATGACGCATAAAGGGTTGAAGAAAAAGCCCACTATAACTAACAACCTTCCACGAAGCCCCGAAAGCATGCACGGAAGCCCGAACGCACAAACTAATGGCAACTATCCGTCCCCGCCCCACAAATTTGATGATCAAAGTCTCTACCAGACCACAGATCACCTCGATGACTATGGCAAGGATTATGACAGACCAGGAAGGCTCTCACGTTCCGAAAATGGCGAAGCGAGGTCAGTGGACTTGACAGCTATACAAAGTACCGAGAAAAGGCTGAAGGAGTTGAACAATCGCCTACGGCAGATGATTCTGTCGACCAATTCAGGCCAAGATATAGATCCTCTGCCGTCGACAACCTTCAGTAATAGTGGCCCTCCCAATCCAGTGGCGGGAGTGGAAGCGCACCTTAACTACCTTGAAAAGAACTTGAGCTCCATGGCCTACCAACACCCTCGGGAAACACCCCAAGAGGCAAATAAGGCACCGAAATTCGTTGATGAAGCGGAGGAGAGACTGGAAGAGATAAACAGACGGATAGACCATGTCCTTAGCACTATGGGATCTTCTCGGTCACCCAACACATCGTTTCCACCCGGCCAGAGAAGAACTCTTCAGGGTCAGCTCAGTTACCTTGAGCAGGCGATTGATAGCATCCAACAACGGGTTGACAGTCTCGTCGAACATAAAACTATTTTGACGACGCAAATACAACAACAACGAGAGCTTAACTCCAAATCCGATGCACAGCGGGATGCTCATGTTGCGGAACTCAACGAGCAGATATCCACCTTGAAAAAGGAGCTGGAGACGTCACGGAGAGATGCCAGTGGTACGCGAGATAAGCTTTCCCTGGTAACGGATCAACTTGACGCTGCCCGACAAGAATCAATGATCCGAGAACAACAACGTGCCGAAGACGACGCAAAAGCTATAGCAAGCGCCCAGGAAGCCAAAGTGAATGCTGAAAATGAGCTACTGGCTAAGTCCAAAAGGATTGCTTATCTGGAGGATGCCCTAGAGGGAGCACGTAATGAGCAGGATTCGAGGACCAGAGAAGCCATTGAAGCAAAAGAAATTTCCGACAAAGAGCTCAAAAAGCTACAGTCTGAATATTTCGAACTCGAAAATGAGATGATCCGTGTTCGGACGGAACTAACGTTGGCGCAAGCAGAGCTTGATGGGGCTTACGGTAGCCGTGCGGAACGCGCAGCGCAAGTTGCGGCCAACCCAGCGATCCAGAAAGAAATGGATGATCTCAATCAGCGCAATAGGAGTCTTACCGAAGAAATATCCATCCTTCGAGCCGAACAACTTAACAACAGCAACGATAGCGACAGCAAATCGAGCCTCCGGCAGAGGGTTCAGATACTAGAAAAGGAACTACGAGAGACGATTGACGATTATAAAGTAATGACGAAGGCAAGCATTGCATTTGAGAAGGAACGGGATAAGCTCGAAACTTCCATCGACAATCTCCGCGATCGCTGCGAGAGTCTCGAATCAAAACTCAGCGAGGAGAGGGTGCAGAGTATGGGTAATGGTAGTCTTGGTTATGGCAATGGATATGACAAGGGAACTTATGAAACGACTTCAACTATGGTGCTCAAGAACGAGTTTAAGAAGATGATGCGCGACACGCGGGCTGAGAATATGCGAGCCCTCAAGGTATGCATGCACACACACGCTCTCATCACGGAGAGACTGATGCGTTTGAAGTATATACTAACACCTACATTTCATCTAGGCCGAGCAAGAAGAAAGACGGCGACTTGAAACATTGATACGAAATCTCAAGAAGGAGCAAGCTGCGGGAAAGCTGAACTTAAGCCAGGACACCTCTACAACTTAATATCCTCTCAACTGGCCTTACTATTTCACTATTTTTCTTGGGTACCCCTACTTTAATGCTGCATCTGTTATACATCCGCTTAATTAGCTTCACCATGCTCTGGCGTCGCTTGGTTAATGCCCTTAGAGCATACCTATTTTCCACACTCAGGGGTTGTTTTTGCATTTTTTTCCCCTTCATTTCTTTCCTGGATATTACGATATGTGTAATCCGAGCCACCAAATCGTCAAACTTAATAGATGATGCGCTCGTTTTTGAGTATTTTCGGACTGGCTCAAATGTTTAAGTTCCTAATAAGCAACGTTTATTTTCCCGCGCACCCAGACTCTCCTCCAGGTCGCGATTTCTTTCAGCTTGTGGAGATTGTGATTGCTTGCCCCCGGGGCAAGGGGGGAAGGCTCTTTCCCACTCGCCTGCAATACAACTTAACTTCTCTTGATCCTAAAACCTTTTTGTCATTTTTACTTCCATCTTCTCATTTATTTACTTATTTATTTTTTCTCCCTGACAGGGCCGTCCGATTGGCTGATAGTCATGTTTCCCTTTAGATGAGGGTTGTCTATCGTTTATCTCCCACCCTCTGCTTCGTTTGTATTGCAAAAATGACCTCCTATCAAAGGGGACGGTCCCCTGCCACCACCTATACCAATGACCTATATAACCGAATCCGATCTCGTTCGCTTGAAATTGATAAGCCGCGCCGGAGCAAACTCCGCCGTGTTGTGTCGACGAGAGCCTTCAGTCAATATATCGATTCCTCGGAATCGATCCCCAGTGAGCACAGTTCGCTCTACGATGCAGCCCTGGCCAGTTTCGAATCAGACGATAATAGAAAACAGGTTGATCCGGACTACTTCTCAGGGCAAGCTAGCCCTTCAACCCATGCAACATCCAATGCTGAAGGGGAGGACGTGGGTATAATTAATCCTGGTCTGACGTACTCTCGCGGCAAATGGTCTGGCAAGAGGCTGGAGACTATAGTTGAGCAGAGAAGTGTTTCTACCCTCAATGCTTCGTTGCCACCCTATAGTAACTGTGTTGATGGGTCTGGTAATATCTTGTTGATCGCACAAACTTCTACGTCGAACACCCAAGTCAGGAGGAACGCCTATGGTCACAAGGTTTACTCCTTTGATGATCTTGACATCCCACCACCTCGTCCTAGTTATGCCGATCCTCGTCTTCCTAGCCGATCATCTTCATCTGGAGCAAGTTTCCAGCTGCGATGTTCCCTCCATTCAACTTCCCCTGTTGAGCCCACACAGCCGATATACCCTCCTCCTGTTCGATCTCCCACTCCCCCTGGACTTCCATCTTTTGGCTCCCGAGAAGCAATTCACTACAATCCCAACCAGGCCCGCCGCGGTCGCTCTTCGAACCATCAAAATCCAGTGTCGCGCGGAGGTACGCAGCGCTCTTCAGTAGCAGCAGATGAGGAGTATGATGATGCTTCATGTTGTGCCTGCGGTTTAAAGCGTCTCTTCGGTTTGCCATCTTGCATGGGCCCTAGCTTTCCTACCCTCCCTGCAGGTGTTGTTGCAAGGGCTGACGATGGCACCTTGGTTCGTGGTCGGTTTGGTGCCAGGCAAAGTGGACATGGAGTTGGAGCTGGGCCACATGCAAGGGGGCTAGAGGGCCACCCGTTCCATAGGATCTCCCTGCCCCCTGCAAGAGCAAAAGACGCTGCTGACCCTAGCGCAATCCTACCGGATACAAGACCGCAATGCGAGCATAGAGGTCGTAATTTAGCCTCCCAGCCTCGCTACGCGGCTCCCCAAAGCATGCCGCGATCATATAAATCCCTACTCCGATCGCATAACGCACCACACCCGGTACCGCAGCGACCCTCCTGTTCTATGAACGGGAATTGCCCCACAGCTGCCACTACATCCGTCCCCATCCCGTCATATATTGCTCATCGAAGGCTAGAGCCTCCCCTGCCACGTTCCCCGGAAATGGTACATGGTTCTCAAAGTACCAACGTCCTGCACATACCTGGTCCCGTTGGCGGGGGGAATGACGGGACTTCGTCCACATCAATCCCGAACCTACCCAATCAATCGTTAGCACCCAGCCGGTTTCGCCAGAGGCCAAGGTTATCAAGACAAGCCGCAATGGTAGTTGACAACAAGACCCCTGGTTTGTGGGAATGGCTGTTTATGGATTGCTTCTTTGTCTGCTGCGGATTATTCGGTGGCAACGAGCCTTCACAGAAGCGAGATCAGCCTTCTCGGCAAGGCCGCATTATTGGTTTGGACGGTGAAAGCTCTGCGGTACCACCTGTTGGCCACATGGCACCAGCGGCGGTCGCTAGTGGACGTGGAGAGAGGTCGCCTTCCTCCCCGTGGAGCCCTGCTTGGGGGTGGCAGCCGCAATGTTTTGGGGGAGACGGCCCTATGGATGAATAATTTGACATTGGAACTTCGACTGAGTTGCACCTAATACGAATAAATGAGTGTCAGGATGCTGCTATTGCAAATCGGAGTTGATCATGATATACCCCCCTGTCTTACTGGTTAACCAAATTCGCAGGTAACCCAAGGATTAATTTGTATTATAGCTCTATCGGTGGGTTGGGGGGTTGGTTACCTGATTGGCGTATAGCGATGGCTAGGAATGCTGTTTAAACCGGCGCTTTTGTGTATGTGCTCCGCTGACCTCCTCTTGTTGCAACAACAGTTGAATTCGTTTTGATTTCTTCGGTAAACGGCACAGAAGCTTTGGGAGAACAGGAGCAGTGGATTTTTGGAATTTTTGGACTCGCTGCAGAGGATCGCTGAAAGCATGTTGTTTTGCTCACCCGGCCCTTTAGCAATGTCGATCGTGAAACATTTACCTGCTATATGGGACTCGGCAGCTGTACCTCCTTTCTAATGTTCTTCTCTAGACAAGTAAATTAGCTGTTAACGCATGAAGCTGGAGTTTTTCATGTCATTCGCTTGTCTTAAAGAAAGCTGATATGCATTCTTGCAGACCGATTCACACTCCCCAGAATAATAAGCGTCTCCTCTTATCAATATTTGATCCCTTCTGCTTGCTGCGTTAGTCTCTTACCTTTTCACCTCTTCCCTTTTCTCTCTATATGTCTTTTTTCATGCATACTTAATTGGTCGTTTACTACTTCTTAGTTCTTCATTTCTGAACAACACGATGAATATTTGCCTGAACTTTGCCATGTGACTAATGGAATGATCGACGAGCGACACTGAACCTCTCAAGGGAGAATACGCGTTCCCCAGTACAAACTAACTTTGAATAACCTGGATTTTCAATTTCCAATTTTCAATTTTTTTCCTGATAAGGGCTTTGAGATTTGGAAAGCAAAAATACCGGGTAGAACATGAGAGCTTTCCCTTTTTCTAGAGCTGATGATCCTTCAAGTGCTCCCACAGGATTGTAGATCACTGTTAATCCAGAAAAGGGACTATACATCCCCCCTTGCAATAGTGGATCTTTTGCTCCTCTCTAGCTCCGCAGGCGCTCTCCCAATTCCCACGTATGTCGAGAAATCCAAACGGAACAAATAGTAAGAAGTTGACTCTTCCAACCTCCCTCAAGGAAACAATTGCTTAACGATTCTAGTAGTTTACTGTACGATGATAGAATTGGAATGGGCATCTATTCCCTGGATTGACATCAGCGACCTTTCCCCATCTTCTCTTAGGTCCACAACTGACTTCCCAATGTTTTCTACATGCCAACGGTAGAACGAATGCGAAAACGTTTCCAAGGGGCTCAACTCTACCAAGAGCAACGACGACTAAATTCGGGACAGGAAAGAAAAAAGAAAAATAATTCACCGACGGTTTATCACGCATCCAATTCAAGATCAAAAAGAGGATTGATATATTGCAAGGAGACTGAGAGATTACTCTCTATATCCAAGGATACAGAAGTCAACCCAAGAGGTTTTCCGATGTTCTTGTCCATGAGAATACCGAAATATGGTCAAATCATTCTTCCAAGGGCTTCTGGTTGGGGTATCAAGGCTGCAGAACGCTTGAAAAAGAATCGTTGACCCAGATGGGTGGCCTGTTTGTCCATAACACCAGATGATTCTAAATTTCACAGGCATGAATCGGCTACGCTTATAAGATATCATCGATATGGACATGAAGTCCCCTAACTTAAGGATGTCCTATTAACGAGGGAGGCAATGTCGCCTAGGTCATCCCTAGACGGCATTGGAGAAGCTCTAGAAATCAGCTCTAGAAATCCGCTCTCTACATCTCTCGGCAACGGAGACGACGCCATCCAGGTGTATGTACAGAAAAAAACTGACAATGGGCGAAAATGAGGCAGGACTTGATAGAGCTGGATGTAATTACACGACCCTGGGATTGGCAATTGCGCTACTATTCGCCAAATTTCCAAACTCAAATGCCTCAACCGAGGTATAAATGATTCCAAGGTTCCAAGGTTGGTATCCATTGGGTAGCTCTTCGTCCCTCCAATCACATCCAATCAACGCATTACGTCTCGAGGCACGTAACTTCATCCTGTTACAACTTGTCTCAGGGTTCTAAATTCCCGTTCGTTGGGGCGAAAAATGTGGAATTGAGAGGACAAACCACTGAATTCGGTACAGATCGTTCATGCGAAGCTTGTCATGGACACTGAAAAAGGTGACAATTAAACAAAAATCCTACTCAATCAAGTTTGTCAGGATGATGACGGATTCTATGGGCTTAGAAAAGGATTCCTGGGTCCGGCCTCCACTGTTAGTGTTGTCGGAATAAAGGAGTTCTGTTCATATTGAGATTTTATGTGGGCTTTATGGGCAGTACCATGGACCTGGTTACAGAAACACGTTTCCTACCCTTGCTTAGGTAGCTAGCATACTTCCATCTACATGCAATGCATGATGTCCTTAACCTATGCCTCCACAGTGTATCTGATATAGATATCGTTTCAACGGGCTAGAACCCAGAGTAATTTGCCACAGCAGTGTGCGCGAACCGAGATCCAGGATCTAGAACCAGGGTCCAGGATCTAAGAACCGGGGTTTTGCTGAAATTCGTTGCGAGAATTGGAATATTTCTTCCGGACTACATGGAGATTCCTTATCTCCAATCAGAGATTCATTGTTACCACAGCTGCTTGTACAGGGAAGTTCTAGCTATTAACCCCGTAACATGACGCGGACTTCAGACGTCTCAACGACTATCGGGCTCAGGTTCCACAGTTTATTCCAACTCTAACGTCGAAGACCATAAGCGGCATATCGGAGGTGACATGGGTCGTGGTGCTGGAAACGCTATGTATATGCCGCAAGGTGCCATGACTAAGCTGTTGGAGGTTGTTAAGCTTCCCTAGAGTGCATGCCGAAACCGACTTCGGGTTCGGGATGAGGAGAAGGACCCGAGCCTAAAAGTTTAATCTAATCCGTTATTCATGCGTTCAATGACACGGGACCAGTGAGACGTTCGGGAAACGTGCGCAAATCGACCAGAGGTCAACTGCTATCTCAGGTACCGTTGCAAATCAAAACAGAGGCAATCCAAATCTACAGTGTCAAATCATCTGCCCTGTGGCTGTCTCAGCATTTGAACCGAACTCAACCGTGACCGGGATTTCCTCCTCCGAGACTTCTAGTTGCTGGGGGCATGTAGTATTTTTTTGTGTTTAGACAGGATGGCAGGATGATACACAAAAGCTCAGTGGTCAAGGCGATTGAACGATCTAACGCTGCCTACTGCTGAGCTCAAAAAACGAGCCCTTTTCTCTCTAGACAAATCATGTTGGGGGAATACGGCTTACGCAGAAGAATATTCGGAAAAATGATGAGGAGAATGTTCAGACTTCACACTGCTCTCTTTAAGCAAGGCTTTTTGAGGTGCAAGTAACTCCTTTCAACCATCCCAGCTTTGCCTTCTACACATTTTGTCATACGGTGCCAGCACAGGATGACGGAATAAACGCGATATATTGGAAATACAGCAGATTCCAATAGAGATGCAACGGCTCTCAAACTGAATCCGTATTTTCCACGGCAAACAAAACCATCGGAAACGGCTCATTAAAACTTCATGTTGAAACACGATGTAACTATATATTATTCTGGACTAACCAGCTACGCCGTTGGAGCCGGATAAAAGCCTTGAGGCATGGTTGATAAAACAACGACATGGGTGATTCTCAAACTTTACCTTTGTCTTGCAGCAATTCTTAAAATAGATATCGATTGATTCCCATATTGAGGTTTGCTTACCATGGTAGTTAGGGGATTGATGTTGTTCTCTTGTTAAACGAGGTCAACACGTAGTTTTGACCCATGATAAACCTCTGGTTAAACTACACAGCTAGTCAATTACGGGCTAGGTCCACACGGATAACGAACGGCTGATACCGAGAAGTTTAACGTTAATTTTTTTTTCCCCCCGTTGCTTCGATCCCGAAGATCGACCAATAACTCTAATAAGCGGATCACAGCGGATGTCGTTGCGCCGGACTTGGGTTTGCCTTTTCGGCCCCCTCGGAAGCCAAATATCAGGCACGCCCCTGGCTGTCGGTTGAGGCGTTTCCTATCGAGGCGGCTTGTTTTGGTTAAAGTCGGGTTATCAAAGGTAACAACCCCTTAATAGTAACAACTGCTGAAGGGGTAGTAAGGAGCTAACTCTATATTCCTCTTTCTAAGCGACCCAGGAAGAATGGAATTCTGCTTCGCTCTACCCAAGTCCAAATGCTCAAAGGCCCGGGATATGTCGGAGTCATGAAATTTTGGGAAATTCCTGCTCCCGCTAAATCGCATGGCTTGGACGAGCCGAAGGGTCTGCTGCTGCCATCTAATAACGCGTCGGGATCTCCTGTATAAAAGGGGCATACGAGACCCCGCAAGAACTTCAAACGACGCATCTTCCATAAGTTCTACAGTTCATACACCAACAGCCTTATATTGAGTATTCCTCTATATTACACAACCCAACCAAACATCCTCTTTGCGCACCATCATGTTCACCTTCGGCAGCAACTGGTTCAACAGCCTTGCTGTTCTGTTCCTCTTGGGCGCCGCTACAGCAGCCCCTGCACCAGACAACATGGCGAACCATGAACCAAGCAATGCCACTCTGGTTCCTCGCAGCTGCCAGACAGTTGCTCCGAGAGTTTTAGCCCTGCTCAACGAGAACCAACCCGATGTTTTCATCCCTTCTTCCGACAACTTTATTGTCTCCCGCACTTCTCAACCGCCCCACAATGACCTGATTATGACATTTTCATTCGAATTACCATACGGAGCGACAGGCTGCATGCTACAGATCCAATGGCCTGAATCTGAACCCCCCTTCAGCTCTGGCCCCTCAGAGACAGTCGAAGTCTGGACGGTGAAGCCTTGGGGACCTAACGTTTTGGGATCGACTGAACCTACTTTTGCCAACCCGCCCGAGCTGGATCAAATGGTTGGCACAGTCAATTTCCCCCCGAAGCGACATCCGGGCGCTTTCAAGACAATTGTCGCCAGCGGTTCATGCACGTCCACCATGAGCTATTTGGTCAAATTCGCAGAATGGCAGAAAGAGGAAGGTTTTGTGGGTTTCGAAAACATGCCGGGCAGGTTGGGATGGTCATTGATTTACAACTGTTAGGCTGTTGGAACTCTTCTCCTGGCTAAGTAAGCTTGGGCTTTGTTTCTGTATGTGTGGGGTGTGGTTAAGACGATGGAATAATGTCGGTGACTTGGAGGGAACTTGAAACCAATTTTCATAGTTATTTTTAAGGGAATAAAAAGGGTTGGTATCATTTTATCTGTGTTGGTTGTCAGTGTAAATAACATCAGTGAAGATGTCATTTATTTTTATGAAAAACTTCTGGATGTGATGCATCAAAAGAGAATTCAAGAGTGAAAGATGGCAGATCTCCACATTTATTGTTATGTCATACAAGCAGCCAGCGAACTCTATCCACCAAACCAGCGCCCTAAACTAACTAGCTATTGGTTACCCTCCTCGGCCTCATATCCTCCAAGGTACTAACCATGTTAGAATAACCTAACTAATCGCCCTGAAGCTTAGTTTAGTCACTTCAACAAGTCAGGGGCATACAAAGATATGTGACCTCGCCAGAAGCTTGACCAACCTCTCCGCATAACCACACACTCAAATTGAAAATTATGCACATAAAAAGAGAAATCAGATGATAAAAACATTACCATGGTAGCTTCTCTTCGTAATCAATGATCTCAATTTCTTCTACTCTGGCCAGTGCTTGTCAACTACTTTTCAAGCGCTTTATACTGCAAGAGTCAGCAGTATTCTCTAAAACAAAAATCATCTATAGTTTTCTTCAAACTACAATGAAGAAGTATGAGCATCTATGTGATGATTTGAAATATATTTATCTAGAGAGGTTCCTAGTGATCTTTGAATTCTACATTACAGGCTTGACAAGAAATTCAATAGATGAAGAAGAATAATATCGTAGGTGAAATTATTTTAAGGTATTTTTTGTATTTATTATTATTTAATGAGTATTGTTCTTTTTTTTTTTTAAAAAAAAAAAAATACAATCTAATAAATAGAAATATAGTTTTATTTAATTAATAAAATATTTTTTATAAGAAGAATATATAGTTGTCTTAGTTCTTGAGTATAGAATTTATCACGTATTATTATGGCTCTTTGCTAGCACCAACCGAGGATTAGTTATATCTCATCCAACCAGACCTCACAACTCTACTAGCTGAAGGCAACGAAGTGTTTAATATTCATTAACGCCCAGATGGCAGCGGGGTCTCTGTTTACCTTGTGGAAATAACCCAAATTGAATGTGCTGCCCCTAGCTTGCTGTCGATTAACGCTCCTGCATCCGTATGGGCACTTCTTCGATATGACTGAGTGATATGATAACTACTGATTCAACGGAGATATTGCAGGACGCTCCCACCCGCACCCACACCCAATCCCACACTTGAGAACAGAATACGAAGCCAAATCACAAATGATCTTGTGAAGATCAAGTGCCCCCCTTTCCAAAACAACCACAATTGTCTATCCATAACTCAGCTAACTACTGGAATATCCTTTAGTGGAAGAGCAGCGTCACATCAACAACTGGAAGAAAGCTGACCTGGTGCAAGGCCATTCACTGACCTGAAGAATATTTTGAAGCTCAGCCTGGACAGGCTGAAGACATGATCCACCTTCTCGCGAGAAAAAAAAAAAAAATCATCAGCTTCCCTTTGCCGCAAGAACTCGACTTCGAGTCTTGCTACAGGCTCCTACACACCTGCTGATCAAGAGTCAAGGGACGGAAAGAGTGCCAAGTACAGATGCACTACTTATGAAACCCTCCTCACTACTAAAGGCAGCTTCATGCGCAAGTCAGAGCTAGGAATAACAGATAAGAGCAAGAGGATTTGTAAGGATTTAGTGGATATCAATCAACCTGTTCCCAAACACACAATGTTTCCAGATGATACATTTGACGAGTTTTGTCAAAGACTACAGGCAAAAGAATGAGTCAAGAGTTATCCAATACATATCCCGATTAATTGTACCTTCAGCAGAATCTCTCGCCGTTGACGGGGCCAAGAATCTTAAACACTTGGTTGAAAGTGTTAATGAACAGTGGAGCTCCTCCATTGCCTTCTGTGGACCGCGTCCGCAGCCGCATTATGCGGCCGGGTTCGGCCGTTCTGCGTTCACGGAAGACCAGCTGAAGAAATTCGAGCCGCTCCTGGCTACGACCCGGATACCTATAGCTCGTTCTTCCTGGCCACACCTTCTACATGTACTTCCCTTCTTGACCAGTGAGGTGAAGGGCACCACCGTGCTTGACATTGCTGACCGGCAGAACGCACACAGCATGACCCTTGCCGTGAGGGGCGTCGTTGAGCTGTTTAAACTTGTGGGACGTGAAGATGAGGTCAATCGCGATATCCTGCCTGGCTTTCTCGATCTCACCCGATCACAGGACTGTGAGAATTTACGGCCACTATGCAGTCATTGAGGAGAACAAGACTTCTTTCTACCGTCACCCAATCAGAACATTTGACTTCACTAGTGAGGAGGGGAAGCATAAGTGGAGCGCATACACGTTTGCCAAGAATGTTTACGATAAATGGATGCCGGATCACCTGAAAAGTATCCGGTCTGCCATGGATGATATCCCTCCTGGTGTGGTGTCCCAGTCAGAGCTTGGACTCTGTCAGTCAATCGCTCCATCCTTTGTGGACGACGATGACGGTCAATAAGTCAGGTGAGTTGTTGTGGCCTCAGCAGAAGTTACATCTAACTCTTAATTCGCTGAAGCGGCCAATGAGGCAGAAATAGTATATGCACATCAACATAACTGTATAAGAGGATCATTCGTACCTCTTTTCTATTCCTCAATTTAGAGGTGTCTGTACAGTGCAACTTGCTTTTCCCGCTCCTATTAAATGAACCACATATATTGTGCCACATGGCTCAATTAATCCCTTCTCGATGATGAATGACTATGTGATCGTGTCGCAACATAACTCGTAGGAAATGTTGCTACCAACTATGCAATGTGGCTTGGGAGGTTCGATGATCATGTGACCCTCCGGTAGACAAGTAACGATTCATATGAGCCCAGTTGCTAATTATGTGTTTCTGCCTGTGCCTTTCACAAGCATAGCGCAGAACAGCCTGCCCGGTAAGAATGCTCCAGTTCTCTCTCTTCCTCCTACTTTTCCTGCTTTCACATACCAGACATGGGTTCTGGAATCCCGTGGGCTGCTGACATTCTCGGATGTAAACTTAGTTATGACTGGATTGGTTTAGTTAACTAATGATCATACTGGTCAATTTATTCTCAACCATGCCACTTGAGTCCGGATGATGATATTGCCAGGAAGGGGCATTTGAAAGTTGTAGCCTCTGTGTAGCTTGACCTAAAAGCTGGCAGTTACTCCGCATAGCTTGCCCAATGATATACACGAATGAGAAGGCGCCGGTTGTTTCAATACAGGACCGTGTGGACAGTGAAGGTCTCGCAGTATGCAGCGATGAACCAGCTGCCCTGAGATGGTGGGCAGCGGTCCTCGCTCCTGGGCAAGGTTGGACGGCCTCGATAAGTGTGGACGGACGGTGTTGAATACCAATCTCCATGGCCTGTCCGCCTTAACGGCGAAGTTACATTCACTGTTAGAGGACCCTCTTTACTCGCCAATGCGAAATGCCCTGGGTCATCTCAAGCCTTCACGTATCTATCGGACTTTTGCCACCGTCGCAACCTTGGGAATCAGGCAAAAGCAGCCCTCGGAGCAGCTCTAGCATTCCCATCACACGCGCTCTGTCTGTCCCGAGAGACATGGAGCTACATGCCACCTTGGAAGCCTCCTGGGAGAGTCATAATAGACGATGCTCACATAGTGGCCTAAGAACATGCTCATTGTATGGGACATTACCTCTCCTACCAGTCATGGTCATGGTTGGGTACAGATGGTCGTTCTGTCATGGACCTAGGCTATTCGTCTCAACAGAGTGTCCCAGCGGCCTATAGTCGGCCAGTGCGTTTACGAAGTCAAAAGGAAGTCGGAATAGGAAATATGTCACAGAATGCTTCGAAAAGCTGTTCTCGAATGGTCTTCTGGGGCCGAGGGCAGCAAGGGATCGCTGCTCACGATCGAATGTTATATCAATCTCTAGCGGAGTAGATAGGTATGACTCCAGGAGATAGCGATGAAAGCGACGTGGAATCTCATGATTCCGAAGGCAGATCAAACGATATGGGATGTATTCAAGACTGGCTTGCTAATACACGCGCGAGTGATATACTCAGCTTAAATCTCTACCACGGATCAGCATTGAGGGGATGATGAGAGCCGCTGCACCGGTCAAGGGCGTTAGAATCACTACAAGTATTTTGTTATCGGAAAGGCTCCTTTATCTTCAGAAGTTCTACACTGTTTAAAACTTTCTCAATTGGGATATATTTCGGACCCTCTGGGGGTTATCAACAACCACATTTGGCCTGTCACATGATAGGTTAACCCATCTATCTGTTGGAGCCTAGGCTTCCTATTATGGACTAGCGCACCGCATAATATTATATAAGCATCCCTGAGATAGGCTACCAATACAACCACTTCAGACGTCCAACATTATCTTCCGACGATAATATATTGCTGCTCACCCTCAATTAACAGGCCCGTTAACCTTCCCAAGGCTCACGCCCCCCTGGCAGTTAGTGATCTATCCCTTTAGCTTTACAGATGGCAGCCACTTCTTTTTTAAGTGTCCAGTAAGCATTAACTGAATCAATTGAGATAGACTTCAGTGCCCATGCATCTGCACCCTTGACATGTTTCTGGCTGACATATTCAACTAGCAATTCCAACAAGTGTGTCTTGTCAACCTAATCAACCTTTTCCACCTTGAGGCTATCCAGCGTTGGAGGCAAAGCCCATGCTGAAGATAAGCAGATGAGCAGACAATGTGCTGACAATTGAAGTGTTACAAGCTTCTTTGAGGACGAAAAGTCGAGAGGTTCGTTATCCACACAGTTTATGTCAAAAGCGTGAAGCCTAAAATAGCGGAGATTGGGCAATTTGGATAGCAGGTGTGAGATTCACTGATTTGCAGTTGGTTCTGAGTTCAATCCAATGAGTTCAGCGAGTTGAACCATATCACTAGTGTCTCTCTTTGGCTCGGTTATGCTGAGTGTTTCGGTGTGTGAAACCATAACGGGTCATTCATGGATGAATCTCAACAATCTTAATATCTTGAGGTGGGTGGCTGCTGAAGGTTTAGGGCCCATCTTCTTGTATAGATGCTTTTCGGCAATTCTGCGAAACTCTTTGTTGACTTGCACCAAATTGGTGAGGCTCTTCTTGTCAAGTTCCTGGACAGCTTGTTCCACCAATTCGACCGGTAGTCTGCCAAACATTTTGGACAAATCCTATTTCCTATCTTATCATTGTCAGTTGGAGCTTTGAAATACTTTGGAGAACCCCTACCATGTGCAGAAAATGCAAGGGAGGGGAGAGGGAACGGAGCCTTGTGAAAATTTTATTCTGGCTTGCCTGGGTGTTTAGATCAGGAATCACTTGGGCATAATTACACAAAGCCACATCTCCCTTTGGATGTTGAAATTCTCGAAAACGCGAATGTGACCGAGCTTTTCCATGAAGGACGTCGTGGCAGACGTTAAAAAATCCGCAAAATTGGGTCCAGAAGCCAGAGCTAGACTCCATCGGCAGATGGTTCGGTCGCCCCTCACAGGCAGGGATTTGTGGGCGCGGTGCCAATTTCAGGGGTTGGTGACCTCCTTTATGAATATACAGCCCTACACTATGGAGTGAGTCTCTGTGGGCACACCTGTGCGGGAACGGGGGCAAATGACGGTAGCTTGGTCACTTCCATCTGCCCAATCATTGCATGCTTTTTGACTCCGAAATTGAAAATTTCAATTTCACGCTATATCCTGGAATTTTCAATGACCCCCTACGAAGAAACTTTCAAAAACCCTCCTCAACCATTTCCATCTTCGATGGAATACTCATGCAGACGGAGGTTCTATGGACCTTAATGCATACATTAGGCACACCCGGCTACGCAACAACATGCCTCGCTGCCCGATAGTCTCACAGGCTATGACAGCAATTCCGAGGTAAGCAAGTTTTAATGCATCCTCAGGCAGGAGGCGTGCGTTCTCGTTACTTGCGACGCCTTCCATGACGTGCTATTTACAAAATTTATTGACTAATAAACTAAAGAATAGATTCAGAAATCAGTTGAAAATTATTATAATTATTTCAGATTTTCTAACTGAACTAATTTAAATCTATTATATTTTCATAAGTTTATAATAACTAATTGAATTTCAATAGTTAATTCTCATTATAAAATCAGTCTCATCAAAGTTATATATATTATTATTTAGAATGTTATACTTAATTTTTATAAATTATACAAGCTTAAGTCACTTTTTAATAATTATAGAATTATCATTTTAGCTCTCTGAAAGTCATACTTATGATTAAAATATGTTGTATATATATATTAATTATAATATGTAATAAAGATGAAAATTTAGTTAATATCAACATTATATTGACCATGATTGACTAAAGAGAATTTGATTTATCATATCTCTTATATCACAAAAAATGAGAGAAAATTCTCATGAAGCTAGATTCAATATATGCTTAACAATAACAAATTCTTCTAGATATAAAAGTCATCTTGCATTTAAGATGCCTATTTTGTCTGATATATTTTCTAAAATATTTTTATATGAAAGTCTCAAGAATTCACATCATAGACTTTTACTACAATCTGATTACTCTGAAATTGAACTTATTTAATAGCCAATCTTGCAATTTCTAATTTAGATTCTTTTTGAGCTAATATCAAACTAGCTTATGACTCTGTGACACAATTGATTTTACATGATGATTGCATTCTAAAACTAAGTTGCCACTCTCATCTATGTGCAACTTTCACCCATGGATTACGTTACAAAGTATATAAACAAAGATTAAAGATGCATTATTTTAATTGGTGCCTGCTAAATTAAACTATATCACGTGAGTGGCTCAGAATGTGTTGTGTCTCAGGTAAAAGTAAATTGATTTATGGTTGCAAAGGCTGGGTTGAATCCGCAGATGTTGTTAAAGCAAGGTTTTGAAAGAACAATGGTTACTCACTTATTGAATTCTACACCATTTTCATCTGACATGTCGTTTACCTATGTTTTGAGCTTTTAGGAAAAGTATACCGATAGACTCTTGAGAATGTGAACACAAACTCCAGAGACATTCAAACCCTTTTTAAACCTAGCTGCAGATGTGTAATTATTAGGTCCAGAGAGGATATCAAAACTTTGAGGTTTTGTATTAGAAGATGTAAGGAAGACTAGTATTATAGGAAGTTCTGAGATCAAGAGCGTGAAGAGGAAATGCTTGTGGATATAATATGTTAGGAATCCAAAAGACAATTTGCCAACAAGGGACAGTTCGAAGTCAATGAAAGATGAAATCAACAAATATGTTCTCACGCTTGCTAGCAAATCCATATGCATAGAAAAAAAAAAAAAAGGTTCCTTTTATGAAACAGTTTGCGATATGAAAGGGAGCTGGTCTCGCATAACGGAAGAAAAGCAGCAAAGTAAAAAATTGCTTACGAATACCCGCAATTTATTGAGCATTGCCCAACAAATTTTGCAAAAGTACATAGAGTATTCGAATGACCCTTCAAAGACCAGTGAAGAATCGACTAGCCCATTCAAGCTCCGGATCACCGTTCGCAAAATCCCATCCCACAATCTTGTGATCTAAACTAGCACATACAAGCTGCCGCGCGTCAAATTGTAGTTTGAAAACTCTGGCGGTTGGGTGGGCTGCGGGACGGGGTAAGGGCACATTAGCGCCGAGTATCTGGGCTTGAACTTGCTGAAGTGCTGGGGGAGCCTCTTGAGTGACTGCATCAATCGCCGGGCCCACGGGATTCGGTACGTTATTATTTGCAGTATTTTCGGGCTGCATTGCTCCTGGCGTAAGAGGGTCTTGTTGCGAAGTTTGGGGCTCTGGTTGCTCTGCAACGGAAGGCTGAAGAGATTGACCAGGGAGCGGAGAAATTTGTTGACTGGCCAGGGCGCTTTGATCTTGAGAGCTGATTGCCGCTGCTGCTCTCGCTGCTTCATCCTGGCGAAGTCTTTGCCCAATTACCCATTTACCTTCCAGATCTTTCTTCCATATAATTATGGTTTCGTCGTAAGAGCCGGATACAATGCGTCCCCAGGTGCTTCCGCCGCCGCCAGGAGGAATTTTAGCTCCCAGAGCAATAATGTCGCTTGGACTCTTGGATCCTGCGATTGTAGCCATCCGCGACCTTCGTTCGCGACGGCTTGCTGAGCTTGATTCAGGAATATCGCCACGTAGTTGAGCCTTCCAATATTGAGTGTCTACTGCCATAGCTTCGAGTCGCAATGTCTCTTCTGCCCCGGGGGGATCTCCAAAACCTGCTTGAACTGTCCGCACGAGACCATGGTGTCCATGCAAGCAAGCAACTTCAGCCCCCGAGGCATGGTCATATATTCGTATGGTATTATCATTACTACCACTGACAATCCGTCGACTATCGAATTGGATGCACGCAATGCCTTTCTTGTGGCCGATTAGAGTCTTCCGACAGATCCCATTATGTATATCCCATACTTTGATTAAACGATCCCCCGAGGCAGACACAATTTCATTCTCGTCGATCTGAATGGCATTCACGGCAGCTCCATGGCCTTCAAGGGTCATAAGTAAGGAGTAAGGTGATAGAACCTTGACCAGTCGATTTGCGATTTGGGTTTCCAACACACTAGGAGATATCAAAGAGGTATCGACGATATAGGACGGATATCTCGCACTGGCGCCTTTGAACAAGGTGGGATAATTTTTATCCGTTGGCGATAGTTCCTGTCTGTTCCAAACTTTTATTGATTTGTCCTTTGAACAGGTCACCAAAAATCGATTATCGAAGCGCAAGTTTAATACCGAGTCATCATGCGCATTGGCAAGCTCTTGAACCTTTTCTCCAGTGGAAAAACGCCAAATTATGACGCTCTTGTCGCTGCTTCCAGATATAATGACATCCTCTTGTGGGCTAGGGTCAAACTGCAGACAGAGAACGGACTTGCTGTGCCCCATCAAGGGGCTCCCTCTAAGCCTCCTTGTTTCCAGATTCCAGACTCTTATTGTTCTGTCACGGCTGCCACTCACAAGCCATTTACCAGAAAACTGGAGAGTGTATACGCATTCTGTATGCGCCTGTGAGGGACAGGATGGGTGTGGCAGCTGGAAATTGGTATAGCGTCCCTTCCTCCAGTTGTCTTCTAGTTTTCGTCGTAGTCTGTATAGATATGGCCAGTTTAGTCTAGATGTACCATTGATGTTCTTCATGAGTTGTGGAGGCCCCATAGGGGAAATGTTGTCTGTTGGAGACGATTGAAATGAATGATACTCCGCAGAGTTGTTAGTCTGGCTGGACTTTCGGCTGTGGGGCAAATCGCGAAGTTCCAGAGGTTGGTGAGGGTGGCTTTGTTCTGACGAAGAGCTAGCCGAGTTGTCATCATGGCTAGCATCACGCATCTCGTGGTCGCCTTCCGCATCAGCTAGGACACTAATATCCGATGTGGAAATCCCATCGGCTTCGACCGTTCCATGCTGCTCATTCCATGGGGGACTTGCATCTTCCATACTGCCGTTTTCAATTCGGGAATTTCTCTTCGAGTCGATCCACCCTGGTGGAACACGTCGCTTTAGCTTTGGCTGCCCCTTATCTGTATCCAAACGCCTCGTTCTTGACTTCCGGTTATGTGAAAAGACTGGCTTGGAGAGGGTTTGCTCGAAATTTCGAATCGCCTCCATGTCGAAGCGCCATCCTTCTTGAGTATAGAGATGCCTCCATAGCCGGGAATCTATAATTCTCTCTCTCCACGATTTGGATGCAAGTGAAGCAGTAAGCAGAGTGGAAGTGTCAAGATATGAGAATATTTCCGATGTGATTTCGGGAGGAAGTTTGAGCACAGGATCCATGTGGAGGAAGGGAGTCAGTCGATCCACGACCGCAGCTATTGACGACGTGCGCAGGGTTCTCAATATGTTAAAAGCCAATTCTACACCCAACGTTAACATTAATAATCGCTGCAACAAGATATCTAGTTAAAAAGAAAAGGACAAAGTCACCTGCTCTGTCAGTTTCGCTGAGTGTAAGCATCCAACTCGGGAGAACTAGGCCTTCGTCTGATGATTGAACTACCTCATTTTCTGCTTGGCTTCTAGTTTCGTCCGAGTAGCCTTCATCCAGCTTGAAAGATGCTAGGACAGACGTAGGAGCAAATTCTCCACGATATTTCGCAACTTGTTGTAGCCTTGGTGTCTGTATGGCGCCCGCTGTCGCTGCCGCGTCACATTCCATGAGGGTGTCACTCTGGAGTTATGCAGAGATCTGACGAGGGGTAATGAAATATAGCAAATACGCGTAGTTCTGTATGATTAACCGGTCAAGGTGCGCTCAAGGTCCCAGTTCAGTATCAGTACGGAGTACTGGTACTGACAAATAACAGCCTTACTCCGTCAGTTTCTCGAGGCAAGACTTGCAAGTGGGGAGGGAGTCTCCTGGTTGGTCCTGCAAAGGAGGAACAGAGAGTACAGGTACAAGCGAATTAATAGCAGAGATGTTTGTAATGGGTTGCCGGAGAATGTGTGAACAAAGGAAGGTTAATTGTAAGTATATATTAAGGACGCAATGGGATGATTTCTTTGGCGGGTTTCAGCAGAGCAAAACAGCTTCGCAGTGGACTAGTTGGTTTGATAGCGCACCCCACCATCCGAAGGCCGTATATACAGCTATATCCCGCGCAACGCAACCTGTCCTCCTTGTATAAAACAAAGACTTATTATGGCTGTAGGAAAGTCAAGTTTGACCTGAACAATGCGAGAGGAGTAGTTTAGTTGGTTGATGTTTCGTTACTCCTATTGTAGTTAGTTGTTGTAACTATGTAGCTGTGCAATAACGGTTCCTTGTCCCATGGAATTATCTCCGATGGTCGCGTGGGTGGAGTCGCAGCTGAGTCATCCACTCTGCAAGGAGTCGCGGTCAGGTGATTGTGCCATGGTTGTTTTGGCACTAGTCCCGATTAGGTTCGGGCTCTCCGGTGGTTCCACCAGCTTAGTCATGGTACCTGCGCAGGCGGAGCCGCATGCCCGATCCAGCCGAACATTCTGAAAAGCGCTGACTCCTGAAACATGACTGCACAATCCAAACCACTTCAGGCCCATCTCTGGCGCCCTTGTCACTTTGCGTCTGCCATCCAGCCATCGACTCAATGCACCTCTGCACTCTCGTCTGCAAATAGGCCCTCACTCTCCTGCTTTCCTCAGCACAGAACTTTCGGTTGTCGTGTGTGCTTTCGAGGTACGTCGCCCTTATCCGTACCCCCTCTCCCTCCTATCCGCGAACATTGAAATCACCTCCAATCCAAGTCCAAGGTGCTGACAACCTCCCCAGAAACCCGCCCATCACTTAGATTATCCTCATCTTTTTCGTTTTAGTCGTTCCTGCTGACATTGCTTCTTCTTTTTAGCGCCTTATATGCGCCGCACCGGACAGCGCTACCCTGCCTATATATACTTGGCACCGCGAAATTCAAGAGGTATCGAAAGCACCCATCTCAAGCCCTCACTGGAATTCCTGTTGCCAATTAGCCAAATTTACCGTCTTATACACTTGGTCCCGTAACTTGTTTTGGGATATAGCCTACCTAGGTAGTTGCTTGACGACCCATGGTCTCGGTTCCTGAAAAGGACCAGGAAATCTGGCCGGGAGAGTCAAAGCGAACCTGATTCGATTTTAAATAACCGCGTCGAGATATTTTCGTTAACCAGACAATATGGATCCCGCAGCTGCTAATGGAGGCCCGGTTATGGCGGAGGATAATATCATCAATCGAAGAGGGGGGGAATCGTTATTCCAGAGCTGCGCAAGCCTGAAAAAGAGACTTGCTGAGGTCCCTGGTTTCGAACCCCATCTTGCAGAAATGGCAGAGATGGACAGAGCGGATGAGGCGATAGATCCTGTTGCTTCTATATGGAGATGTCTGCGGCAAGGTTATCCGCTAATGACAATCTTCAACGCCTCCAAGCCTGCAGAGCCCCTTACTATCGACACTGATAAAGTCCCAGAGGCAAGACGGCCAAAGGCAGCGGCTTTTAAGTTTCTCCAAGCTTGTTTGTTAGAGTTGGAGTTTCCCCAGCAGGAATGTTTCCTTATCACTGATCTTTATGGGGAAAACACAACGGGCTTTGTGAAGGTGGATATTCCCTCCCTCCTGAATAACTGTGGTCTCTTTTATTGCATTTTCGCTAACTTTTCGTGTAAGGTCATTAAAATGGTCAGCCGCGTTCTAGATATTCTTGAAATGCGTGGTCAGCTTTATCAACATTCTGCAACAGCCGCCGGTCCAAACCAAGGTGAAAAGGTCAAGCTTACTCGGAAAGAGCATATTTTGAAAGAGATGCTGGAAACAGAACGAGATTATGTCCACCACCTTCAAAATTTGCAAGCGTTAAAAAAGGAATTGGAGGAAACTGGGGCGCTGAATGGCGATTCGAGCCATCAGATCTTTTTGAATCTTAATAACCTTCTTGACTTTGCTCAGCGATTTCTTATTCGTATGGAGCAACACAATGCCCTCCCTGAAGATACGCAGAACTGGGGAGACCTTTTTATCCAACATCAGGAAGGATTTCGCCAGTACGAACCTTTTATCGCCAATCAACTTCGATGCGATGCTGTTTGTGCAAAGGAATGGGATAAAATCAAGGCTGCGCCACGGTCTATTGACCTCCAGCAAATGGTGGCACAGCAGTCCACTCTAAATGGATTTTTCGTCAAACCATTTCAACGTCTTACTAAGTATCCTATGATGCTCTCGGTAAGATTTAATATACTGGGTTACTATGGTCACTTGCGGCCAGTCACTAAAATGTAACTTGTCTATAGGAACTGAAAAAGCAGACCAATCGCGAAGACCTTGTTGCCGACATTTCCACTGCCATTGACATTGTTCAAGCGGTTTTAGACCAAGCAAACCGTGCAGTTGACAAAGAACACTTGGCCAACGCCGTTGCCGATCTCGCTTCTCGTGTTGATGATTGGAAAGCCCTTAAAGTTGATATATTTGGTGAACTGCTTCGGTTCGGCACTTTCACCGTGCTGAAGGGTGACGGAGGCAGAGATTCAGAAAGAGAGGTTCGTACGGCCCTTTCACAGTTTAATACCCAACATTGGCCCATTCGGTATCGCCGCCCTTCCCTACGTAGGCAATCTGTGAAAATCCGCATGTGTCTGTTAGGTGTCGATTCCCTGACACCCAATCATCCCTCCCCAACAAGGCTATCTGGATTCTATCCCTCTGGAACTCCTTCCCAGGACCCGTCCCCTAGATTATCTGAGTTTACGGTTTTCTCGAGGAAATCAAGCTTTTGCTCTACGACCTTGAAAGGATTTGGCCTTCCCCTGGTGGAGAAATCTCACCCACCTCTTGCATCTAATGGACCTGGGCAACTAGAACACTTCCACCCACAATCCAACATTTCCATGGCAGATGATTTCCCGAGTCAGCCAGGGAGCACTAGTTACAAAGGACCCTTTTCTCCTGGCACCACCCCGCCATCCCCCTGTCCACAATTGCACAAACAAAAGAGCTTTCCCACACAACTATCTGGGCCTGATAGACGATCACGTACCTTGTCAACCATTGATCGTCTAATTATTGCCAACGAAAGCTCAAGAGCTAACTTGGATGAATGATCACCTTTCTTCGCCAAAAAGGAAAGGGCAGGACAAGCATAGCTAGCCATGGCGTTTCTTCTCCTTTTGTTTCGCGGGCGTTCTGGATATTCTTCTCAGAATGCTTCTCTTCTAACCCAAGAGGAGAATTCAAGTTGGTCCCATGGACTCCAGGGTTCATTACAACCTCTATTTCCTTACGCGTTCTTTACATGATACCTATGTCTGCACTATCTAGCATTGTTCCTTTAGCGAGTTCCATCCCAGTGGCCAATATAACAGGACATTGCATTAAACCAATTTCTACGTGACTAAAACACGGAACTGGAGAACCCTTTGACAGAAACTGTGGCTAACTTACTACTTTTATGGTATATCAGTATCACATCTATCTTTTCGAACGCATACTTCTTTGCTGCAAAGATATAAACCCCAACAAACAAAAGACCAAGCTCATGAGCAAAGAAAAACCAAATGCTGCGGCCAAAGGAAAGCCACGACTTCAATTAAAAGGTCGAATTTACATGGCTAATGTTACCGAAATAATATCACTTCAAAGACCAGGTCTGTTTCTTCTCTCCGTTTAGTATTTGGGGGTATTCTTCGGCATATTTTGCTAATATAACTACACTTTCAGGATCTTACAAAATCCAAATCTTCTGGAAAGGTGATCCAGGTGTTGTCGACAACTTTTCCATTCGCTATACAAATGAGGATACTATGCGCAAATGGTACAAAGATATCGACACTCAACGAGCTATTCAAAACGAGGAGAGGGCCACCCGGCACACTGGCACCTCTGAAACAGAGTTCACCTACCTGAAGATGGGACCCAAAATTCAAAATCCCTATCAGGAGGAGTACGAAGCCGAGGAGGAGCTTTCTCGGGAAAATACCAATTTCTCAGACTTTTCAGTGTCTAGAAATGCTTCAAGTACGAGTTTGCGGGCGCGGGCGCGGTCGGCTACAGGTGGTAGTAGCGGCTCTGGTTCAATATCGAGCCGACCTCAACGGTTTCCCATGCCCGAACCACCTCTTTCGGTTTCGACCCATTTCCCTAACGGGGCCATATCTCCCGGAGATCGGAATGGGAACTCCTATTTCTCTCCAGTCACAGAGACTGGCTCTACACGTTCCAGCTCTCAGACCATGTTTTCGTACTCACGCCAAGTCACACCATCAACTCCTTGGATGGAGGACTCCAACCGGTACACGGCTCCGGCAATGCCAAGAGCAGCATCGAAAGACGGCACAACCTCCAACCCATACTTCACCCACAATAACCAAAGGGGCGCCCAGCGTCCCTCACTCCCACCCCTTTCTTCGTCCCATCATTCCCAACATGGTGGAATGTCTCAGTCCAGAATGCGATCTGCAAGCAGCCCTGACATCCACCACCATTCCAATGCACCCGACTCCCGCCGTCATGTTAATGGTCATTGCGTGCAGGCGGTTGATAATGTCCCTGTTCCTCCTATTCCCGCCCACATGGCGAATATGAGAGCTCCAGTTAATCGCAGCCAAACAAATTCCCCAATAAATAACAATCTTCCTATCCGGTCCGCCACACAATCACCAGGCGCTCAGCAACGTCATGGGCACCCACAGGTCCCATTCGCCGACGCACAGTTATATAATCGGATTGATACTCGTTCACAGCCACCAGCCACATCGAACCTCATACAAGCCCCTCTATCCTCTCCAATGAGCCAAGACGGCGAGCAGGAACTCTACATGCCTAGCCAATTAAAAGCCAAAGTTAACTTCGATGACAACTACGTCACATTGGTCATTGCAAGCAACATTCTGTTCCGATCTCTAACCGATCGTGTCGACGCAAAGCTTGCTCGCTTCACGGACCGGTCTATTGGGAACAAATCCGTGAGACTGCGGTATCGAGATGAGGATGGAGACTTTGTTACAATTGATAGCGATGAAGCTGTTCAACTTGCCTTTATGGAGTGGCGCGACCAGCACCAGAACATGTTGGCCAATGGGCAGGTTGGGGAAATTCAACTATTTTGCCAAGCCGTGGAAAATTGAGAGTTCATGTCTCTTGGGAAGAGGTTCCGATCTGCCTCTGGAGCCAAAATCTCCCGTCCAATAGTAGGAACTGGAATACTTCCCTTTCTAACTTGAATTTCTTGTTGGATTTCCAGTCTTCTCTTCCATTCTTCTTTCTTTTTACTTATTCATCGACGCATCCCATGGCAGTTTCCGGCGTCGACGACTTGGTTTGTTTCTGACTTAGAATCAGCAGGATTGGCTTAAGGACTTCGTTGCTTTAGTCGTTGTTAGTCGTTATGCACTTGATTTCCCACTCACCACGCTCCACGCTCCACGCTCCACTCTCCGCACAGCCGCAGCGCCAAATCCAATAGCGTGTCGGACGTCAATTCAACAACAACCACCTCCAAACACCATTTGCACTTCCCTTCATCTTGCTTTTTGAGAGACGGTAGCACTTGGATCAAAGGAGTCAAGCCGTTACTTTTTGTCGAGAAGCCTGTAATATCTCCTGCTCTGGCCCCGACTCCCGCTTCTCCAGTTTTGTTTTTGTTTCTACCAAATTGTGACCCCCTGTTAGCCTCGTCACCACGTGTGAGACAGTGGAGGTTCCTGTGGACAGACATTGAGTTTGATTTTCATCCTTTCCGTTATACCATCAAAGAAATGACCGTATGATTGTACGCACCCTATTTAGATGTTGATTTCTGTGTTTTGATTGACCCTCCTTGGCTACGTTGAAGAGCGCATTACCGAAGACTATCCCCATAAATATCTTCTGTCACCGTCAAGCATGCATCTTTTGCATAAGCCTCTATAACTACACGTTGCTATCATCTGTTCACAAGCCTCCCCCCCCCTTTTTTTTTCTTTTTTTCCTTTTTTTTTGGGGTTTGATTAGCTTTATTTTTTCTTGTTTTCTTTTACTTTTCCTTGTGCCCGACCTGTGAGGTATCTGCGGAGCACCCAACATCTATATATATACGCAATAAGTATCAGGAAATGGATTACTGTGCAATTTCGTAGGTTCTGTATCAAATCCAATGGAGGCATCCTAGGCATATGTTTGCTCATAATGACTCTATGCCGATCAATGTAAAGAATCTCGTTTCAAGGCCAGCTGGGATCGACTCGACTTGTCCTCAAATTAAGGCATTAACATCGGAAGCCAAAGTATACAATTTCAGCTCTATTTTAAACCCCGGAATTTTTCAACCAGCTAGAATGGGCGAGGTAATGTGGTTGGCGGTCGATCATCGTCTTGGCTCGCTGTTCTGGTGTGTGATATGCCCTCAGCTAGAAAATGTCAACTACGGATGGTGACATGTCAACCTCGATCACACTCACTGCGCATTGCGCATTGGGCAGCATTAAAACCCTACGCAATCCCTCTTACAGTGCAGGGGATGTTTCACAGCCAGTCATGTTGCAGAGCAAATATTCACGGGCCCTTGAGTGAGGCATTTATTAACTATATGATGGCCCCCTTCTGTCCTGGAAGTTGAAAAGCATGCATTCTAGCCCCCTCCACTTACTCACTAGAACACAAAGAAAAAGAAAGAAAAAGATAGACTCATAGATATATGACTTACTTCGCACCATTGCGAATCTCCTGCAGTAACTACCCTAACAATGAGTTTCTCAGGTCGTCGACTCTCGCTCCTGAGCCCCTCCCAGAACCGCCGCTTCTCTGCCAGCAAAGAGCTTTCTCAGAACGGTTTGTCTTATGCCAACCACCACCCTCATATAGCGACCCGTTGAGAAAAACGGAAGTTTGTGAAGATTTTTGCCTTTGCTCATTTTTCCCAAATAAATACTCCTGTAACAGAGAAGTCCTCCAAAACCCACCGTCAATTCCGAGATGCACACGAAGGCCACCGTCCTCACGCCGGCCTAGACGCAACCCGCGCCTCGACCGGCGTCGTTTGGACCACCGAACGAGCTTCTGAACACGGGTTCCTTGAAGACCCTTCCTCATGGGCGAATCTAGGTCAGGGTGCTCCTGAAGTGGATGACAATATTGCTGGAAGCTTTCCCCGTCCCACCTCGATCCCTATAACTTCCGCAGTCCGTGAATATGGGCCAACGGCTGGCATCAAGCCGCTTCGTGCAGCTGTTGCGAGGTTGTATAACGAGCATTACCGACAGGGAAAACAAGGCTATACCTGGGAGAATGTCTGTATCGTTCCTGGTGGGAGGGCAGGGTTGATTCGGATTGCGGCAATATTGGGCAATTCCTATCTGTCGTTCCCCATCCCAGATTATTCGGCGTACTCGGAGATGTTGTCACTGTTCAAGAATGTGAGTGATCTATCTCTTTCTTCTGTTCTCTCCTGCGTGTTTTGTGACCAAGACTGGAAGGCATCTTCGTCCCTTTGTCTCTAGGACGAATGTTGATAGGGAGGTACAGTTTGCTGCGGTTCCAATGCCCTTATCCGAAGCGGACGGGTACCATATACACCCTGATAAGATTGCGGAGGAGATTGCTCGAGGTACTTCAGTCCTGTTGACGTCCAACCCCCGGAACCCAACAGGTCATGTTGTCAATAATCCTGAGCTGGCTAAGATCCAAGATATCTGTCGCGGAAGGGCAACCCTGATCTTGGATGAGTTCTACGCCGGGTATAATTATAGTAATGGCTGCGATGGCTCAACTACTAGTGCAGCAATGAACATCGAAGATGTTGACACCGATGGTATGTTTATATATTAGAATATCTCTTTTCATTTACTTTTCAAAGCATCCTCCTTCCAACTAATCTCATTGATCAGACGTCCTTATCATCGACGGTCTGACCAAGAGGTTCCGCCTCCCTGGCTGGCGAATCGCCTGGATCCTAGGGCCCAAGGAATTCATCGAAGCCCTTTCCTCCGCCGGTTCCTATTTGGACGGCGGTGCCAATGTCCCCTTCCAAGAGGCCGCAATTCCAATGCTGGAACCGTCTCTTGTCCGTGCAGAAATGAAAGCGCTGCAGGTCCATTTCCGCGACAAGCGGGACTACGTGCTAGGGCGCCTGAAGGACATTGGGTTCCAGATTAAGGATATACCAGATGCTACATTCTATATCTGGCTTGATCTCACTGCGCTGGATCCTCCTCTGCCGGCTTCAGCAAACATCTCGGATGGTCTGAATTTCTTCAACGCCCTGTTGACTGAGAAGGTGATTGTTGTTCCTGGCATATTCTTCGACCTGAACCCGGCGAAAAGACGGGATTTGTTTGACAGCCCCTGCCATCACTTTGTCCGGCTCAGTTATGGGCCACATATGGACGTTTTGAAGCGAGGGTTGGATGGTATTGAGAGGGTCATTCGCCGCACGAGGGGGGAGACCGTTGTCACAAATTTGGAGGACGAAAGTGCTGTTCAAGATTAAACTCCTAAACAACTCCCCACCACCACATACGTTGTTTCATTATATTTGCTTCGTTTCTTCGATTACTAGTTGGAGCCCAGATGACTGGATTTTTCTGTCAGTTGACCTTTTTGAATGGCTTCCAATCTATCTCAGGGCACCTCGATCTTAAATTTCACTCTAGAGCAGAATATGAAGTGGTTCACATTCATGAATTTTATATGTTAAGTTTACTTAGCAATTAGTTACTGCGTAGATAATTAGCTATATTCTCTGCAAACGAGAAATAGTCCTCTGGCGGGGAAAAGTGTTGCCTAAGCTTACTACCAGATATTTGCTAAAGAGAAAAGGTCATAAGAGTATGATGCCGCTATTCACAGCACCTTTGCCTAAGCATGAATAAACAATGCCGGGGACAAGTTAGGCCACACACAGTTCGCTTCCCTCGCAACAGAACAGACATTGGAAACCACTGTCGAGTCGAGGAACGATATCTGTATATCTCCACGTGAATTTGTGGGATGGTTTGTTCTCGTATTGTGGGGGGAAGCTCTCTCTATGTGGGGGCGACTGCTCGGGGCAACGGGGCGTTCCTTTTGCCTTGGTTATTGGCCCAACTGGTATATGACAAATCCTTCCCGGAAACTATTGGTCACGTGCATCTACTCTCCATCCCATTCGACTTGAACCGGCTTCTTCCCTGTCAAAGGCGGGAGTCGCAAACTTGACGACTGTGTATCTCAGTGCTCGGGGACAATGTATTGTTCATAACCCACCTCTCCCCACCCCATACATCGCACCGATGTCTCTGCTTTGTCCTAGGATCTAGACACCATGTCGAAGAAACCGCGGTTATCCCGCATCTTCTCCACCACTTTATTTACTGTTTTAGCTTTTGTCCTTTTCGTTCTGACGCTCCTAACCCCAGGGGATATAATCTACCAATCCTTCAATTCTCGCCGGCTGGGCAACATATTCATTGTCAGTGGTGTTTATATTATAACACTGCTTCTGGCTATGCTGGTTTATGCCAGCCGTATTTTTTCAAACCGGAGTGTTCTTTCTGGTATCCCCAAGCCTTGGGTCCCAGTGGAAAAACCTGATGTCCCCAAGAGTGTACGAAGACTCGTTGTTGAAGGCCTAACCAGGAGTGCCATAATTGCTCAGCAATCACGGCCAAGAGACAGGACTGGAGAAGACAACAGCGGGTTGAAACCCAGCTTGACCATTCCTGCTACAGGAACGCCGCCCTGGGGACATATCTCACACCCTGGCTGGACCGCCCCTGACTGTCCAGATATGCCTAGCCAAGAATTCGAGCCCGTGATAAGGGAGCTTCCCCATCTTATAGAGGCAAAAGCAGTATCTCTTGCTCCTCTGGATCCTCGTCACCTCATCGCTGGCGACCACAACACTGATCAATCCGGCGAATATCAATCAATTCCGGATTCCCGGATAGTCGAAATACTCAGGCGACCACGTAACATGTGCCTACGTGACTATATCAGTCATCTAACGAATCTCAATCTCGTAAACCCTCCAGAGCTGGGCCGCTCATTTACCCGTCTCTACGAGCGCGGCAGGTTCGCCAACATGCCCTTGAGAGAGCCGGAATTCAGGTCCCTTACTACCATGTTTGCAGAGCTCCTGCGAGGCATGACGGCCCTCGATCGGGATATCGTTGCAGAAATCCAATCAGAGAACTCTGTCGACGGCACGGAACCAGCCAGTTCAGTCTCAAGCCATATAAACCCCCTAAACACCATGTCCGCAAGCTCCAGCGTGTTCTTGGCGTCCTCCAGTCGATCCGGCTCCAATATCCAAAACGGCCAGCGCAGACACTTCCGCCCCTCCAGCACACCCAAGAGTGGATCCTTTAATCTCGATAGGTCTAGTGATCACCAAAGCTTGCGTTCTCGCAGCAGTGGAACGCCGTCTCTGCAAAATTTGCGTCCCAAAACCTCCAGCTCCAATTTTTCGGCTTCTAGTGACGGTGAGAGTGTTATTCAGCGCACGCAGTCGCAGATATCTCAATTGAATGCTACTGATGTGAACACACCTGAGGAATTTGCAGGAGCTGAATGGCGGTGATGCAGATGATTTCATTTCCCCCATCTGTCCTTTTACGATTTTTTCCCCAGTGTATGAGTATTTAACTTCTCCCTTCCTATGGTTGTTGTCTCACTAAGCACAGCTTCTTGCCATTTAATAGGGAGGAAAACTGGCTTCCTTTTTTTTTTTTTTTTTTTTTTTTTTTGGCTTTTCTTTTCTTTATCCTTTGTGCCTTTTAATTTAAGGTGTATAGGTGTATTAAGGACATGGATGCTATTTCTTTTCTTTCTCTCTTTTTCATGCTGATTTTATATATACCCCTGGAGTTCACAGAATGATGTTGCATGATTGATCTTCTTTCCTCTTCAATCCATAAGAGTATGGCTATTGTATAGAGTTGCATGTGATTTCCCTATTGCACTTGTGCTCATTACTAATCAATTATTTCATTTACAAGGAGTCTCCTTTCTATCTTTTCTTAAGGATATTATATCAATGTTATCATCTGCCAACTGCAGGCCTTGTGTCTTCCTCCTCCCTCTCTATATCCCTCTCATCTTTATCTCTCTCCGTCACACACACACACACACACATACTTTCTTTTCTTTTCTTTTCTTCTTCTTTTTTGATATTTGTTGGTAAATGAAAGAGAGTACGTCCAAGTTCCAGTTGAGTGTATCATGAATATTGATGATTACCATTTTTGATAGATGCCTGAGTGCATTCATATCTACATATCTCTCTCCAATCATGAACACCTGGCAGTGGTGCATGATGGTTTGGAGTCAGTGCTGGTTGCTCTGTCTGGCCCAGAGCAACCAGCACAATAATTTCAGCATCTTCACACATAAAATCAAATTTCAGGTTCAAACATCATCCAACTAGCACGGTCTGGTAGGAACACTCAAAGTCGAGGCAGCATAATCATGTTATCGCAGGTTCCTAATCAGCTTTCCTTCAGTGCCCATCCAACTAACACAATCTCCGACGATTCTCTCGCCCTTCCTCCGTCTGAAATCGGGAGTCCCCGGAAAGTGGGCAGCAAAATTCCCGGTGAGACTGTGAGTCGAGAGGCCGAATGGTTGCAAGGCTTATTTGGAAGGTATGCGCAATACTGGCAGATTGGATATTTCCGTTCTGCCATTCCCAGGGGATATGTCACAGGCTTCCAAACAGCCGCATGGGGGCGGAGATTTTGTTACCTGTTCAAGAAATAACTAAGGAGAAATAGGTACTTCGATTCGCAACCTTATTCAGATGTTACCTTGTACCTCGGTCCTCGAAAAGTCAAGATCCATGCCCATTACGAGATTCTGAACATGTTGACTCCCTACTTCGACAAGGCTCGTAGAGGAGGTTTCAAAGAGGGAGTAACCAACGAGTTTTACTTTACTGAGCACAACCCGCACGCTCTCTATCGCATGTTGCAGTACATTTATACGTCGGACTATTCACAGGTGGTAAACCAGTTGAATGATGCAGCTTGTATGTATACATCTTCTATATAATCTCACTTTCCCCATTATCCCCATACTGATATTTGTTGTCAAACAGATGATCCGGAATTGCTCATGCACACGCAGGTCTACATTCTTGCAGACTACTTCGATGTTATTGGTCTGAGAGGGCTCGCCTTTATAAGATTTGCTAGAGTGGCCTTGGTCCACTGGGAGCGCGATTCGCAAGTCGAATCAATCGATTTCACCCACAGCTACTCGGATACGAGGAGGAGGATTATACCTGCATTCACAGACTACGTGGTCGAACAGCATAAAAAGGCGGGCTTTGGAGATTTCCTTGATCAACATGATGGGTTTGTACAGATTGTTGTTGAATTGATGTTTGAATTTAGGAAACCGGATCTATTTCCTATCTGATATTTGCCGAGGCGATCTCCCCAGGATCGAATAATTGCATCCTTGCGCCCGTATTCAACTTGACGACGAAACAGGTACACTATTCCCAGTTGAAGTAGATAGCAAACCAGCTTATAATAATCTAGTCTCTACTTCCTTCCCATCCAGCCATCTCTCTATGTTCTCCGCTTGCTCCTCATACCATCTATTCATAATCTCCTCTTCCGCATAACCCAGGTGCGGCGAGAGCAAAACTTCGCTCCTCCCCTCCACTCCCCACCTCGTAGTCCTCCACTGGCTATCCCCCGGCAAGGGCTCCACGTCAAACACATCCAGCGCAGCCCCCTTAATTCTCCCCTCACTCAACGTCTTCAACAGCGCCGTCTCCTCGACTAAAGCAACTGTTGACGTATTCACGAGCACGCCGTAGGCTTCATAGCGCCCAACTCCTCCTCCCCGACTATCCCCTTACTTACTTCTCTCCGAGAGCACATAATGCACACTCAAGACATCTGCTTCCCTAAGCAGCGCCAATTTGCTTGAAATAAGTCCACTCCAAAGGTGCCCGCCGGTATTCCTAACGCCATGAGTCTCTCATCCGCATCCTTTTGTGTTGTCGGATTCATTGTGCTTTGCATGCAATGTTTCGGGGAATGAAGTCACAGCTGTGAGGCGAGGTTTAAGGTGTAAGAATTTGGCAACCCCGATGTTTTGGTAGTCATCAAGTATGGCAAGGTTCAGGATTAGGCTTGGTTCTACCATGGTTAATCCCAACACCCACGCTGTGTGACGGGTGTTGATATAAGCTAAATACTCTGGGAAATTACGTGGTTAACTATGTGGAGAGGGAGGGGAGGAAGAGATTCCGCAATTTGTAATCCTAGAACTTGTCGCATCGCACTAGTGTCTAGGGTATCGAGATAACCGGGATGGGAATTCGGCATATCACAATTGTCGCCAACTATGCTGGAAGCTCTCGAGAAGGGACCCGTGTGAGGACTATTCTAAGGTGGAATACGAGATGTTTAGCCGAAGAATTGGTTTTGGATGGAGCTGGAGGGAATTTTCTTCTCTTAATTATGCTCTTATAGTCGACATATTTCACCGATATCAATTTCCATTTCCATTTCCATTTTGGATATAACCAGGTTCTCTCACACAACGCAAAAAGAGTGGCTCAAGCACCAGGCTTATGAGGATAAAAATGGCCGAAAATGGATAAAATCAAAAGCGTACCGATTACTCTCCAAAGAAAACCTCTAAACCTATTCACGCTTTCTTGAATTCCCTAGAGGCTCCGAAATTGCAGAAGTTATATAAACCCAAACAAAATCATGGTTAGGATTGTGCCGTTCCTAGATATAAAAAGCCGGGAAGATCAACGTCATCGGAATACGAAATGTCATGCAGGTGAGAAGGAAAATAAATAAATCCCCGAAAAACCCAGAAATGGATTCCAACATACGCTGCATAAAGAACCCGAAATCAAAGATAATAATAAAAAATAAAAAAAATAAAAATAAAAATATCTAGATCAATGTTCATCCGATATGCTCACCAACTCACCAGCCCCTTCTCACGATCAAAGCCTCCTCTCAGTTGGCTTGCCGGTTTGACAACCTTCCCCTGCAGGACGGTAAATTTCACAATCCCTTCGCAATCTTCCGGTCGGACTCTCGCAAGCCATATCCCCTGCACAGCACCTTCTTCAACTGATACTGCGCTTGGCTCAGTGGTAGAATCGGCAAAATCGCTCTTCGTCCTTCTCCGGTACACGATCACATTGGCGGAGTATTTGTGCCCTCCAACGTGGCTTATAAAATAGATCCCCACGCCACCAAGACGTTCGTCGTTGAGGTCGCGATACAATCCACGAGCACGCAGGTGTCTTTCGAATTCCCGCCGGAGCAGCGGGGCGGATTGGCCGCAACGGGCGTCGCGCGTCCGTTGGGAACAGAGGAGAATTACAGCAGTGTGTAGGCATGGGCGGGAACGGAGAGGGGTGAGCGCCGTATAGTCGACGGAGGAGCTGGTGCCTGTTAAAGGTGAAGGGGACGTCGTAAGGGCGGAAGTGCCTGGGGCTGGTTCTGGGGTAGGGGTGTTCGTAGAAGGCAGTTCGCCGATGTTTGAGTTGTATAGGGGTGAGGTGGTGGTAAGGGCAGGATTGACGAAGTAGGTGATGAGGTCCGCGGCAAGGGCAGGGGTGACGTGCTCGACCACGGTGAATGCGGGGAGGATGAGAGCTGTAGTAGGTTGCTTCCCAAGTTCGTGATGGTGGTATTCGTCCGGAACTGGAATGTTTGAAGCAGAGAGTTTCATGGTCTAGTTAACATAACGGGGCGAAACCATGGTTAGAACCCGCAAACAGAAAGGCAATATTAATTTCATCCCCATACCCCATTGCTAGGCTTCAAGCCACCCTTTTCAATAGCTTCCATAACGCTTCCCTTCTCATCAGCCACATCTCTCACCCAGTCCGTTTTGCCCGTTGCAATGAGCACATGGGTGGCCCATCCTTTGACATTGCCGTATAATTTATCCTCAGTATCGATCTCGAATTTGGAGGGGTATCGAATCGTGCAGCTATCACAATCACGGTCGCAATCCTCCCCGTCGATTGAGGGATCAACCCTTGTAAACAGAGTATTCTCCGGTGCTGTCGTAGTGGCGCTGTCTGCTACCGGGCTTTTGGTTCCTGTAAAAAGAAACGAGGTGCCGCGCCGCAACAGAGAGTTCATTTTAGTTAATTCAATTTCTTGGTGTTTTTTCCCTTGGTTTTACTCGACGGATCTGCTACCCTTTCCAGTTCTCTCCATAGATCTATATACTTATCCAAAATGCACCTGCGACTGTATGTGGAAACGGCAGAAGGTCTCGTCGGAGATGTCTGAAAGAGCTTCACAGAGAGATGTTGGCGGCTGGGAGAGGTTATCAGATCCTCTTTATCAATCTTATCTGATCACGCTAAGGTGCCCGGAACGTTTCCGAAGTTCCGCAGGTGCAATTTGTCAGCCCGAATTTTAAGTCCGCCCGGGCCGGGCCGGAGCCCAGAATTAGAGAGTCAAGAGAGTGTGGGAACAGCTGCGCCGCACAATACCAATTATCCTGCGGTTTGATTACATCTATGAAAACTTAGTCCCCTTCCCCCCGTTGCGGAGAACTGCATTTTTTAAAGAAATCAAATTAGTGTACTTATAATTGATAGCGGCCGAGACGGGGTTAAACTCCACTTGGATCAGGGCATCCGCACGATAAACAAAAACTTAGCCGCCCCAGTGGAGAGAGGGTTGAATTGTATCCTATCCCAGCTTCTATGTGTGTTCTCCGTTGCCATAGTCCTCTTTTACATGCTCAGTCTCATCCTTACATGTGTTGCGCATGATGTCTTCAGAGGAAATTTATTGTGAGGGCTAGGCATATGTGCTGTGTAGTTGCATCTAGCCAATGCACCCTGATGGTTGATGGTATCTACCCACCACGATCACAACATCTGACCGTAAAACGGCAACCTTATCTTAATACCAAAAAAATCATCCCCACACTGCGATCTAGACTTTAACTGGGCGGTTTGACTTCTTTCTCTGGCCCTGCCTCTCTCAGTTTCTATCCACTTCGCTCCACGGTTTCACAAATCCCCACAATCTCCCGTGGGACACTCACTGGCTTCCTTTCGCTATCTAGCCCCGGTAATTCTTCGTCCGCCGTCTTTTATTTAGCTCCACAGGAAGGATCACCAAATAGGCTGAGCTTAGAAGCAACTTTCCACTGACCCCGCAGTGTGCTCGGCAACGTGTTTTTCAGCATCTGCTAAAATGGGATCACTTGAATGTGGAAACCCGTCTGCTATGCATATTAACTATGCAATATTGACGAAGAGATCGTCTTTTATTCCAACTGCAAATGACGTTTTCCTATCCACATTCTCCTCAATGAGGGAACGCGGGCACTTCACACTGAGTCAGAATAATAAACTTTCAGAAACTAACAGACAAAAGATAGAGGAAGAAAAGGAACCTTTGCGAATTAACTGCCTACGTAGCTATTACAGATCTGCCCATTAGGTAGCAGAAGCAAATGCATATAACAAAATAAACCAGGAGATCGATATAACTTTAGAACGAATGTGCAAAAAAAAAAAAAAAAAAATCATGACTTGCAATTTACTTACCTGTGCAGGGCATATCATATCCTCAAGGTGCTTGATAAATTCCCTTTCCCCCTGAACTAGCTGCTGAACCTTAGAGATGTTCCGTTGATCTGTTAGACCCCCCATGGAACGACAATCAGCAAAAAAGCCTTCCTCAACTACAGGATGGAGCATTACAAAGGAGACCTTAACAAACAAACAGGTATATTCACAAGCTATTTATGAATGTTATGCATGAAAGATTCCGAAGAAGTTTGCGAATCCATATATACCGCGCCGCAGGGGAGTTTGGGTGGGGGAGTTCGTGCTTGAGGGTTGTGATATATCCAAAGTTTGAACGAAGACGTCGGATCCGTTGTCTCCTCCCAATCCCATCCCCTCTTTACCACTATCATTTCATATCATGTAGGGTATGCAGCATACCCTGGTCCATCTTGTCCATATTCCGCATTCTCACTTTTCAAACTGGCTGTGGCAAGGACTGCGAGTGCGGTTCCTAACATTGCCTGCGGGAGTGCGTGTCACAACTAATTGATATAGAAAGCCCCGTGCGCTATGACTCTGATGACTTCATATAGGGTGAGAAATGCACAATCCCTGGGTACAGGTGGTAATTTTAGCGTGGAGAAAAAAAAATGTATACACATCTAGCTGAGCTAAGGGACGTAATAAGGTGTTATTACGACAGTGAAAGGATGGGGGAACGAGGTTAGTAAAGGACAAGGAAGGAAGATAGTGAAAAGGAAAAAGGAGCCATGGGAGCTGCGAAGTAGAGGAAAAATGAAATGGAACACAAGACATAGTGTAGATGGTGTAAACTTTTTGGCCACGCAAACATTTATTATCAGACGCGGAGAATATCAGTCCATGAAAAGGAATTAATTGTGAAATGACACACCCTGTTGAATCTCCCACCTTGTCTTCCTGGTTGAGACAGAAACAGAAGGACTCCATATTTTTTTTTCTTTTTTTTCCTTTTTTTTTTCTTTTTTTTTTTGGTTCAAAGAGTATCTCCAAAGAATGAGCTTTGTGCATCAGAAAATCAGAAATCCGGAACAGAAGACAGATAGTTAAACAAAGAACTAGAAACCTGCAAGAGATATAGGATACCAAACGATGGCGCCCCACGCAAAACAGCATGTCAAACTGTAGGGAAAGAATTTTCAAAGCCCAAAAGAAAAATGAAGAAAAGAATAGAAAGAAAAAATAGAAAAGAAAACTCCAGTTGCCCAACTGTGTCGTGGGGTAAATCACCGTGTAGACGTTGTTTATTTCGCCTATCTTGTAATCTTCATTCACTTGGCATCAGAATAAAGTGGGGTGAGAATATGGGTGGTGTTGTTGGGGCCATAATTGAGCTCCGTAAAGGAGGGAATAGAGACAGGTGGAATAAGAAAACTGTTTGCCCAACTAAAGAAAGATCAAAAGACGGATCGCCGTGGATGATTTGGGCGTTCAATGGCTATGGATATTTCTTCAGGTCATTTGTTTTCTATGAGAAACCAGCAAGAGGTGCCCCGGTTCGGGAAGATTAAATCAACCCTCAATGGCTAAGAGTTGCCAGTTGCTATCTTCGTAGGAATGGAAAATTCGCGCGAGAACAGGTTTGTCCATGGAGATTTCTTCATGGTAAATTATGGGAGGTCGAGGCTCATACTCCGAGATGAGTCTTTGAGACGCTGGTGGGAATCGTGGGACGGATTCCATCGTGGTGGGAGGGACATTGTAGCGTTGTATTTGAGGATTGAAAACAAAGACCGAATCGGGATAATTCATTCCAGCACCGATCAGCGTCTGTTCTCCAGGGATCGGTATGGAATGGACCGAAGGCTGTGTGTTAGGAGGGTAAAAGTCATTTCCAACTAGTTGCGAGAGTGGATATGTCGGTTGGTTATCTCGGAAAATACTTTCTGGCGGTAACAAGCTTGGAGGTGGTTGCAGAAATAATGGTTCCTGGGTTGTGCAAACTGGCTGTGGGTTGATGTCAGGTTGATGAGATCGACTTTGGTGTTTGGTTAAAGTTGTTTTCCGGCAGAAGCTGCAAGGAGGATGTCAACATGTATTTGACCCAAGCGATGACAGAGAGATATAAGAGTTACCTTCGCCCGCACTCCGACTCCATGCACTTATATGGCCTCCTGCCAGTATGTATTCGCCGATGACGAGCTAAACTCGAGGACTAAAGCCGAAGTTAATTCGACGGTTGGACAAACAGGGAACGAAACAATTTCCACGGCACACAAGGGATGAGTTTGCGGAGGATGACTCCCAAAATTTAATCCAACATGTACAGGTGGATACCAAAAGTCCTCAATATTCACATACATCAGAGAATGCTTTACTGCAGCTTTCATAATCGCATACATGGGGCTTCTCCCCAGTATGGGTTCTGGAATGGACAGTCAGGGCGGAGCGTTGAATGAAGCTTTTTGCACAATTCAGAAACCCGCATTCATAGGGTCGTTCGTTGGTGTGTATTCGAAAATGTCTGCACAGATCCGATTTTCTATTGAAAATCTAGTTACAGGATAACAATTGCATCCAAGTCAATCAGCCCATTCAGATCATTACGGTTGAGTAAAGATGGCAGCCGATCTTTCATACCTTCTTACAACTATTCCAAGTACACGGAAAGATGCGCGCACGAGGCATGTTGACTGGTAGCACTGCGTGAAACAGTGCTGGTTCAGAAGTGTGCAGCTCCAAACGAGCGGTTTAGATGTGAAACGAGGGCGTTGGAAGGAGAAGGAGAATGGGAGCGAGTGGCAAGAGTAAGATAGAAAAGAAAAACAGAAAAATGGAGAGAGAAAATTGAATATCTAAAATAAAAAGATAAAAGCAAAGGTGAAGCAAAGGTAGACTAGATAGGGAGTTATAATGAAATCAATGAAGGGGACGACGGGGCAGAAGTATGAGTGGGAGTCAAGGTTAGGACAGGTGGGACGACGGAATTCCTGACCTCCACTTGATAAGCTAGTTAAGAACTTAGCAGGAGGTCAAGAACGGGTGCTTCATCCGGCTAACTAATAAATACCATTACAGAAGAAAGGAAAAAAACAGAAAACACAAAAATAATTTAAAATTATAAGGCGAAATGAAAAATGAAGAGATGATGGGGATAACTGTGACAGAAGGGTATGAGTGTATGGAGGTATGAACCCTAAGGACTCCAATCGCTGGGGACGCGAGTACCATACGGGTGCTGGGCGGATGCTGAGACTAGGTTGGACCTTAGTGGTAAAGTAAGTGCACGATGAACGGCCAGTGAAGGCTTTGGATGCTTGCTCCCTGACAAGTGGAGGGCAAATGATTTACAGGGTTCATCGATCAAACCGCGGAGTGACCTTCTAAAGACGCTTTAGTGACGGTTCGGACGGGGAATTGGGGAGCCCTTGGGGCAGAACCACTACCAAACCTACTTACGGGGTACACTGCCTTCATAGTTCTGTTAGCACACGGGGCGGGCGTGTCTTGTTGGTTTTTGCTTTGTATGTATACATAAGGACCGCCCCGCGTAATACCTCACCCTCATAATACCAAGGGCCCCCTGCGACTCTACGGACCCAGGCCTAGTTTAGGGGTCTCCCACCCGCTAATCCCAGCGTAGGTTTGCCCCTCATACGTTAGGTGGAAATTCCAGGGGCCAGAACGTTGAAAAGGGCCTGTTCGGTGAGGTCAACCATACAAGAAAAAACAACACACCGTAGTAATGAATGCACCGTAACTAACTAACAGCACGAGTATTGATCCATGCTCTGCATCCTGCTTTCAATGCTTAGTGAACAGGGTGAACCTAAACCTTACTCGAGCGCGAGTCGTTTATTATATCAAGGTTCGGGAAACAGGCTGTTAGCTGTCTCGATATGTGGTGTAAAATGTCGTATTGATCCGCTCACAATGGTTGAAGGGGGTTATGAAACAGACGACATATGTTGCTTTTTTTCCCGGACTGCATCGTACTGCTGTTTTCCTTTTCTTGGCGTGCTAGTAATTTCTCGGGTTATAAACTGAACAAGCGGCAGTTGCTCGTTCTCATCGGATGCGAATTGGCTCGATCGATGATCTATAGGGGCAGTAACCTCCAGTGTTATTTTTATTGGAATCCAAGCATCTCTGGGGAATTAGAGTTCCAGAACGTGGGTTGTAGGCTGTTGCAGACTTCAAACCTGGTGATCAGCGAGTCAGTCACTCCAGTTATCCCACGAAAGGCATGCTTGAGAAATACTAAGCGGATTCGCGGGTGAGGGAATACTAATGCAGCTGATTCACCCACCAAACAAAGTGCCAATCCACAGTGGAGCTAGCATAATTTGTCGGGTTACGGATATAATTTATGGATTCAAGGAGGAGTGATGCACTCAAACCCGTGTATTTCAACTAATACTCTCGGCGGAATAAATATATGAAGCGGAGGAGGAATACTCCCACATAAGCTTGCTTCAACCTGCGGCTTTGAGTATTAAACAGTGGTTGCGGGCTGGCGGACGGCAATGTGCCAGAGACGAAGCGCCACAGGATATTCCACATTTTTCACGGAAAACCATGTTTTATTCATTTTCACAGTAATGCTTCTGTCTGTCACTTACGGTACGGAACACATCATTGGATTCGACCAAAACTTTTGAAAGGTAAAAGGGGGAAAGACAAAAGGGAAAGCCTTTCAAGTGGACAGTTGGATCAACCCTCCTTTGAGAGGGCTGAGATTTTGCAGCGCTAATCAGAAGCGGCACATGGCATAACCAGCCAAGATACTCGCTAAACCATGAGAGTAAGTTAGTTAGTCCAGAAGTGTGTCTCTGCTTCGAGTAGTCTGGGCCAATGTTTGGGATTCCCATTCCGTGATCCACTCTTTGCACTCAAAATGATTTCATTTCGACGATCCTGCCAAATTCAAGTTGCTCTTCGCTAGCAATTGCCACATGATGGGACAAATTATCATAGACGGGAGGAAAAACGGCGGCACCCCAACTTGAAGATGCGGAGAAGAATATGGCCGGAAAGGCTTAAGATCGGCTCATCGGTTCTGTTGAGCAAGCCACCAGCTTCACATCTGGCTCAAATTTCCGCAGTGTGGGAATTCTCTTCATCAACAACAACGATAATACCTCAGGTGGAGTGCTAATGGACGTCCCCCAATCAGAAGGGCTCGGAAAGTGTAATACGAAGTTTCTCATGAAGGAGGCGTTGTCAAGCATCCGCCGGCATAGAAGGGTCTTGGCGCACGCTTTGTTTGTCCAGGCATCCCGAACCTATGGAAAGTAAATTGGCCATCAAAAATAGTTCCATCGGGATGTCCTATGTTTCCTCCTTGTAGCCAGTTGGCAAGTTGCGAAGGGGAACGTTGCAGTTTTTGTTTGCAGGATCGTGAGATTGCTGGTATTGTTTGCTTGATCATCTACCATTAACGTGCCCCTTCATGGATCAGGGAAGCAACAAAGGATAATGCATTCTTTTTGAGGGCCACCCCTAGAGCATCTACTATTGGTCAATTTTCACCTGCAGCAACTGATCGTACCATTCTTGTGGCCATAAAACTGCTATTCAACAGCACCCCGAGTCGACTCGTGATGCGTTCGCAATTAAATCCCACATACATACAGCCATGAGGCAGGATGTAGCACAGCACAGTTGTCGCCTCGACACACGTGTTGGACAAGATATGTGAGACCATATCGCCGTGGTTCAAGTAAAGCTTTTGAAGCATGAGGCGAGTGGCCTGTCTACTGTTATCATTCACCTAAGATTGCCCTAAGAGAATTAATTCAATTCGAGGTCAAGGTTCTCAGGACGGCGTTGGAGCCAAACACCGCTAGCCGACGACAGAATTGATAGTTTGATCATTCTGAGCTAACCACATCCGTATCGTGCAAACGCGGGCGCCTGAAACAGCCCATGCCTGTCATTGGCCTGTCAAATACTGGGATCCTTCAAAAAAAAAAAAAAAAAAAAAAAAAAAAAAAAAAAAAAAAAAAAAAAAAAAAAAAAAAAACTACGTCCTAGCGCCGTTTGAAATGCAAATTGCTGATTTCAAGCACCAAACTAGTCTCCCAACAGGAGACTAGTAACGGCGGAACAAAACCAGCCACACCCCGCATTTTGGGCCGCTTAACTTTTTAGTCTGTGTCGGACTAGATCTGCCAAGCCTAGGGTGGTCGGGAGCGGCTTGGTTAGGGGGTGGGAAGCGTGTTTGGAAGCACGCGGCAGCGAGGAGACCAGTCAGGACTCTGCGAAAATTGGAACAAGGGGATGGCTGCTTGTGGGAAATGGTGGAGGCGCTAGTGAGGTCGAAGTCGCCTAGTGGCTACAGCTGAGGGTTTTGTGTGGGAGGTTAGGTTGCAGGTCCTCATACTGCTGTGCCACTGGTGTCTGTGTGGACTCTGAAGCCTCGCCCCAAAGCTCCCCTTTGGAATGTGGTGCGTTTCGAGACCGAGTATACGGTAGCTTCTCGTCCCGGTCGGAATCTCTTCCAGTACGGAATACGAATTCGAGATTGACCACGTATATACGGTATGCCACAACGAAATTTGACAAAGTTTATCTTCGTCTCATCGTTTTAGTTTCCATTTCGGTTCAACAGTGTGGGCGCGAAATTCAATGGTTCGGCTCGCTTATTTATCCCCATCTGCTCTTTTATTCTAGACTGCTCAACGAGTAAAAACGATTTGAGTACTCCATTGTTCCATGTTCTGTTGCAAAGGGGCCACTTGTCGAAGTCACAAGGCTCGCTATCACGGCATTTCATCCCAGATGACAGGGATTGCCTTGCCTCAATACAAGACAGACGTCCCCTCATCTGCAGTACCAAGATCCACGAAAGCTGTATCTACGGTGTTGCCCGGTATGCACGAATGGTTTGCATGTGCAGTACGTGTTTCAGTTTTCATGATTGGGGTAATTGATAGATACAGCCTCTTTCAGTCGTAACATTCTTGCAGCTTGAATTGATAATCCCCTGGATGCGACGTTGGAATCGTAGAAATACGAAAGCAAACCTTAACCCTAATAATCCCAAATTGGGATTGTGGCAACATGGACTTTACAGCCCCATCATTCCAACTGACATGACAACCCAAGGGCTCTGCCGAGAACCCTTGAACCGCTAAAAAATATCGTGACGTCTGCATATCTTTTGAAGCTTCGCCGGCAACCAGTCTTTTGCTTGATTTAACAACCTCCCTCGCACTGCTGATTTTCCCGCTAGCTTTGTCTATAGCCTCTGACACTTCCAACATCTGCCATGTCTCATTTCAATCAGCAGGTTTGTCTCCCAAGCCGAGAGAATTGGAAGCAGATCCTTGACTCCCATCCCACACAGGCTGACATTGTTATTGTTATTTTTATTTTATTTTATTTAGATCATCGGGTGAGAGAAACCCAATAACAGGCCGGGAAGAGCCTTTCTTTAACGGTGGCATATGCACCCTAGCAACCAAGGATAAAATCTTGGCGCGCATTTTGGGCGTTTTTCAATCTCGTAATCGCAGACTAAAAATTCAACAATCTCGAACAGTATCCAAGTTGTGGAATCGGTTTGTTAATATACTTACGGGGGACATTGGGAAGGTAGAACAGACGAAGGCCATCTGTTGAATCTCACCCCCTAAATCTACGTGTGCAAGGTGCGAAACAGCCCTTCCAGTCCATGACCTGTTTGTGTTCAGTCAACGAAGGTCAATTGCTCGTGCCTCCGCAAGACAGAATACAATGTATGGACGGAGAAACTGAGGTATACAGGAATACTGTAGCTCGTAGTTACATGCATATATTGGAAAGTAAACAGAAACGAGAGCTGTGCTAACGAAAGGTAATACAATCAGAGGACGATCCCAGCTCTCTCCTATTAATGTCTACAAAAGCTAACAACTAGCAGAAAAAATCAGTCTCTCATTTCTAAAAACTACCCAGTTTCCACAGTTCCGACAAGGCGTTCCAGTAACTAAGCGGAAACGTAAATAGGATATTGGCACAAATTTCCGATATAAAAAACAGGTACCCAATAAAGCGTCGAGGTGTTGTCACTGGGAAAAACATCCCTTAAAAAAATTTCCCCACCTTGTTCGGGCCGAATAGGAAGAATCTTTGAAAGCAATCCATGAATAACCACCGAATAAGGTGCTGCAAATTTATGAACAGGGATGTCCGTACCCTCAACTTCCGAAGAAGAAATTTAAATGTGCTGGACTTTTTTTTTTTTTTTTTTTTCGCGCAATTTACAGATGATGCTGATGGAGAAGCTTCGAAGCAGTTGAAAAGAATTCGCGATTGGTGGTCTCGTGCACTGCCATAATACCAGATCGGCTCCATCCCATTCGCCGGCCAAATGCTTTTTGAGGGGCGGCGTTATATCGCGGGGAAGAGTGAACCGTGCAATATTTATCGATTGTGCCAATAAGGATATTTTTAGTTGAGTTCAACCAGTTGAAACTAGTTACCGTGTTCACAATGGCGGGATAGCGGCTGGTTCTTGAAGCTTGTATTCACCCGTATATTGACATACAGTAGTAGAATCTTACACCTAAGTGCGACCACTGCCACTAAAATAATAATTGGGATTGAAAGAATCCGAAATTTCGTTTTCTGTGTCCAATCGCCCCTCACTGAACTTCGACAACAACACGAGGACGCAAACCTTGCGTGGGGGAGTCGGTCCATGGGTGTGTTGGGGATGGGACAAATTAGGGTTCTTTACAAGTTCCCGTTTCCGCTCCTTAAAAATGTGGGGACCAAGCTTGCCCACACCCACCGTTTTACTTTCCCCGGGACACTTGAGCTGAACACGCAGACAGGATAGATGTTCCCCAGGAGCCCAGAGTAAATCGGAGAGACGGGAGGATTCGAACAGAATTCCTAAGGGCGAGTTGGAAGGATGGGATCTTTCGGAGCTACAAACTCCCGCCTGGTTTTTGGGAAGCAGAAGGACAGCAGAAAAGGCCAACAATGACGCAGAGGCAGTCATGGGTTAGCTGCTCTTTTCACAAAAAGGCTAGTTAACTAGTTAACTCGTTAGTTGGTCAACTATCCCCCCTAAATTACCTTAGGTGACCTTCAAGAATTTCCAATCCCCCGAAGAGTCGCCATCCCAGCCTCAAAACACAACCCATTCATTCGTCATCGCAGTGGGATGGCATTTCAGCCAGCCAAACGCCAAACCGGGAAACTCCTTTCATTCTCCTTGGAAGCGTAGTATCCATCCATGGATTACCATAGGGATCACGTTTCTCGAGTAACTGAAGCGCGCCACTGGAAACGAAGCAAAGTGTTCAGCGTGTAGATTGTGATATGCAACCTTCCATCGTTGCCAGGTGGCTGAGGCATTGAGTGGGTCCCCGATTCCTCATTCAGTTAGCTATTCTTATCGTCTCGTTTATCTTGTCACCTTTACACTGCGGACAGATCGAGTTAGTGTGATGCATGATGGGAAGTTTCCGGATAGGTTTAGATGCATGATACGGACAGAACTTGCCCTCCGGGTTGATAGATTCATTTCCGTGTCGCTCCTTTTACACTTCCCTCGATGGCACCGCTTTGTGACTATTGAGAATGCCGCCGACGGAGAAAATCGAAGCCTTTTTGGGGTGGGAGTTTTATGCACTATCAGGATTCGGGTGTGGGGGATAAGATCTAGCTCTGATCGCCCCTCTCCTCTCCACAGTTGGTGAGTGATTAATCGGCAGAATCTCTAGTTTATGGTGTGTTACGTTACTGAGTTGATACTCCGCGCAGTCGCTTGTCTCACATGATCCAGACCCTTTTAGGGGTAATTAATTTGTCTTAACCCCAGATAACTAGTAACATCTCGTCTTTGCTCCTGTCATTGGCAGCACACCACCATCCCACTTCCTCCGTCCCCAAAAATTTGTCTGAAGAGAGAGATGGACATCTAGTCAAACATCCAGGGAAAAAAGTTACGATTCACTTTCTCTTAACCACGTGTTGAGTTGATTTGCACATTCCCTTTGCTAACCAGGCCTGTATAATTTTAGTCAAAAACGTCTCGGCGCTTACCTCGGATTCCTGTGAAAACGCTCCCAAATCATGCGCTGGGCCAGCCCTGAAGAAACCTGGTTGCTGCCCTTAAGGGTCATTCGGATCCCTGGAAGCACAAGCCGCCAGCAACGGTTGACCTCCCTAGAGTTGGGCAATGCGTCTGAACCATACAGTTCTGACAGTTTCAGATTTTGAGCCGTTCACCTTCACGACTCCCCAGATTACGCCTCATCCCCTTCGAAAAAACTTCAAATCTTGAGGCCTAAATATAATTTGATGCTTGTTATAATCTTCAGTGTCAGATTCTTTTTTTTGAACCTGACCTGACAATACTCAGATGTTACTCCATATTTCGCGTTGAGATCAGGGCTTTCTCGATTGACATGAAACCGCTTATCATTGCCTGATTCCAACAGCAGTGATATTTGGGCTCTGTAGTATTGATTTACTAGCAGGCGCTAGGGTCAATGAAACAGAAGATATTGGTTTCGTCATTAATATTCAAAATTTGATGATACACTTGAGCTCTGAAAAACAATATATTTTTCTGCGACTTTTTTCATTACTCTTAAATTTTTATCAGTCTTCATACATACAGCGTATATTACTCTGCGGAATGCAACGCCTGTTTGGGCACCCCTCATCCGTTTATCATATCAAGGATCTTCAATCCCTGTTCACTTATTTAGCATTGAACTTTAGATATTTTGAGTCAAGCAAAATACTCCTGACCTGAAGTGACGTTCAACTTTTTTTTTTTTTTTTAAAAAAAAAATATCATACTTTCTAAGCCTTTTAGTTGTTATTCAATATGCTACTTCCGGTTCACAGTATATTCAATGTTTTGCTGCAGCTGCTAACCACTCAATTCTCTCATTATCAGCAATTGCTTATTATATACCTTTTTTATCTGGGTATCATTAATCTAGTGCTACAAAGGGTTATCAAACTATGCATCCAATTTCTCTTTGCTTCAGATGTCTATGGAAATGTTTGACCGCTGACTGATCATGCTCAGGACTGAAGAAAGGATAAATCATGACATCTCCATGACCTATGCAAAGTAAAACTCAATCTGCTGCCTTTTTTTCCCTGCATTTTCTATTCATCATCCTGGCCCCGAACGGTTCCCCCCCCAATCCGAGCATTTTTAGCCAAAACTTCATATGGAAGGATATATTTGGGTGATGAGGGATTAACTCGAATTTTTTATTTTTATTTATATATTTCTATTCTTATCGGCATCCGAGTATCATTTATATGCGAATCGCAAATATGGAATATTCGAAATAATATGGCGTGGGAATATATGCGCTAACATACACATAAGCAAGGAACGTAACATACCCCCAGACCTCCCGCAAAGATGCAACTCTTCTAGTGGTGTACGCTGCACCACAAGAGACTTGAAAGATACTTTCATCTCGTGCCGGTTCTAGTGCCCATATGCTCTCCGTCCATACATGCATTGCCCAGACAGTGTAGCCAGAATCCTTTCCCCTCTGGTTTCAAAATGGAAAATATACTCCGGACTTTTGTGGATCATCCGCCCTCCTTTTGCCAGCATCACAGCCTATCTAACATGGAACGTCCTTTGGAATCGACCCCTGAAGCACCTAAAGAGATTTCATTCACCCCAACACAAGTGTACATATTTCACCTGTACATGCACAGGACAAACTCCAAGAATCAAGCCATGTTAAGTTGCATTTCATCCTAGCGAGTTTCTTCTAAGCTATCACTGAAGAATTTATTGCCAAGGGGGTGTGTCTAATGCGATAGACTACAGTGTCCAATTTTTCAATTGAGTTTTGATAAGTTTTGGGCTTCCAGGCCGTGTTTCAGGGTGACTAGGCTTTTGTGCCACGTCTCTATGTCCATATTCAAATATGGACGGAGAACTTCTTTCCCCTGCATCGATTCATGCTTTAAGTTGCGTTTACAACCCCTTAAAGTGAATTACAAGAGGCTATCAAGAATCCTATTCTGAAGTTAGGATACTTTAAAATTATGCTTATGGGGGAACCCTGTCTATAAAAAGATCATTCATTGGTTTTCTCCTGCCTATCTACCTGTATCCCTGGATGCTATGTATCTATATCACTTCGGATATGGAGGCTTACTCTTGTTTTGTTAACGCCAGTACTATAATCAGTCAGTAGGTTAATTTTAGAATCCCGGATCTTATGCCATTAGCCTTGCGGGTTATCCGATGTCTCTGTTAGCGGACGTCAAATATCGAGCTACACACTGATATTTTCCCTGTGACAAAGGAAGAGATAAGGACTTAGTTACTTTCTTCCTAAGTTTTAGAATTGTTCTTGGTGTCACTTTCTTAGGTGTACATCTCCATGGTTTTGAATTCTTCTCCTTTGTTCCCTTCATATACTATTACACTTGAAGAGTGTATGATAGCCATTCTTGCGCATCCTGTTGCGTGCCTGCAATGTAGGAGGGATGAAGTTCTAGACCAAACTGCAAACCACAAGCTTGAATGTTCCTGACAACTCCATGATTTTCATGCCAAGTGCGGATTTATGTGCCAGATGAGGGAATAGTTTTCATACGTATACAAATGGAGGAGAATATTCACACAGGCTGTGGATATCACTTTTAACAGCAGAATTCGAAATGTTATAACTTTCGCATCTATCGTTTTGGCTGTCAGTGTACCGGGAGAAATTCTCCATTCGGAAGGGTATTTTTATAACTATCTGTGCCCCAGGAGATTTGCGAATAAATAAATGCAAACTCCGTGGTTCTGAAGAATGTGGTAGTCTCAATAAAATGTGCTTGCTTCCCTTCGACCATTAATCGTGACTATGCAAGGATGCAGAAGTAATCGTTTAGATGGCAATGTATATTGGTAATTAAAATGTTATATGTGATACATTAAATGTCCCGTCAAGAATCAGAATAAAAACATTGAAAATAGAGCTTACATGTTCGAGGGTCAAAAGAAACACACAATAGATCAAGTTTCCCAAGACTCTGGATCATTTCGATAAGCAGGATGGTATTCGTTGATGAACATATTTCCCGGCAGCTCTTGTGGCTCAATGGCCCGGATAGTGGGAGCAATTTCTGTTGAATGAGTCGTCGATAGGTAGAAACCAATGTCATTAAGGGGGATGGTAGATGTCGTTCTCGTCATCCACGCATCGTCACGAGGTTGCATATAGGGGTGCTGGTGATCGGTTGTGCCGAGTTCATGGACACCTATAGCTGGCTGCCGGATCAAGTCATCCACAGTGATTGCAGGATCGGAATTTCGAGACTTCCATTGACGTAGAAGAATGAGGACAATCCCTAGCAGTAGTACGGCGCCGAACACGGATCCAATGACCACGCCAGCAATTGCTCTGTCAGTTAGCCGCCGTGAACTGGCGGGAGATTTTTCTAAAGGTTTGAAAACTGCTGAAGACGTTGAAGATGTTGTACCCACTAAAGACGCTGGAGATGCTGGTGGCTTCGTGGTTTCGGAGGCAAAAAGATCGTACTTTGTAGCAAATAGAGCAGTATGGATGGTGACGACACTAACTTCCCCTGATGGAGTCGTAGAAAGGGGGGTAGCGGTAGAAACTTGCGAATAGCATGGGATTTGTGTGCCGAGCAGAGTACTAAATATTGACCAGCCACTAGCATAGAGGCTCTTAGCGTTCTCTCAGAAAATGATATGAGAAAAATTGGAAATTTATACTCACAGTGGGCAGCATGCAGTCTCCCCAGTGGTCGTATAACCTTCTGGACACGTACGTAACGGAGTAGTGCTAGTTCCTCCAAAGAAACAACAATCCCGGTTCCCACTGTCCCCGCAGACAAGCTGTGCATAGACCGTTGTGCGGTGGTTTGAATCCGTGACAGTGGTCTGGTCAGTCGGCCATGTACAGGACCCAATTGTCATTTCGGGGCCTGCTCCCCGCGATAACATGGCAAGAACATTGATGTTATCCATGTTAGGAGTAGATATACTGGTGACAAGAGTTGGCGCAAAAGTGACGGAGGCTGCGGGCGTTAAGAAGGGACCGAAAGTTATTGTAGCTGAGGGGGTTGTAGTAACCCCTGGACCCGAACGTAGCTCGTTTGGTGGTTCCATTCCTCGCCAGAAGCCGGCTGTGACAGTATTGTTAATATTGGAAATAAGCTGGCACTGTCCAGGTCTAAGCCAATTCACTCTGGTATGTCGTTGTCTTTCAGCAGTTGCTTTAATACTGTTTCCTGTCGCAAACTAAGGTTAGACATTAGTACAGGGCTGCTTCGGCGGGATTTTCCACATACTCCGAAGAAAGAGCGATATCACCTCCCAAAACAATGTCAAATGAATAATAATGGTAATGCAGTATAGTCAGCTACTATGACCAGGGCTATCACTTTTTGCAAGTTCGTTGAAGTCAGAGTTCATTTATCACAGGTCACAGCAGAGTGACAGGAATCAAGAGAGGTTATTAGAGAAATAAGAACACAACGTGCGGGAACATCTCTACCTGCATCGCGTAAAGAGTTTGAGAGGGCTATAGAAATAACAATCGTGTAAACAAGTAGATACATAGCCGTCAATACTTAGCGGTAAGTGTGATCCATGGTATACTGATGCAGTGGATGCGGAGCAGGCGAATCCGCGGATGACAACATCCAGTGGCATAACCCAGCGATTGACTTCTGGTGTAGGATTCCTGCAAATATGAACCCCTTGAAAAGTTAAACAACTATTGATTTTGATAGAAGAGTTTAGCTTGAAGGTTTGTAGAAATACAGTCCATCTAAGGCCGCTTCCGGTTGTAGCCCCGCCTTGGGTTGAAAGAACTGCCTGCAAACGTTTATGAGAGATCCCCACCAAAATGGCCATGGCGGTACTGCAACAAGTAAACAGGTAAATATTGAGGTATTTGTATAGATCTTAATTGCTAATTTAGCGATAGAAGCAAAACAATTATTAGGGGAAATTCATATCTCACGCATCAGCCTCCTCGTATCCCAGTTTTCGGCGTCGACGAACAGACTCAACTATGTCTATGCAGCGTGTCACACGGTTGCTGCACCCGAAGGGAGCACTGGATTCCGCCTTTTATACATGTGGCACACATATCTGCCACATGGCAAATCTTGCATTCTGTCAGCACATCATCACGGCAATAATGTAGGAGAACGGGAAGGGAATAAAGCCAGGACGATTCCAAGGTTATCAGATGAAGATTAGGGGGTACAGGCTAGTGGGTCACATGATCAACCTTAATGCCAATTAAATTTACATCAAAGTTTTCGCGGAATCTGAGAAACGAAGTACAGCAGGAGATTGGAAGACTCGTATAAGCCAAATGAAGAATAATGAAGAGATAATCAGAAGGCTATTTGTCCAAAATAAAAGGATGTGAGAAAAATGGTCTCTATGCTCAGTTTTGTGGCCTAGTATGCTAAGTGTTTAACCCATCCTATTAACAGCATAGCTCAATGAATTATAACTTTAAAAGCGAGTAGAATAACATGCATGGGCTTCGATAATAAAAGGAAATCAGCATCAATCAGCGCTAATAATCTAACTCGAGACATCAAAAGTTGAATAAAAGGAACATCCTGAGCAAGATCATGGAGAGCTGGTCATGTAAATATTCTCATTAGATATATACTTGGTCACGGGTGGTAGGCGGTCGCCCGGGGCAACGGCTAAATCAGACAGCTGCACGTAACAGCGTTTATCCTCCATGACAACCCCCCTGAACCGCCAAACTCCCTGGTACCTGGCGGCAGCCAATGGCGAGCAACTTCTCTCCACCCATAGAAGTCGGACATCTAACACTTGGACAATTACAATGATTTCTCAAAATCCATTAAGATATGCCCAAGAATCGGATGAAACCTTTGTTCTGGTGACTGGAACTAACAGGTACGTACGCCTGCTGTCAAAAGAGCCAGGCCGCACCCACTGATAATCGAGACTAACTCCATTCTTTTTTTTTCCCTTACATCCTACAGCGGTCTAGGCTTCGCTGTTTGCTGTCGAACGATCGATGAATTCCTCACCACGCGTCCAGAGTCCAAATCGCTAACGCTCCTCTTCACCACCCGCTGCTCAAAAAAATCCGAGGACACCCTCCCTCTCCTACAAGCCCACCTCAACAAATCAGCCGCTAAACATGCAACCTCCAAGAGCCGCATAACTCTCAGGCCAGAGCATGTTGACCTGTGCGATCTGCTTTCAGTGCGTGCGCTGGCACGGCGGTTATTGACCTCTCTCCCAAAACTCGATGCCATCATCCTCAACGCCGGCATTCTTGGTGTCACAGGCATCAATTGGTTCAAAGCGGTCTACATGTGCCTCACAGAGCTGGTGAACGCTACAACATATCCATCGCCATATACACTCAGGGACACCGGCGTCCTGACTAATAAACAAACCTCGCAACCGGACGAGCCTCCACTGGGACAGATATTCTGCACCAATGTGTTTGGACACTATATGCTTTGCCACGCATTGATGCCGCTGCTCTCCGCCTGCAACACCACTCCCGGCCGTATGATCTGGATATCCAGCCTCGAAGCTACGCGCGACTGCTTCGATATCTCAGACATACAAACTCTCAAGAACTGGCGTGCTTACGAGGCCTCTAAGTACCTTACTGACCTCCTCGCCTTGACGGCCAATCTCCCCAGTTCTTCTCCGTGGGTAGATGGCTTCTTATCCCCATCAACCACAGAGACAAAGTCGCAACAGAAGCAGAATACGACCGACCCAGACCCTACCGCATCGTGCACAAGACCCAACCTCTACGTCGCCCACCCAGGCATCTGCAGCACTGCCATCCTGCCCTTATGCCTGCCTCTCTTCTCCGCTATGGTCGTCTCTTTCTGGATCGCCCGCATGATCGGTTCTCCCTGGCATGTCATATCCACCTATAAGGGCGCCTGTGCGCCCGTCTGGCTAGCTCTATCACCACAATCTGTCCTGGATGCCGCTGAGGGCGCGTACGTGCGTCTGGGTGGGGGAAAGCCGAAGTGGGGGTCCTCGTGCGATCGGCTGGGTCGTGAGAGTCCTGTGTGTACGGAGGTCGAGGGATGGGGGTTTGGTGGGGTGGTTGGTCCCGCTGTGTTGGATAATGATAGAAGGCAGAGGAAGAAGTCAGGGGCTACGGATCTGACGGCGGAGGAGAGGGTGGAGTTTGAGGAGCTGGGAAGGAAGTGTTGGCGGGAGATGGAGGAGTTGAGGAAGAGTTGGGAGAGGATTTTGGAGAAGGAAGAGAAAGCGAGAGGCATTTGTGGATAGAATTGACGTATTGGATCCAATGAGGGATTTCGTGGAGCGGAGTGTGCTATTGTTCAGATCAGTCTTCAACATAGACACACAGGCGCACATATGCACGTTTGTTTCCTCTCCCTTTTCACCTGGTTTCCTCTATTTCTATTTTCGAAGACCTGCTGTTAATTTTAATTTTTTAATTTTAATTTTTCTTTTAATTTTTCTTTATTTTGAAGACTTTCTCGGGGTTGATTAAATATACTTTACGTTTATGGTGTTGGTGTTTGGATCTCGATCGATACACTGGGATGCATATCCACCACATGGACGGCGTCCTAGATAAATAAGATTACTTTGACTGCAACATCGTAGATAATTTGCTTTTCCATATATACGTCCTACTATTTACTGGATCTCTTTTGACTTATCATTGCTAAATCAAAAGAAATGAATACAGAAAAAGGGACAACTTCACAAAAGAAGCTCAGATAAAATGAACAAGCTGGATTAAATTTCAAACACATTAACCCGCATTTATGTATCGCGAATGATTTCTGAAACCGAAGAGAAATAAATATATAAAATCTCGGGCAGTGAGAAAAGAAAAATTCAATGACAAAACCCAGAGGTAAAAGAAAAGAAAAGGAAAGAAAAGAATCAACTTTCCTAACCCCAGACAAAAGCGCAATATAAAGGCAGGAAAGAAATGAGAACGGAAAGAAAGAGGGAGGAGAGATAGTATGAGATATAGTGGAGAGAGGGTGAAATAAAAAGTGTGGTCCAAAGCAGCTGATGGAAGGGAAAAACAACCATATAGAACAAAGATCAGCCAGCTGCGGGGAACCTTTCCACTCGCCGCCAGATGTTGCGAGAAAGGAAAATACAAGGAAAATAGAAGAGTTGACAAATAAATCAAAAGAGAAAATAGACTCGATGTCTCAACATCTTCCGCGTTATATATGTAATTGTGGCCCATATTTTACTTTTCTTTTGGTTTTTCACGCCGTTTTATATTACGACCGACGCTAACCCCAAACCTTCCTCAGGCGCAACGCGGGTCCTTAAATATCTGCACAGAATGACTCCAATCCATGCATTGTATAACGAGTTTTTGCAAAATGATTAAAAAAGAAAAATTTTCCTTCTTGTTTTCGAGAAAAGAAAGAAAGGTCTGTATGAATTTCGATTGTCGCCGGGCGTGTGATCACATAATAATAGCGGGGACTGCGAGTGGGATTAACAATATCAGTTATCTACGCGTGTGGGAGACAAATTGGGGAAACAGGAGGGATATGATATGATAAATACCGTCGACATTCTGTTTGATGCTCTTGTGGGGCAAAATAGAACCACCATTGACATAAACTTCATCTCCAATAGTCACATCGTCTCCGAGGACAGTGACATTTTCCAGTCGTGCCCATCTGCCCACGGTGCTATTCCATCCAACGATTGTCGACTTTACCCACGCGTGGTCCTTGACCTTGCTGTTCTCCAGCAGGACGGAGCGCTGAAGTCGAACGCCATCACCAACTACGACATTCGGTCCAATCACAACGTTAGGTCCAATACGACAGTTCTTGCCAATCTTGGCAGAGGGGTCGACCATAACGTTTCCTTTGTAGACATAAGGCTCTGAAGTGCACAAGCTATCCGACTTGCGCTTTGTGAGTGAAGAAAGGTAGAGGCAAGTACCCGTGAGGAAATCCTTTGGTTGTCCAACGTCCATCCAGAATCCTTCAAGGTCAAAGGAATGGAGCTGGCCATCCTTGCATATGGCTGGGAACGTCTCCTGCTCAATAGAAGTGGGACGGAGCTCAATGCGCTTCAGGACACTTGGATTGAGGATGTAGATACCAGCGTTGATGCGGTTCCCCACAAACTCAACAGGCTTCTCAACAAAGCGGTCAATGCGGGATGGATGGTTTGGCTTATGGACCACGACACCATATTTCGACGGCTCCTCGACCTTTGTCACCACAATTGTTCCCTCATCGCCGTGTTTCTTGTGGAATGCAGCCAATTCTGCAAAGGGATATTCGCAGATGACGTCGGAGTTGAGAACGAAGAATGGACTGTCATCCTTTCCAAGAATTTTCTCCGCGAGTTTGAGAGGGCCAGCGGTGCCCAAGGGCTCTGATTCAACTGAAAATTCAATTTTCAGGTTATATATTTCTTCATACTATATTGTGTCCCCGCCAAAGAATCAGCACATTGTGGTGGTCATAGTAAAGTGGCAGTCCAGCAGGGCCAAAAGCTCAGAATATATGCATATAGAGCACATACCTTTTTAAGCGTAGAAACCATAACATCTGGTCGATAGTTAACAGCGAGAACAATGTCTGTTACACCAGCAGCAGCCAAGCTCTCCACTTGATGCAGGATCATGGGACGGTTGGCAAACTCCACCAGTGGTTTGGGGAGAGTAAGAGTCTAGCAAAAGGAGGTGGCATGAGTATGTAGCATTCCTTGCGCAGCTGTTCGAGATGGGATACAAAGTGCGCATTTTCGCGGACGTTTTCAACATACCAGAGGGCGCAGACGCGTTCCAAAACCCCCGACGAGAATAAGAGCTGCGGACAAGGAAAAGCATCAGTAAAGGTTAACTGAGCACGGCAGATAATAAATCACAAACGAAAATCATATCTTACCCTTCATTATTAATTTGGGGTGTTAAGGAAGCAGTGGGCTAAAATAGGGAGTACGGATTGGCCTGTAAAGTGGGTGGCTTGGTTGGTTGTGTTGTTACGTGTACTGTGACTTCAGAGTGATTGAGAGAGCGTTAACGAGCGTGGGAGAGTTGGGAAAAGAGAAAACGACCAGTCGAAATTATTGAGAGAGGGTGTTGGTGGAATTGTGTTGCTGCAGAGAGTGATCCGGTAGTAGAAAGGGGGATACAACGGAGAGACGACAAGACAGAGAGCGTGGCAACGAGAATGAAAGACCCGAGTCGTTTACGGTATTGAGGCAAAGGGGCCACCTAACAATATCGGTGGGAAAACGGTTTGCTCCGTGACTTTTTGGTTACAAGTAACTAACTAGTTACTCGCGATACGTAATCTTAGTAATTTGGGGGTTCGTTTCCCTTCAATAACTGATACCCACTGCTGGATCGGATTCCCACTCTCGAGAGAAAACAAACCCCCCAGAACATTACGTCCATTTTGCTGTCATCTGATGCTGATAATCTCCAGGTCCAAATTAACTCATTAACCCACCTGGGGAGAATGCTGGCTATGACTGGCTGACTGCGCTGTTCTGTCTCTGGTGAATTTGCACCCTGGCGAGGTCTCAAAGGCCATTATGGAATGTTCCTCTTGTTGATGGTGTCTTTATGATTCGGTAGACTTCTTGGACAAATAATGACATTTCTACTAATATCAAGAACTAGATTCGGCCAAAATCCATATCTGTTCATCTGGAAGGCATGGGGAAATTCGTTCAAGTGCAATTCAGCCAATGAAAAAATTGTAAGACCTAAAAACCTTGCATAAATAACTAGTCAACTAGTTAGTTAACTATCTGGGGAATCATTATTAGTTAATTGCATGATCGCCCAATCGTGGCGTTAGAATTTAGCTTAAACAGTATTTCAATTTCGCTTCCTCAGTCGCATGACTTTTGAAGTACCACTGTATCGGAAAATGTCCTTCGGTTCCTCCGTAAAAACATCTTCTCGAGAACTTTGTCCGCTGTCAGATGATAATACAGCTGTAAAGGGATCTCTAAATCCCATGGTTGCCTGTTGGAAACAGTGGAAATGCCTCAGCTGTTGCTGTCTATGTTATGAACCCAGCTGAATCTCTCCAGGCTTAAAATAAACACCGGCTCCTTGCTACATCTCACTGAGTATCCGGTGGCAGGTATGGCTCTCCCGGTAGTCCTCCCGAGCTGGAGTTAATCGATTGTTGACCAGCCATTCCATAAATATGCGGGCTGATAAAATCCAAAATCCATTCCCTCACTCTGCGCACTTTCGTTAGCTGTGGGTGGGAATCGCCCCTTCGATCACCTAGTATCCGGCACGTGAATAGTCCCTCCATGTCACTAGAGTCAACTGGCATCCGGTGCAACAAATCAATCTTCGTCATGTTCCCCTTCAGACTCTGCCCATAGACTTTCCCTCGAAAACTGTTCAGCGCTACAGACCGGAAAAGCACTATATCTCGTGGACGCAATCCGCTTATCGACTTATCCAGATCTTGCTTCGCACCGTCACACGATTTTTCCTTCAGGGGCAACCAGCATGTGATTCTGAACCCCGACTTCGTTTCGTCACCCACCACCAATTCTACGACATCTGTCTCATACCCCCAGCGAGTTCGCACGCGTTTGCGAGGGTGTATCGTGATAACCGCCACGATTAGGTTGACAGGGATCACTCGAGGAGAGACAGAACGGATATGTGCAGCGTTGGGTATATCTTTTATCTCACTCAAAGGCCCAGTTAAGGGAAGTGGCAGAGGATGATGCATTGAGCTACCCTGGGTGGACGGGGGTGCAGCGCTAACAATACTCTTTTCCTCCAAGGTAGTCTCGAAGTTGGAGTCTGTATGAAAGGACTCCATTTCGCTCAACATGGTCGAATCCACCACTTCATGCACAGCAAAGGAGTGATCATAGAATTCCGACCTAGGTTCTACTTCGCTATCCATTGTCAACTGTAGACCGGTGTGTCTTTCAATTGCACCGGGAGCCAAAAATTCCATATCCCCATCCTGCAAATATTCACCACCATCACCAATTTTATCACCCTCATCACCTTCTGATGCAGGAAATCCATAACGGTCTTCATGTTGCGTGATGGCCCGCCATCGCACTGATGAGGCTGTTGCTGCAGTTGGGTTGTCTCTCCCGTCGGCAGATGTACGGCAAAACCAGCATTCATTCAAAAGCTCAGATTCATCCCATCTCAGAGTACTTGGGCGGGGTGCACCCGTTAAGGTTATAACCTTGACCGGCATTGATGGCAATTGTCAGGCTCATTGGGTAGCAGGAATTCATAGGATAGCAGCAGCGGCAGCATTTACTGAACTTTTGTCTCACACGGTGGGCATATTTGCAATGTATCTGCATCATATATATATTGAATACTCACAGCAACAGAGCAAGCCCCAGTCTTTCAACTCTGCCTGTGGAGAGAAGTCACCTTCAACAACTGGATGTTTTAGCATTTGTTTATTCAAGATTTTCAATGTAGCTCGAGAAGGTTGAACACACTGCCCCTGCCCACCTTACTAAGCTAGTCATGTGAATCAACAATCTTCAACCAATATTGAACCGTTTAAACCGAGACGATGTCTTTGAAAGAGTTCGGGAGGGAAGATGAAGATATTCTACAAAGCCTTACAGTAGAGCATATAAATATGATAGCACTGGTAGTACATCTTACATATTCAAAAGAGAGCAGGTTTACACAGCGGGGCAAGGTCTGAAGCCAGCAACCAGTATTCATGACTAAGACGCTCAGCCTCCTCCGCCTTGGCTCTTCGATCAAAGTGGCAACAACAACATTTGTCTTCGACAAATTTGCCGCCGCTAGTTCCTGAATCTCCATCAACCATCCACCATCAACTCCCAACAATCCAACAACAACGCTGTGGTCTTGTTCAAGCTCCTCAACAATGGCTTTGGTGTTCTCCTCACTCTGAATGGATTCGTGCATCTGACTCCCTGACTCCCATTCAGCCAAGTCTGGAGTTATCTCCTATCGTTTTGGCTGAATCCTTGCCAGCAAGATGGCCTTCAACGCTCCACTCTGTCTACCGGTAAGGAGTCAACTTTCCTCCCACTCATTTGGGCAAGTCCTTCGTTTGGTGCTGACCTCGAAAATGCAGACTGCAGCAGCTCTATCAACGGATCTCTGGCCTTCCGTGGCTAACGCTTTGGCAACGCCCTGGAAAGGATTCAGTCAGCCTTCAGATGTTTCCTTAGCCAAGCGACAGCATGAACACTTCCGGGGGGTTCGGGATGAAGCTTCGGTAGTATGTCCTCGTTTGCACATCTCTCCCCACAGCAGCTGTTGCTAAGTATATTAGATTCAACCGCGTTTGACCCTTCCCGACTATCTGAAGTCGGTTCAGCTTAATTCGCTCCAAAGCACCTCCCAGTCATACTCCGCGAAAGGCCAGCAAACCTTGACGTCCCTATTTTCAACTCGTAAGTTGAACGTAGCGCGGTCGTATTTTCCCTACAACACTAACTCATGGACTTTAAGCTATCCGAAAAACAATATGGGGCGCTAAACCTTTCTCAACGGCGAACAATCTCAAATTGAACTCACCCCGCCAGTACTCTACCGTCTCACTCCTCCAACTCGACCGATCGCGAAGTATCCCAACATTGAAGGGCATCTCACAGATCCAGCAGCACAGATTTCTATCTGGAGGACCTTTCCACAATCTCTTAAGCTACACTGAGAGAACTGCAAACAGCAAACCTCAGAGCGTTAGCGCCCAAAATGCCTTCTATAGTGCCTTACTACGTGCCAATCTGCCAGCAATTATCATCGAACGATATCGAAGCGGAAGATATGCTAGTGACGCTACCAGTGAAGCTACGTACCTCAAAGCTCTTGAGCGTGTTGGCGGCTTGGAAGCTACTGGTGCAAGAGTTGGACAGAGCCAATTTCAATCTCAAAATCGGAACCTCAGCAATGATCAGCTGCAGGCTGTTGGCCAAGCGGTTGCTGCTCATATGAGTGGAGGGCAGGTCGGGGTATCTACTAAAAAAGACGGTACTGGTGCCAAAGATTCCCCTCTCTATGTCGTGGTGGAAGAATCTCTCTCAAGCTCAATATATCGATGGGTCAAGTTTATCTTCATCTTCTTGCTCCTCACTTATGTTTCTTTTGTCGTGATCAACATCATCGCCGACACCACTGGTATTCTGAAAAATGTTCGAGGTTCCCAGGCCAACGAAGCCCAACCGCAACACCAACAAGTGCGTTTCAGTGACGTTCACGGATGCGACGAAGCCAAGGAGGAACTTCAGGAACTCGTCGAATTCTTGACCAACCCTGAACGCTTCAATTCTCTAGGTGGCAAACTTCCCAAAGGTGTACTTCTCGTTGGACCTCCTGGCACTGGAAAAACTCTGCTCGCCCGTGCTGTTGCTGGAGAAGCTGGTGTGCCGTTTTTCTATATGTCTGGATCTGAGTTCGATGAAGTATATGTTGGTGTGGGAGCTAAGCGGGTTCGCGAATTGTTCAACCAGGCCAGAGCCAAGGCACCTGCCATCATCTTCATTGACGAATTGGATGCAATTGGAGCCAAGAGAAACGAAAGAGATGCCGCCTACGTGAAACAGACACTAAACCAACTTCTTACCGAGCTTGACGGATTCTCCCAGTCAACTGGTGTTATTATCATTGCTGCAACCAACTACCCGAAACTTCTCGATAAAGCCCTCACACGACCTGGCCGTTTTGACCGCAGGGTCGTGGTTGGCCTTCCTGACGTCCGTGGTCGCGTGGATATCCTGAAACACCACATGAAGAACGTTCAAATAAGCACTGATGTGGATACTGCTATAATTGCTCGTGGAACACCCGGTTTTTCTGGTGCTGACCTAGAAAACCTTGTCAACCAAGCTGCCATTCATGCTAGCAAGAACAAACAAACCAAAGTCGGCCCGATGGACTTCGATTGGGCCAAGGACAAGATTATGATGGGGGCCGAAGCTCGCAGCAGAGTTATGCGGGAAAAAGACAAGCTTCTCACTGCATATCATGAAGCCGGCCATGCTCTCGTTGCCCACTTCTCCCCTGCAGCAACACCCCTGTACAAGATTACTATTGTTCCGAGAGGTATGTCATTGGGCACAACTCATTTCCTTCCGGAAATGGACGTTGTCTCGAGAAATTACACCGAGTTCTTGGCGGATATCGACGTCTCTATGGGTGGCAAGGCTGCGGAAGAGCTTGTTTTTGGTCCAGAAAATGTCACAAGCGGAATATCAGCGGTATGTTATTTTTTTTTTTTTCTATGTTTAGCTAACATATTTATTGTATTTTACGTAACTGTAGGTTGTGAGTTGTGCTAACACTTTTTGTGCGCAGGATCTTCAACACGCAACCAACACTGCCTTCTCTATGGTAACTAGATATGGATACTCCAAAAAACTAGGTTCCATCGACCTCATTTCAAACTACAAAACCTTGTCTTCTGAAACCAAGCAAGAAATTGAATCTGAGGTCAGACGACTTGTCGAAGAATCAAGTAAACGCGCAACAGCGATTCTCACAGAACATCGCAAAGAGTTGGAGCTATTAACCAATGCATTGATGGAGTATGAAACTCTGACGAAGGAAGAGATGGAAAAGGTGCTGAAGGGAGAAAAGTTGGATAAGCTCGAATCCATTGCTAAGGCTCCAATTATGCTACCAGACGCGCTGATGACAACGGGATTGAAGGCTCCAGCTGGAGAATCAGCCGCTTCCAAAGGAGCAGGGGTATAGTTCCTTTCGTTCTTTAACAACATTTCTCTCTTTTTTTATTGTTATATAGTTGGGTGATTCGGAATAACTCTTTTCCTTTTCTTTATTTTATTCTATTTATTCTATTTATTTCATTTCATTTTGTTTTGTTTCTGCCAGTTTTCGTGATTTCCTGTTCGCCAACCCATCATTGTTTATTCGGACGTTTTCCATATACCGTCTTGTCCTGGTTATTCCCAGTTAAGGCTACTTCGCTACCACCCCTGTTGTGCATTTCTGTTTGAGCCTTTATTCTCTCCTCTCGTACTCCCGTGTGTTAGGAGCGTATATATGTATGTACACAGCCAAAACAATTGACATGACATTTTAGTTTTCGCATATGCAAAAGGAAAAGGTAAATAGGGTTAAACTGGGACTTTACATCTTCAGATTCCCCTAGAAAATTATTGGCACTCTTAGTATGTCACACCCACTCCCACAACCCGCCCAAGCTGTTTGAATCACAGATATCAAAATAAACCAAAACATTCGGGTTTGCGAGGTACGCCTTTCCCCAGCATCTCGCTTGCTTTCCAAACTTACTTTTGTCTGGGAATCCCATTCCTCGTGAAGGAGAAGATAGCTGCGTCCCTTTGGACTCTTTTCAACTTCCAAGTCTAGTGACCCAGCTACCAAAAATTGGGTGTTAAGTGCCCAGGGGTAAGTTCCATCAACTACATTTTACCAAGCCACACCTGTGTATGGAGTACATACACTTTTCGACAATAATATATTATATTAGCCAGAAAGCGACCGGGAGAGGGCCAGTTTCGATTTTCAAACAACATATCAGAAACAAAGAGAAAGAGAGAGTCGACAATGCAATGCACAAAACAAGCCTCTATTTTTCATGCGCATATAAATCAGTTCCGGAATTCCTCTCTCGTCTTCTAGTTTAACACCCGCTCTGCACATCTGGTATGTATGGTATACGAAAGTGGAAAAAGTGAGAAATGATGTATGTATACACATGCATGCATAGGAGTCTCAGAATAACGGGGGGGGGGGGAAGGGCATAATAGCACAAATGAAGAAAAGCTGTACATCTGACCAACTCCCCATATATTAGGACGTAACTAACTAGTTAACTATTAGTTAGTTACTGGACATGTTACGTTAGTAATCATCATCCAGCCCGAAGGTCAATAGAGATTGAAGTGATGTTCTGTAGTTAACACCTTAGTGTCTCCTGACAAGAGAAAACATGGGAGGTTTGGTTCCATGTACGCTCTCGTCTTCCTCTTCATACTTTGTAGAAAGTAGTAATTCACCCAGCAGAATGAAACCCTTATATTTCTTCTGTCGTCCAGATCAGATTTCCTCCAATATGGTCCGGCATCCTCGGAAATATGCACCGGTTCATAAGCAATAGAGGTTCAGGTGGCAATGCAGGTGTATCTAGATATTCAAACTTGGAGGGAAATGAAATATATCATATGATATACCAAATATCTGGATCAAAAGATACACCTCAACCTCATCTGTAATCAAGAAGCTCTGCACTTCAAATCTCAAGGTGTAAATAGCCGGAGGAGTGGGTATGTTGCATCTATCAGAGCAAGTGAGCCAGAACATGGTCTCCCTGAGTCTCGGATAGCTCTTGAGGCTTCCCCGTCCACTCGGTATGAAAGCTAGTGGTCCCAGCCAGCGGGCCACGAATTAGACCGGACGAACAGATCGATAAAATAACCATGAACGATTCTTTTCTGTTCGGATATGGAGTGGATACACATAGTAGGCGACGTAACCTCATACTCGACATGAACTGAAATAGGGCTCGAGAGACTCATGTCATTTTGCACTGGCGGGAAAGACACCTCACGCTTCCTATGAAAGGCATGTATGCGCATGTCCATGTCTCTACGCACGATACCGAAGGGTGAGGTTCTTTACGACGTTCGTCCGGTTAGTTGCGCATGACCAAGCTGCTGCCGCACCAGCTGAATGAATGGAAAACAAGGAACAAAAACCATCATGTCGACAACAGGAAAGAAGTGATACGCTAGCAAAGGAGATGGAGAGGCAAAAGGCGGTATGTTTCTCCAGTGTGAAAAACTTTACTGGGCATATTAGCTAGAACTTTAGTAGCGGGTGGATAAGCAAATTACCAGTGTGACCCCGTATTGTATACGGAGTTGTCTGTCCGAGAAATCAATAAGGCTATTAGTTGAAGATTTCGGTTTTTGAAAAAGCAGTAAAATAGAGTTGTCTCAAAATATGAGTATCAATACTTACGGATATCATACATGCCAGCACGATTGACCAGTCCTTGGCAAACTTTCAAGAGAGCCTTTTGGATTTTTTTGTTTTCCTTGAAAATGATGTCGGGCCTCACGGTTTGCAAAGTGGAACTGCAGGGAGGCGCTAAATGAAAGAAAGGGAAATTGGGGACTAAGAAGGCCGTAGCAAGAAATGCTGCATGATAGTGGTTGGGTGAAGGTGGCGAAGAGTAAGTAAGGAGGAGTGATCCTATGTGTCGACAACTTGTTCAATGCACCATGATCAAGAGTGAAGTCATATTTTCGTTTTTCTTTTGCTCATTGCTTATACCGACCCACCCGCCCTCAGCCGCCAATTGGATTTGGAACTGCTCTCTTTCCCGCTCGTGTTTCGACTGGAGAGAGTTTGGGAAAAGGGGGCAGGGAAATTGAAAAGCATGAATGGCTTGTGGAGATGGTAGTAAAAGGGAATGACAATAATAGAATCAATCTGTTCTGAGGAAGTCAGGAGAGAGAAGATTAACCAAGAGCAATGCAGGTTGCATGAAAGGGAGTTCGGAAGGGATACTTCTGTCATCAGAAAAAGAAAATGAGGGAACAAAAGAAATATTTCCAAGCCCAATGATGAGAAGTAACTACTCTGTATGTTTTAATACTTGCAATCCATTTGCAAGTGATTAAAAATTAATAAACCAGGAAGTAGGATTGAGTGCGGAGGCATGTAAAGGGGAGACAGGAAACTAAAAAGAACCCAGAAACTAAGAAACCCAAATGGAAAAAGTGTTAACCACCTCAAACTATCCAGTAATAAATAATAGCAATTGCAAACCCCAATTATACGAAATGACGAGGAAAATAATAACATAAGAAAATAGAAATAAAAATTAAATCACTGAAAAACGCAAACTGAACCATAACGAAAATTTCGACCTTGAAGGAAGTAATAAAATGATTGAGAAAAGACTCGATTGGATGACAGATATCGGTATCCTGTCACATCAGCCTCCTTGAATCCTTTCTTCGACAATCCTTTTCTTATTTTCGTCAACGCCATATGTCTTGCGTTATCGCAAGGGTCAGTTTAACCTCAGGTAAGTTGGGCTAGACCCTGAGGGAAGGAAAAAAGATGGGGGTAGGACAAGGGGTAGAGAGGTATATCCCAAGCCGCAAGTTTAAAACTGTGGTCGAGACCGTTTCCTGCCGCCAATTTTAATCCCGCATTTGTTTCCGCATTTGTTATTCGAAGCTCCGTATCGAATTCACACAGCGTGAAAATTTGAAGTAGACGAAGAACGAGAAACGAAAGAAATGAAGTAAAAATTATTGAAGTATTGAAATAGTGTAAGAATGATAGTTCTCTAATGGTAGTGTGTTTTGTTTCGTGCTTGCAATAGGATGTTTCGTAATTTAACTGCTGCTTTCGGAAGCTGATGAGATCGAGTTGCAGATTTTCTCTTCTTCAAGTAAGCGCAGGCAACTGGGAGACGATAAATGTCATCATCAGTATTTTGGGACTCAGAAAAATGGAAAAGAAAGGGTTAGCAATTTGTCATTGCAATCCGCCGTGGCCTACGGCTCGGTGTCTGGTATTCGGCGAACATAGGGAAAATATGGGAACTGTTGACTTCAAGGGGGAGGGAGTCTGAACGATAGGTCAAACGGTTGGAGATGTTATATTACAAACAGCATTTTTCCAAGAGTTTTCCCTAATTCCATGGTCCTGTCCATTAGTAAACTCCAATATCATAGTCAGATGGTTTCACCTCCTTTATTTCTTTCTTTCATTCCCATTTTATTTGAACCAGGAGATAAACATACCACATAATCACATTTGGTGCACACGTTGTATGTGTTTTCTGATAGACCACACACCAAACGTACACTAGATACAATTTGTGACCACAAATGTGCAGTACTTCCTTGTAATCGCACATCTTCGCTGGGTAAAATGTAGGAAATAAATGCAATTTTGCTCGGTTGGGTGAAGGAGTTGTTAGACTGAAGTCTAATGATTGCCCCAAATTGTGGTCTCCAGTGGCTCTGATCTTGCTTTTTTAAATACCTCTCTTGACAGAGCAAACGGGGCTCGATGATAAGATCCTAATGTAATGAAACACGGAATGATTAAGTGGTCTGCTCCTCCTCTTGAAACGTGAGCATAACCCCTTCAATGAGATAATAAGGTATGATGTATTCATACCGTAGACCCCAGCCCATTATGCCGAAAGGAAAAAAACGTTTGCTGTTGTGTAACCCGACAAAGATGTATGAAGGCCATGATCCATGATTGTATGATAAAAGTAAAAACCAACCTTTGAAGGCATCCAGCTTAATTACCGAAGCTGCTTTTCCGGCGGCCAAAACTGGAAGATTAGTTAAATTGGCAAAAAAAAAAAAAAGAAAAAAAAAAGAAAGAAAAAAAAGAGAATGTAGGATAACTTACTATCATAGACAGCAAAAACGCAAAGGAGAGAGATAGATTGCAGACTTCACTTGTTTAGGTTTCACCAGTTCACCAGTTATGGCTGGGATGGGTCCCATACCAAGAAGTTGCTTTTCAACTCCTTTCGCCATGCCCAGGGGGACCGTCATGGCGTTGATTTGTTTTTGTGCATTTTTTGGAGATTGAAATATCCAATTCCCAATGATACAGTTAGCCAAAATGCAGTGCTGGCGACTGAAGATTCATATCATCTCTTGGCCTCCATCCCAAGGAGTGAGGCTTGCCATTATTTACCTCCTCCCCAACGAAACGACTGAGACCACTAAATTCCGTCTGCTCTGGGGGTTATTTTCCTCCTCCTGGTTAGAGGACGTATCCCTTACCTATGAATAACACGGCGCACACTAAATTCAGCACAATCTGGTCACCAGCATTGGTTGGAATCCTGGATGCTGATTGATGAACCCTCCCGAGGAACCAAGCCTCTCAATAGCCTATGAAAGGCGGACATGGTGCTGATGTATTCCCTGCTTAAGCCTCCACAGACTCATCAACATACCGCACGACTAGCCCAAATGCGGACGACACAATTCGCAGAGGTATAGACAAATAATCACAACAACCCGGAACGTCACGGTTGTTGTAGAGGGAAAGTTACAGATGAACTTCCATGACCTGATCTCTGTCTGAGGAAGTCGGAACAGGTCGCAAAAATGGGACAGCCAACTTGACTTGGGCGCCGTAGCCAGCACAAATTGGAAACCCGGGGTTTTCTATCAAGCTAATGCAGCGACACAGGACGGCTTTTCCCCCCAATTTCATCAGATTGAGAGCCAATCTGTTACGAGCGTATGCATAAACCAAACAGAGAGGATTGAATCAAATATTGAAAATCTACGATGTAGATATTCGCAAAAGAAGAGAAAAGAAAAGAAAAGAAACAAGGGGAAAGGAGGGAAAAGATTTTATAAAAAAAAACAAAAATATCCTGCCTGCTATATTCGATGAGGTAAAACAAGGAGGCAATAGACATGGACAAATAAATTCGCTAACTTGCATCAAAAATCAAGTCGAGTTGATTCAATACTGTCCAGCCAACCACAGGACATTTCGACAGCTTTGGGTCCTTGTTTATACATCCTCTAGCTTTCCGATTCAGTTATTTCCGATTCGAATGCCATGTTATTCGATCTGTTCATTCCTCGTAACCCATCGCGGAACGAGAGTTGGAGGGTCTTCGAAGATGCCCATCGCGTAGCCTGCCGCAATTGCAGTGCTGACTGCGGTAATTTCGTACATTTTCGGACGTTCAATCTATATATGGATAATATCCATTGCATCCAGAATCGCCTTGGTTTGTGAGCATACAGCTTCTAAATTTGCCCGGGCTATGTGTCCATGTTACGTATGCTGAGAGGTGCCGAAAAAGGTGCCTTTCGCATAATCGATTCAGTAAGGAGCAAATATGCCGTTGAACGCAGTAACAAAGACACATCGCCCCCGAATCAGGAACGGTGGCAGCTTCGTCGTTTATTGTTCGCGCATCCCTGAAGAAGCCTAAGTTGTTCATTAGAAAACTGACTTCACTTCCAGAAACAGCAATGCTTCCTTCTAAAGCATATGCAGGTGATTCGCCCAGCTGATATCCAGATGTTGCAGGCAGGCCATGCTTAGAAATTACAGGCCAATTTCCAACATTATATAAAGAGGAAGCAGTCAGTCCCGTATGCATTTCTAGCTTTACCCGGTGAAAAGGCACAATGCCCAATCAATGCAACAGATTGATCTCCAAGACAGCTCGTGATTCTGATACCATGGCAGAAAACCCTCTGCCAAGGAACCAAATGCCGATTCATGGGAGGAAGCCACGATTCTTGGGAGACTTATTTTCGAACTGTCAAGCTCGAAGAAACTAAGCAAGGTATCATCATACTTGAGGGAATAGAGGTTTGTGAACATTGTTCTTGAGGCGTTGGCCACATCTGTGACAAAGACATTAGCCCCTTTCCCGCCGATTGAATTGTGAGAAGCCAAGTATCAACGGTAGCAAATGCTAATCGACCGTCATAATATATACTTCTTAAATGTGGGGAACAGGTGGGAACATTTCGAGGAAAGTCAAACCAGCTTTTGCAGAAGATGAATAAGTTGAGAGTGGCAGCCTGCAGAGTTCCTGCAGTTTGTCCGCTCCCTCTTACTTCTTCAGCTCTCTGACTAGGGAGGTGGTGCGCGTGTCTGGCCATGCGATGGCATTATGCAGTGGTTTTCCCGTTTCCCAATCCCATACAACTGTGGTTTCGCGATGAGTGGTCACGCCTATTGTTTGGATATCCGAGATTGAGAATCCTTGAGAAACGAAGGCTTTGGTTGTCTGGTCAATGCATTTTTCAACCGAGGAGACTATTTCTTCTGGATCCTCTTCGTGCCATCTGCAAAATAAAGAAATGTATAACGTAAGTGCTGTCAGTTTCCACGCATATCTCATGTACGGTTTAACATTCTGGAGGGGAACATTAGCCATACCCTGAGTGCTGACAGATCCTGTTCAGTTCCACCTGATGAGATACGACTGAATCCCCTCTGTCATCGAAGATTATAAACTTAGATGTAGTGGTGCCCTGATCGATGGCGCCAATATATTGACCTGGCCTACGCTGCTGTGGTTTCTCTGAAGGTTTCGTGTCATAGCTTGGTTGGCTATCCGTATCAACGTCCGTGGATAGGACATGTTTGAGGACGAAATCACGCTGTGAAGAACCTTGCTCGGATACTGCTGTTGGAGCCCCAAGCTCCAGTTTGCTTTTGGCTGCGGCGGCGTAATAACAAGTATGATACAGGATGGGTTACTGGAGGGAGGTGGAAGAAAATGACGTGTCATCTTGTGCAGGCTAGGAAGAAAGGGGAGGGGAGAGTTCAGCGTGAGAGGAGAGGAGCCGCATGATAGAAGTGATAAGTCGACAAGGCAAGAGACTCAACGAATTGAAGAGAGGAAGAAGAAGAAAAAGGAGGAGAGGTTAAGCAGAAGAGAAGAAGAAGAAGAGAAGAAGAGAGACGATACTTGGCGAGCAGGAGGCAAGCATAGGTGGAAGGCATTGATGCTCAAAACCTGGCAGAAGCTGTTTTTGCTCGCTGCTGCGTGGGGAAACCGCCCAGCAACATTTCTGGGCTCGGGTAAAGAACCCTCAATCACTTAACCGATAATGTTCAACATACCACGTTCATATCGAGGGAAATGCGGTCAAAGGGAGGAGGATGGTCCTGCGATGCGTCTAAGAGACGGACGGAGGATGAGACGAGCTGTGGCGGCATCTAATTAATAACAACCAGCATTTGATCATACGCACACAGAGGTTTTTAGTAGTTAGTTAACTACTTATAGACGAAGAGACCGGCCCGTAACTAACTCTCGCGCGTCTAGTCACTTGCATATTTTACGCGGCCCAGGATCAAGCTTCTAACTACAACTTAAGCTACGCTTGGTTATTCCTTATTTTATGAGCATAAGGCTAGGTTCCCTTCTCCCCTCTCTCGAAAAACAGTTAGAATAGTAATATGGGACTGTAAACTAACCGACGCTACCAGATTGGACAGGTACAAGGCTCCGTTGGATGTGCTGCAGCTTCAATTGCGTGGTGCTGTGCTAGCGCATGGGGTGTGGATGTAAGCAAATGAATGGCATTGTATTACACAATGTATGCGATTGTTTGTCCCGATCGCCTATACCTATTATTGCGTGCACGAGGACCGACGCCTGCAGTGAATAAAATAAAATAAAATATAATAAAAATATTAAGGCAAACTGGTCCTGTGCTGGCCACAGCTATGAGCCGTTGAGTGTGATCATCGTTGGCCAGCTGAAAAGAGTGACTCAAGCGAGAAGTATGTCTGGCTCCAAACCATGGAAAATATTTCTAATCTATAACTATCGGACAGGGAACTAGGGGATGTCGTTCTCTATTGGTATGTTTTTGTTATCTATAGAAGTCTGTATGATTTCCAGACCACATCTCAATTATGTGTGCTTATGCTACCTGTCAATAATGTTTCATAAATCTGTTTTCCAGTGACAGTCTGTTCGAATAAACCCGGCTCAGAAAGACTACATCATCCTCATCGTCATCATCATCCTCTGGGTTTTCTCCGCATTTCACTGCTCGGGAATTTCCGCCGCGAGAACCGGATAGCTCACGTAATTGGATGCAACCTAAAAATTATGCATAACGACTTCTTCTATATCAAAAGATTCCTATGGAGAGCTTGGGTCTAAGAAGCAAATATAAGAGAAAACCGATTCAAGCTCAGATGAGGTAGATATATGTACAACCATGTGACACTGCACACCCTTTCTGAGGCCTTCGGGTTGCGATCTGACCGGATGAATTGTGCAGAAGACGATTAAGCAATTAACTTCAAGTCAATTCAATGGTTGCTGTCAGCTAAACTAGGTAGTTAGGAAGGTACTCGGAATCAAAGTTTAATATTAGCTCGCGCTTTAACAACGCATAAACTTTTTCACCCGTCAATTTATCCACGATCGTTGCTTTCCAAGATGTTTCATATGTGCCGGTTCACTCAACGGATTTGAAAGAAAGTCATTGTCTCTGTCTACTCCGTTGGGCCGTTTCCCGTTATTCTCGCTCTCTTAAACCCCGGTTCCCCCTTCATCCCATTCGTGCGGCGGCTGGACGGCTCAATGCGCGTAAACAAGCCAATATAACACCCGCATTTAGTACTAAGCAGCGACATCGCAGCAGCTGCAGCAGCAGCTGCTGCTGTTGCATGCATGCAAGAAGGATCTATTGACCGTTTGATGTATCCGGACGGGGGGGCCATCATCTGTTACAGAAATTGCAATATGCTCCGTGATCAGGGAGTCTTCAACCATACCTTCGCCAACCAAGCTGTCGTTGGCAAACCTTGGATAATTTTGACTAGTGGGCTGGGGGGAATCACAAATATTGAAGAGACGCAGAACTGTGCTTCAGGTGAACCTTCTGTGCTTTATCTAATCATACAATCCCCAGTATAAGGAGAAGCAAGAACAACTCAGGCCGTCAACTTTGGCCTTCTTTGGATAAGTGCTGGACGTTTGATCGAACTATCGTCACCATACTTTGAGGAAGGCAGAGCATTGAACGGCCGTTACACTTGTTAAAGAGAGTTGCAAGTTCGCGTCAAGTTCGCGTCACCAAGAAGAATAGAAAAGATACAAGTATATCCAAATGAGATGATGGTATAGTAACTAAAAATACAAACGAAATTTACAGCGTCTTGCTCGTGATTGCTTATTTTTCTCTTTTTTTGCCCTTAGGTTTTCTGTTGTTTAATCTACAAAAAAAAAAAATTAAAAAATAAAAGAGGAGAAGAGAATTAAGCAAGAAGAGACGGACCCAAGGATTAGGGATAACCTTGCGGATCACAGGCGGGTGAGAGATACTTGAACCTGTGACACACTCTTCCTCAATTAACATTCAACAAATTTACTCCTCACTGGACCCGGCCTCCTTAACTGCCTTGGTCTCTTTTAGCCGCTGCTCCAAATGCTTCCATTTCTCAACGAGGTCTGATCGGGATTCGTAATGCATGTACAACTTCTCGCGGGCAACCAGACTCATAACGATGCTGGCGCCGACCACGAACGTCAAGACGAAACGATACATGTGGTACCACGATGGTGTCCAGCCCTTAACCGCGGCGCGGGCATCGTTGTAGTACAGGAAGGTGAAGGCGAAGAATTGAGAGATCAGGGCGTACTCAACGGGCATGAAGAGGGTAGGCCAGGCGACAGCAGGCGCGACGACGCCAAAAGCATACCTCTTGTAACCAACATGACCACCGTAACCAGCCCATTCCAGACCCCAATGGATGGCGCCAAGGAAGGAGAGGATCTATTACAGATATCAGACACAAGACACACAATCGTACGCGGATTTATGCGGCAGAAGAGAGGGTATGGACTTACAACTGCACCATATCCAATCTGGACGGGTTCAATTATACCCATCAACATCTCCGATGTTGCGCCAGAAATATAGTGACCGGTGCCGGTAGCGATGGCATTGTTCATTTCCCAGGAGAGAAAAGAGGCTCCGAGAGAAGTAGCAACGTATGGAAGGACGCCGGCCATTCCAAGAAAGAGAGCTTCTTTGGGAACGTCCTGAAGGCTGAAGGTGTCCTGGATAACTTTCTACAAAATGTCGGAAACGGCAGATATCAGTATGCGCCCAACAAGAAACCAAGTTTTTTTTTTTTTGTCCCTTTTCGTTTTTTGGACAGCGCTAGGATTAAGGATAAGACGCACTATGTCGTTTCTTACACCAGCCATCATATCAATGTCCTCCTCCTCCACGGCTTTTGGCACCGCATCGCTTGTTTTGACAGCAGCCGTCGAGGCATATCGAAGCAGAGCGGTGGCGGTAGGTTTGCGGGTAGCCAGGGCTAGCGATGTGGATCGAGGGAAAGGAGGTTGACGGACAGATGATGTCAATGGGGCCTTGAATATGGTGCTGGAAAAAGCCGAGCGTGTCATTGAGACATTGGAGTTAGATGCTGCCCTCAGAATAGAGCGAGCGGCTGCTGTTCGGTACAACATGGCGGAGACGGCGAGACCGGGAGGAGACCAAGCGGGATTTTCAGAGGCAGGATAACCTGTTGCGAAGGGTGTGAAAGGGAGGACGGCTTCTAGTTGCCCTTGAATAAAGAGGAAGTGCTCCTGCAAGCGGAGGCGGAGAGGAAAGTGTACAGGAATTGGCCGTGAGGGTAGAGTGGTGAGACCTATATTGACGATTGATGTTGTTGTATATGATGTTACTCGGAAGCGGACTTGGGGGTGTGTAGTAGGTAATCAAGCCCCTCGGCTAGACTAACGAACTAGTTTAACTAACTTTTAGTGGACGGGCGGCATGGCAGATCACGTGGAGTTCCTGTAGTTATCTTCCCAAGGGTTTTTGAAGGGCTGAAGGAAACAAACTTGCGCGATTTCATTTACTACGACGACATGGATTTGATAACTTCTAGTTGATTGCCGTTGAAGAATACAAACGGAGCTGTACCTGTATTGTAGAAGATTTCTCCCAAAAGTGTAGGGTAAAGAGACATGTCGAGTGGCTGCAGACTCCAACCAAGCTTTATTTTTTATTTTTCTTTATTAGTTTAATTTTTTGCATGCATTCCTCTCAGAGGCATACACATAAATTTGTATCGATACGGCGTTACACTAGGAGGACGGAATCCAATAGTGATGGCAAAATTTCCTCGAGATGAAATGTCAAGAAACAGGTTCTGGGCGGATAATTTAATCAATTTGTTGGTTCCTGCGGGCCTTGTTGGGTAGTTACACATCGGGCTCTCTGAACGCTTGGTCCTTTCATTCGAGCAACTTCCTAGTGACGTAAACTCTCCTTTATCTCAAACTATTTACTCTTGATTTTGGAACCATCTGCCAGCCCCAACAACAACAACAACAACAACACCACCACCACCACCACCACGACGCCACGGGTATTTGGTTCACTTAGGACTGTGAATGTGTGTGCTGGAAACTGTGGTATGAGTGCTGTGTCCGCTCTTCAAGGCACACTGTTTAGCCCGAGGCCAACACCTGCAAACCTCAAAGAACCCGCCACAGTGGCATGTTACTCTCTCCTCTCGTCCGTTTTTCTTAATTGAAAGTTCTGTGTGAGTTGCAGTGTTGACCGTTGACTTAAAGAGGAAAACCAATGATTGCCTCCCCTTGGGTCGAACCTGGAATTAACGTGTCTCGTACCTGGAAGGATTACTGTATCATTGACTAGATCTATTTCGATTCCCATGCTTTGCGAATTGAGAATTGTCCCCCCGAGCCTCCAACCATTCCATCTCTGCCTACCCGATTGAATTTCTTCCCGCCGCGAAGGCGAAGGGTAACGCCCACCAACCTCCGCCATGTTGGAAGGCTTGGTTGCCAACCTGTTAAACAGGTTCCTGGGCATGTACGTCAAAAATTTCGATGCAGGACAACTTAATGTCGGAATTTGGTCTGGCGACGTGAAACTACGAAACCTTGAACTGCGGAAGGAAGCTCTGGACCAACTCCGTCTTCCGTTAAATGTCGTTGAAGGCCATCTTGGAGAACTTACATTATCGATTCCATGGTCGAATTTAAGGGGGAAACCGGTGAAGGTCGATATACAAGATGTCTTTCTTCTCGCAGCGCCCAAGGAAGATGCCACCTACGACCCGGAGGAGGAGAGACGACGACAGCATGCGATCAAGATGGAAAAGCTCGAAAGCGCGGAAATACTGAAGGAACAACAGAATACCGATGGGATGTCACAAGAGGAACGATTAAAAAACCAGAGCTTTACTCAAAGTCTGACGACTGCGATTATCGACAATTTACAGGTGGTCATCAAGAACGTTCATTTCCGCTATGAGGATTCCATAGCGGCACCCGGACATCCTTTCGCCTTGGGTATCACCGTCAAGGAGCTCAGCGCTGTCAGCACAAATGGTGAATGGAAACCAACGTTTGTACAGTCCACCTCAGGGACAAGCCATAAATTGGCTGTTCTTGAAGCTCTCGCGATTTATTGGAATACAGACGTTGAACTATTTGGCTCCGGGTCTGGGGGTGACGCTGAAGCCATGGGCCTAAGTCATGCGGAGTTGATGCATAAACTGAGGACCACTATCGAAGAAGGAGAAAATAACCAGTTCATACTGAAACCAGTGAACGGCAGAGCGGGTCTCGAGATAGACAAAACCGGACGGTCAGATCGACCAAGAATCAAGGCGAGGCTGCTTTTCGATGAACTTGGCTTCGTCCTCGACGACAATCAGTACCGTGACGCTCTGATGCTTGTTGATCTCTTCCACTATTTTATTAGGCATCAAGAGTACAAGCAGTACCAACCTAAAGTCAGGCCCAAAGAAGACCCCAGAGCTTGGCTACAGTTCGCTGCAAATTCTGTTCTAAGCAAGATCCATGAACGGAATCAGCGCTGGACGTGGGATTATATACGACAGCGAAGAGATGACCGAATTGCGTATATAAAGCATTTTAAAATGAAAAAGAGAGAGGAAGTCATGTCGCAAAGTGATACTGCGGAGCTTACTCGCCTGGAAGAGAAACTCTCCTATGAGGATCTCAGATTCTGGAGATCGTTAGCCCGAAACCAATTGAGAAAGGAGAATGTTGGGATTAAAAAAGTTGCCAAACCCCAAACTTGGTCTGAATGGATGTGGGGAACCAAGAAGCAAGAGGAGAGCACGACAATGACAGAAGAGCAGAAACGGGAGCTTTATGATGCAATCGACTGGGACGAGAAAAAGGCTGTCGCTGAGAGCATCGACCTCCCGAGAGATTCCGTGAAGTTCCAGGTAGATTCCAGCCTTAGAACTGGTAGCTTTACTTTGAAACGAAATTCTCAAGGAAAAGCAAATGAGGTTCTGAAATTAGTCTTTGATAATTTCCGGGCGAAGGCGAAACAACGACCCGATTCCTCTGTCATAGACATTGACCTGGGCGGTCTTCGACTATACGATGGGACGACTAAAGGGACGCGTTTCCCTCAAATAGTTCGAGTCAAGGATAGACACCCGGAGCCTGAGAATGAGCAATACGGCAAGGCAGAAAATCAAAATCTTGAAGCTCAGGAGGAAGATACTCTCGGTTTGGATGATAGCCTGTTCCATCTCCAGGTAGAAAGGAACCCTCTTGACGGCAGCGCAGATTCCGCTATCAAAATGAAGCTGAAGAGTATCGAGGTCATTTACAACCCCGCGGTTCTAGTTGAAGTAGTTAGATTTTTTCGACCCCCTGAGAGACACATGGAGTCAATTGGTGCCTTGCTTGAAACTGCAGGGGCCACTGTTGAGGAGATTCGGCAACAAACCCGAGCAGGTTTGGAGTTGGCACTGGAGGAGCATAAAACAATCAATGCCCAGCTTGATATCTATGCGCCTCTGATCATAGTCCCTGAAAGCATCACAACAGAGAGCACCGTGTGTTTAATTGTCGATGCCGGTCATGTCAGTGTTACCAGTGAATTGGTATCCAAAGAAACTCTCAAAGATATCCAGAACAAACATTCAAAGCAATTCAGCGAACAAGACTACAGGCAACTCGAAAGCCTGATGTATGATAAGTTCCTCCTGAAGTTGGATTCTACCCAAGTCCTCATTGGTCCTGGAATCGAGGCTACCAAAGCACAACTAACCTCCGGTATCGCATCAAAAAATTTCCATATCATCGACCGTATCAATATGGATTTTGTTCTTGAGTTATGCATCCTTCCCAGATCCACAGACCTTACGCGAACTCGAGTCTCGGGGCATTTGCAGGAATTGCACGCTTCTATATCTGATAAGAAGTATAAAAATCTCATGAAGTTAGTCGACATTGCAGTGCCTCATATAGACGAGCAACCCAAAGCCAGCTCTAAGCCACAAGAGAGCTTAAGACCAAGGTCTGGGACGACTGCATCGAATAGGAGACGTAGATCATCGTCCTTTCAACTGACCCGTCCCAAGGAGTTCCCTGTCGATGATATGGATTTGGACGTCGAAGAGTCGCGCAGGCACGCTGTTGAGAAGGAGCCTACAAAGCCTACGAGTATCAACCATCGGACTTTTGAATTCAAATTTACCGTTGACACACTTCGAGGATCACTTTATCGCTCTGACCCTCATGACGAAAGTTCCGATAAATTGCTGGCCGAACTAGTGGCGAAACATTTCCATTTAGACTATTATCTTCGCCCATACGATATGGTTGCGCAAATTCTCCTGAACTCTCTTAGTGTTGATGACTATATTGAGAATTTCCCGGCTCCCGAGTTCAAACAAATCATATCTTCCAAAGGCTTCGATGCAAACGAAGAAAGGGACCTAGTCAATCTTAAATTTGTCCGTGTCAATCCAAATTCGCCAGAGTTTATGTCGACCTATGATGGAACGGAAATGAATTTAGACCTTTCCATCTCCACAATTAATCTCGTCGTCACAAGGAAGACACTTCTTACGCTCTTGGATTTTGTCCTTATTACATTTACAAACCCAGATAACAAGGATAACACCAATATACAGAAGCAAGTTGAAGCGGACACGCCATTACCTAAGGATCACAAGGACGAACGGAAACAGACGGATACAGGGAAAATCCGTATTAAATCGAAATTGGAGAGAGTTGTTCTCATTCTCAATGACGACGGGATCAGGCTTGCTACTCTAAGTTTAAATACGGCCGATGTTGGCATCTTCCTCTTTGACCCAACAATGCGAATTGAGGCTCGAATAGGGAGTTTGACGCTCTTTGATGATATCAATGGTACCCATTCGACGGCTCGGAGGCTAATGAGCATCGAGGGTGATGACTTCGCAGATTTTAAATACCAGACATTTGATCCTGAATCTGGGGATTATCCTGGATATAACTCTGAGGTGTTTCTGCGTTCTGGATCGATTAAAATAAATTTTATCGAGGGCCCTTATCAAAAAATCATCGGTTTCTTGGTAAAATTTGGAAAAATGCAGGCGATTTTTAATGCTGCACGTCAAGCTGCAGCCAACCAGGCAAACCAGATCCAGGAAACAGCTTCGCTTATGCGCTTT